CCGCCGACCTAGCACCCGCCGACCTAGCACCCGCCGACCTAGCACCCGCCGACCTAGCACCCGCCGACCTAGCACCCGCCGACCTAGCACCCGCCGACCTAGCACCCGCCGACCTAGCACCCGCCGACCTAGCACCCGCCGACCTAGCACCCGCCGACCTGGCACCCGCCGACCTGGCACCCGCCGACCTGGCACCCGCCGACCTAGCACCCGCCGACCTAGCACCCGCCGACCTAGCACCCGCCGACCTAGCACCCGCCGACCTAGCACCCGCCGACCTAGCACCCGCCGACCTAGCACCCGCCGACCTAGCACCCACCGACCTAGCACCCGCCGACCTAGCACCCGCCGACCTAGCACCCGCCGACCTAGCACCCGCCGACCTAGCACCCGCCGACCTAGCACCCGCCGACCTGGCACCCGCCGACCTAGCACCCGCCGACCTAGCACCCGCCGACCTGGCACCCGCCGACCTGGCACCCGCCGACCTGGCACCCGCCGACCTAGCACCCGCCGACCTGGCACCCGCCGACCTGGCACCCGCCGACCTAGCACCCGCCGACCTAGCACCCGCCGACCTAGCACCCGCCGACCTAGCACCCGCCGACCTAGCACCCGCCGACCTAGCACCCGCCGACCTGGCACCCGCCGACCTAGCACCCGCCGACCTAGCACCCGCCGACCTAGCACCCGCCGACCTGGCACCCGCCGACCGACCTAGCACCCGCCGACCTAGCACCCGCCGACCTAGCAACCGCCGACCAAGCACCCGCCGGCCTAGCACCCGCCGACCTAGCACCCGCCGGCCTGGCACCCGCCGACCTGGCACCCGCCGACCTGGCACCCGCCGACCTGGCACCCGCCGACCTGGCACCCGCCGACCTGGCACCCGCCGACCTGGCACCCGCCGACCTAGCACCCGCCGACCTAGCACCCGCCGACCTAGCACCCGCCGACCTAGCACCCGCCGACCTGGCACCCGCCGACCTGGCACCCACCGACCTAGCACCTACCGGCCGACCTAGCACCCGACCGACCTAGCACCCGCCGACCTAGCACCCGCCGACTTAGCACCCGCCGACCTAGCACCCGCCGACCTAGCACCCGCCGACCTAGCACCCGCCGACCTAGCACCCGCCGACCTAGCACCCGCCGACCTAGCACCCGCCGACCTAGCACCCGCCGACCTAGCACCCGCCGACCTAGCACCCGCCGACCTAGCACCCGCCGACCTAGCACCCGCCGACCTGGCACCCGCCGACATAGCACCCGCCGACCTGGCACCCGCTGACCTAGCACCCGCCGACCTAGCACCCGCCGACCTAGCACCCGGCGACCTAGCACCCGCCGACCTAGCACCCGCCGACCTAGCACCCGCCGACCTAGCTCCCGCCGACCTAGCACCCGCCGACCTAGCACCCGCCGACCTGGCACCCGCCGACCTGGCACCCGCGGACCTAGCACCCGCCGACCTAGCACCCGCCGACCTAGCACCCGCCGACCTAGCACCCGCCGACCTAGCACCCGCCGACCTAGCACCCGCCGACCTAGCACCCGCCGACCTAGCACCCGCCGACCTGGCACCCACCGACCTAGCACCCGCCGACCTAGCACCCGCCGATCTGGCACCCGCCGACCTAGCACCCGCCGACCTAGCACCCGCCGACCTAGCACCCGCCGACCTAGCACCCGCCGACCTGGCACCCGCCGACCAGGCACCCGCCGACCTAGCACCCGCCGACCTAGCACCCGCCGACCTAGCACCCGCCGACCTAGCACCCGCCGACCTAGCACCCGCCGACCTAGCACCCGCCGACCTGGCACCCGCCGACCTAGCACCCGCCGACCTAGCACCCGCCGACCTGGCACCCGCCGACCTGGCACCCGCCGACCGACCTAGCACCCGCCGACCTGGCACCCGCCGACCTGGCACCCGCCGACCTGGCACCCGCCGACCTGGCACCCGCCGACCTGGCACCCGCCGACCTAGCACCCGCCGACCTAGCACCCGCCGACCTGGCACCCGCCGACCTGGCACCCGCCGACCGACCTAGCACCCGCCGACCTAGCACCCGCCGACCTGGCACCCGCCGACCTGGCACCCGCCGACCTGGCACTCGCCGACCTACCTAGCACCCGCCGACCTAGCACCCGCCGACCTAGCACCCACCGACCGACCTAGCACCCGCCGACCTAGCACCCGCCGACCTGGCACCCGCCGACCTAGCACCCGCCGACCTGGCTCCCGCCGACCTGGCTCCCGCCGACCTGGCACCCGCCGACCTGGCACCCGCCGACCTAGCACCCGCCGACCTAGCACCCGCCGACCTGGCACCCACCGACCTAGCACCTACCGGCCGACCTGGCACCCGCCGACCTAGCACCCACCGACCTAGCACCCGCCGACCTAGCACCCGCCGACCTAGCACCCGCCGACCTAGCACCCGCCGACCTAGCACCCGCCGACCTAGCACCCGCCGACCTAGCACCCGCCGACCTAGCACCCGCCGACCTAGCACCCGCCGACCTAGCACCCGCCGACCTAGCACCCGCCGACCTAGCACCCGCCGACCTAGCACCCGCCGACCTGGCACCCGCCGACATAGCACCCGCCGACCTGGCACCCGCTGACCTAGCACCCGCCGACCTAGCACCCGCCGACCTAGCACCCGGCGACCTAGCACCCGCCGACCTAGCACCCGCCGACCTAGCACCCGCCGACCTAGCTCCCGCCGACCTAGCACCCGCCGACCTAGCACCCGCCGACCTGGCACCCGCCGACCTGGCACCCGCCGACCTAGCACCCGCCGACCTAGCACCCGCCGACCTAGCACCCGCCGACCTAGCACCCGCCGACCTAGCACCCGCCGACCTAGCACCCGCCGACCTAGCACCCGCCGACCTAGCACCCGCCGACCTGGCACCCACCGACCTAGCACCCGCCGACCTAGCACCCGCCGACCTGGCACCCGCCGACCTAGCACCCGCCGACCTAGCACCCGCCGACCTAGCACCCGCCGACCTAGCACCCGCCGACCTGGCACCCGCCGACCAGGCACCCGCCGACCTAGCACCCGCCGACCTAGCACCCGCCGACCTAGCACCCGCCGACCTAGCACCCGCCGACCTAGCACCCGCCGACCTAGCACCCGCCGACCTGGCACCCGCCGACCTAGCACCCGCCGACCTAGCACCCGCCGACCTGGCACCCGCCGACCTGGCACCCGCCGACCGACCTAGCACCCGCCGACCTGGCACCCGCCGACCTGGCACCCGCCGACCTGGCACCCGCCGACCTGGCACCCGCCGACCTGGCACCCGCCGACCTAGCACCCGCCGACCTAGCACCCGCCGACCTGGCACCCGCCGACCTGGCACCCGCCGACCGACCTAGCACCCGCCGACCTAGCACCCGCCGACCTGGCACCCGCCGACCTGGCACCCGCCGACCTGGCACTCGCCGACCTACCTAGCACCCGCCGACCTAGCACCCGCCGACCTAGCACCCACCGACCGACCTAGCACCCGCCGACCTAGCACCCGCCGACCTAGCACCCGCCGACCTAGCACCCGCCGACCTGGCTCCCGCCGACCTGGCTCCCGCCGACCTGGCACCCGCCGACCTGGCACCCGCCGACCTGGCACCCGCCGACCTAGCACCCGCCGACCTGGCACCCGCCGACCTGGCACCCGCCGACCTGGCACCCGCCGACCTAGCACCCACCGACCTAGCACCCGCCGACCTAGCACCCGCCGACCTAGCACCCGCCGACCTAGCACCCGCCGACCTAGCACCCACCGACCGACCTAGCACCCGCCGACTTAGCACCCGCCGACCTAGCACCCGCCGACCTAGCACCCGCCGACCTGGCACCCGCCGACCTAGCACCCGCCGACCTGGCACCCGCCGACCTAGCACCCGCCGACCTAGCACCCGCCGACCTAGCACCCGCCGACCTGGCACCCGCCGACCTGGCACCCGCCGACCTAGCACCCGCCGACCTCGCACCCGCCGACCTAGCACCGCCGACCTAGCACCCGCCGACCTAGCACCCGCCGACCTAGCACCCGCCGACCTGGCACCCGCCGACCTAGCACCCGCCGACCTAGCACCCGCCGACCTAGCACCCGCCGACCGACCTAGCACCCGCCGACCTAGCACCCGCCGACCTGGCACCCACCGACCTAGCACCCGCTGACCTAGCACCCACCGACCTAGCACCCGCCGACCTAGCACCCGCCGACCTAGCACCCGCCGACCTAGCACCCGCCGACCTAGCACCCGCCGACCGACCTAGCACCCGCCGACCTAGCACCCGCCGACCTAGCACCCGCCGACCGACCTAGCACCCGTCGACCTAGCACCCACCGACCTAGCACCCGCCGACCTAGCACCCGCCGACCTAGCACCCGCCGACCTAGCAACTGCCGACCTAGCACCCACCCACCGACGTAGCACCCGCCAACCTAGCACCCACCCACCTAGCACCCGCCTACCTAGCACCCGCCGACCTAGCACCCGCCGACCTAGCACCCGCCGACCTAGTACCTGCCGACCTAGCACCAACCGACCCAGCACCCACCGACCTAGCACCCACCGACCTAGCACCCACCGACCTAGCACCCGCCGACATAGCACCCACCGACCTAGCACCCGCCGACCTAGCACTCACCCACCGACCTAGCACCCGCCGACCTAGCACCCGCCGACCTAGCACCCACCGACCTAGCACCCGCCGATCGGGTGGGGGCAGGGCGACTGCTGACTCACCGCATTCATACATGGATGACGACCTACCATCTTCATGCAGGCATCTACCGTACTGAGTCAGGGTGTATGACCCGTCGGCAGCGGTGTATAACGTAGCACTGTGCAAACCGTTCTCGCACCAACAACCGCTTTGCCTATATGGATAAGTATTGCAGCTGTGCAAGGTCGATACGAACACTATGACGGATGGGTTGGGACTTGGGAAGGTGGGAAGAAGCAGAGCGGGAAACTGCCGGGGACGCTTTCTTACAGGCAAGTTCCATCACAATGCTAAGCTGAAAGAGTAGTAGAGTACCAACATTTTCCTGCTCATCCTTGCTTCTTAGAATACATCACTGTTGCCAAAGGGCAACCAGTCAAGAAGAGATATTCGCTCAAACCTCCGTTTTACACGGGCAATCATGGACCCTGTTCCTACTCGTGGCCAGTACTCTTAACACGTGCAGTTGCCCCCCTCTTCCTCCCTGCTGTCTCCACTTCCCACGCATCGTCCTCCCTAGCCCGCTAGCTGCTGCAACACAGCCCTGCCTGCCCCGTCCGAGTTGCCGTTACTCGCAAAATCCAAACACCACACTGTTTCCGCAGCAGCACCTCGCTTCGCACCGCATCATGGCATCCCCATCATCAGCTGGCACGTGATGACTCCAGACGTTCCGACTCGCGGCCAGTTTCGTTCTAACACAACAGCTACCACTACACACCGTCTCCAACACCCCCCCTACCTCACCCAATCACTCCCTCTCCTCCACCTCCTCCTCCTTCTCTCCGCCAGAACCTCTCCTCCTCCCCCCCCCATTCTCCCTCCAGCACCAACGCTGACCAACACTTGATTTGTGGCACCCTGCCGCTCCTATCCCCATTGTCTTGTCCCAACCTGTGGTTTCCTATGCATGGTTCCGTACGGTCTTCTCTTCCCAGCCCCTACCCATCCGCATCCCGTCCCTCAATCGCCGAGTCATTCAGCGCGCAGCACACCACCGCCTTGTGGTGCCCGCTGTAGGTGCGGATGGCCTCGCCGCTGCTCAGGTCCCACAGCCGCGCGGTGGCGTCGCTGGAGGCGGTGACCAGGTAGGCGGCGTCCACGGAAAACACGCAGTCCCAAACCCAGCGCGTGTGACCCACCAGGGTGCGGTCCAGGGTGAAGCCGTCCAGGTTCCACAGCTTGACTGGGGGGGAGGACAGAGGGGAGGGAGGGGGGAGGAAACAACGAAGTGACCGAGTGATAAGGCGTCATCATGGTTTGCAACATGTGAGCCGCCCCGACTCGCCCAGCTGGAATGGGGACCTGCTTTCCCATGCTACCAGGTTACTTCCCCCCTCCCCGCCCCTTTCATCCACCTGCTCGCTATCGGCACCTAACTAGGGGGTAGCGCTTGCCTCCTCCCCATCTCCCCACGCTCCCTATCCCGCCTGCACGCTTGCTTAGTTTCCTCCTCTTTCGCCAGCCCGCAACCCCAACCCCACGCACCCACCCATCCACCCCCCCCCAACCTCCCCCACTCACCCGTCTTATCCGCGCTGGTGGTGGCCAGCTGCTGGCAGTCGGGCGATATTAGGCACTTCAGGATGTGGGTGGTGTGCGCCTTCAGCTTGTGTAGCGGCTCGAAGTGGGTGGTCAGGGTAGCGCCTGGGGGGAGGGGGGGTGGAATATATGAGAAGTGAAGCAACGGAGTCCAGATCCCAATTAGGGGGGTAGGGCTGCAGGGAAGGACCAAACCACGAGCGAGGGGGAGAGGAGAGAGAGATGAAGCGGCAGGGTGCTACAAACGCTAGGGGGAGAGGAGAGGGTGCGTTGCATCGCGGCTGCCTGCATTGCCTCGCCCACCACCCCCTCACCCCGCCTTGGGATCAGGACCCACCCATGCCTCACTTCTACAGTTTCACCCCCATCCCCCTGCCTCGTCATACAGTTCGCCAGTTTCCTTATCAATACACCCTCTGCCCCCTGCCCCCCCCCCGCCTCTCACCCCTCATCATGCGCCACACGTAGCAGGTGCCGTTGTTGTTGGCGGCCACGATCATGGTGCCGTCCAGTGCCACCGTCAGGGAGCGAACCTGGGGTTGGGGGGGGGGGGGGAGGGAGGGGAGGGAAGAGAGGTAACAGGAGGTGGCGGCAGAGGGGGAGGTTACGAAAGGGGAAGGGAGGGTGGCGCGGGTTGCTGAGTCATGCTGTGACACATGCTGGCCTTGCTTCCTGACACACTGACCACCACCGCCCTCCTCCTCATTCTCCTCCTACCGCTGCTCGCGTTCCAACCTGCCCCTACCCCGGGGGATTGGTTGTGCGGAAGGCCCATCCCCTCTTACTCCCCCCACACCCCCAACCCCTCCGCCGCTTACCGCAGTTCCAATCTCCGGCACCAGCTCGCAGGAGCAGGCGGAGGCGGTGAGGTCCCACACGCGGATGTGGCCCGTCTGGTCGCCTTTGGGGGGGAGGGAGGGGGGGAGGGGGGGAGGGGGGGAGAGGAGGGGGGGAGGAGGGGGGAGAGGGGGGAGGAGGGGAGAGAGGGAGGGGGACGAGGAGCAGGGGACAAGGTAGCTGTGAAGCCGCTATGGAATGATGGGTCATACGGGCCGGGAGGAGGAGGAGGTCAGGGGGGCGCCCACAAAGACAGCGCTCAGCCGCAGCCACAATGGCGGCCGCAGCAGCAACAGCAGCAGCAGCCGCAGCAACCGCAACAACATCCAGACCCCTGGGACTGCCGAGGGTAGCTGAGAGGGAGGGACCAGCAAGAAGACACCGCGGCCCCCCCCAGTAGTTCCAACCCCACCGCCGCACACCACATGCGGCCCCCTACCGCCCGCCAACGTGTCCGTGACCGCCCTACTGCCCACTCTTCCTCTGGTTGGCACCCCCCGTGTCGGGGGTGTGGCACCCTAACAACCACCCGCACCCCAACACACACACACACCCTCCCCCTCCCCTTCTCCCACCTGATATGAGCTCCCCCTGGTTGGGGTGAAGCACCACCGAGTTCACCGCGGCGCGGCTCTCGTAGGTGCGCTGGCAGCCCGGGGCGCGCGTGTCCCACACCTTGACCGTGCCGTCCTCGCCACCTGCGTGCGTGTGTGTATGGGTGGGTGGGGGTGAGGTTGGGTTGAAGGGAGGGGGGAGGGGAAGGAGAAGCGTGATGGGGACAGAGATTGGAGGGACAGGGTGAGGGAAGGGAAGCGGCGGACAGGGAAGCACTCGTGTGTGTTCTGCAGTACTCTACCTGTGTACATCCATTTGCCGTCTTTATGGAAACCCACGGCGGTAACGTTGCCAACGTGGCCGTCGTAGTTGAAGACCGGGTTAGGGTCATTGGAGTTGACATCAAACACCCGGACTTGTGGGTGGCCAGCTGCGGCAATCTTTGTCTTGTCGGCAGTAATCTCTAGCTTATTTACTTGTGATTCGGCATATTGCAATGTGCGATAGCAGCAGCCGCTGGTAGCCTCCCAAAAGCGGATGGTATGATCATAGCCGGCCGTGGCCAGCACCACACTCGACATAACTAATCAGCGAACTGCAAAGTCTTTCTTGTTACAAGCAATGCTGCAAGTACTGACTATAGTTGCATACACATTTTTTGTTGCCTACCATCTTCATCTACAATTCGCAAGAGAGCAACTCAAGCGCATATCTCTAACAGTGATAAAATCTCCAAGCCGTGCAACATGCGAGGCGTGGCTGAATAATTGTTCCGGAGCGTCGTACATGCCACGCAAAGGGTTCTTTGGTTCTTTGCTATTTCCTTCTCCAGAGTTACCAAGCAAGCATATTGTGCTCCGAGCATTTACAGTCCCTGTCAATACGGTCCAGTGCTGGTAATTCCATTCTTGTAACTTTGGGCCACCAGGCATAGCTTACGTGGGGACTGCGTTGATGCTTTATACGACCTTAAACGCTTAGTTGTTGCGAAAATTGAGCCAGGATGAGCTTGCCTTGTAGCTTGTCGCAGCGGCCTGCCGGCCTGTCACGCAAGCCAGCGATGGGTTTGCCAGCGCGTCTCGTCGCCATCCCTTTCCAGGCTGCTCTGCGTCGGGGTTCCAAAGGTGGGGTTGAAATTGCTGCATCACGTTACTCAGTCGTCCATAGATTAAACGCGCGGTTGGGTCGCTCGTCTGCCCATGCAGTCCGCATTAGCAGGGCGCCGCGGCTGCCTGCGCTACCCGCTAGCAACTCAAGTTCGCCAAAGGGTGCGGACGAGTCAGTGGATTGGACGCGCCGGGGTGTTCCAGTCTACCTGCAGAGCAGCGTGGAAATCGACGTTTGCGATGAGGAGTCGCAGGCGCTGACCATGGGCATGGCTGGCGACCTGCTTTGGAACGCAATCCGGTGAGGTTCCCAGTGTCCGGAACCCACTCCTAGGCGCTAGCAGTGGTGCCCGCTTGTGGCATGTGGCTTACCGTTGGGAACAGTTAGTACGACTGCATTGGGAGGGATCGTACGCAGCTGGAGTTGCATAGGCCAAGAAAGCATGGGGGCAGTGGCGAACCCCGGGGGACGAGGAGCAGGCCAGCGCAAGCCAGCGCCCTCACTCCTCCTTACCTTTCCCCCTTCTTAACCACCCTCCCTCGCAGTCCCCTAGCCATGCTTTAATTCACCTACCTGACCCCCTCCCTCCCTCCCCTCCGTGTTATTAGTGCCTCCGAATGCGCTCACTGCATGAGTCGGGCTATGGGATTGGGATTCGATGTTTCACTTTTATATAATTTTCCCCCCTCCCCCACTTCAGCTCCGAGGCCCAGGCCGACGCCGCCACCGAGCCGCTGCTATCCTCCTTCCTCTACGCCTCCATCCTCGCACACGACTCCTTCGAGCTCTCCCTCGCCTTCGTGCTCGCCAACCGCCTGGCCAACAGCACCATGCTGCCCACGCAGGTGTGCGAGGGGGAGGAGGAGGAGGAGGAGCCGGGGGAAGGGGGCGGGGGGGGGAGGTAAAGGGGGCGGAGGCTTTTTAACACATTAGCGAACTGTTGCCGAAGGGCCTTGAACGGCGCTGCCACCCTCCACCTCCTCTCTCCTACCACCTCTCCCTTTCTCCTCAGTAGCAACCCCTCTCCCTCACACGGTGCGTTAGTTGTTTCCTCTTTACCCCTCCCCTCCCTCCCTCCCTCCCTCCTTCCCCCTCCCCAGCTGTTTGAGATCTTCCACGGCGTGCTGCGCTCCGAGCCCGAGGTGCGCTGCGCCGCGCTGTCCGACATGGCCGCCTGCCGCGAGCGCGACCCCGCCTGCACCTCCTACTCGCATGCGCTGTTGTACTACAAGGGCTACCACGCGCTGCAGACGCACCGAGTGGCGCATGCGCTGTGGGGGCGGCAGCAGCGGGTCATGGCGCTGGCACTGCAGGTGGGGTGGGGGGGGTCGACTGAACGGCGGGGATCGACCAACGGCGGGGATCGAAATGTTTTTTGTTTCCCGAAATCCAACCGCCTCCCCTTGCTTACCCTATTGCTTTCTTTATGACGTCTTTTTCTTCTGTAACCCCTACCCACCTACTCTGCTTCCCATTCCCTCCCCTCCCCGTCCACCTCCCCTCCCTCCCCCTGTAAGTCCCGCATCTCCGAGGTGTTTGCGGTGGACATCCACCCCGCTGCGCGCATCGGCAAGGGGGTGCTGTTGGACCACGGCACGGGGGTGGTGATCGGCGAGACGGCGGTCATCGGGAACAACGTGTCCATTTTGCAGGTGGGCGGGAGGGGTGGGGGCCAGGGAGCAAGGGTGCAGAGAATTAGACAGGCAGGGGTTGAGAAGCGTTTCTTAGCGGCTCCGCTTGTTGTTGTTGTTGTCATTGTTGTTGTTGTTGTTGTTGTTGTTGTTGTTGTTGCTCCCGAAGCACCCCGCCATGACCCCCCTTGTGTACGATCTTGTGTCCCTACCTGACACCCTCGTATTCACGCGCTGGCCCAGCCTCAACTGCTTCCCTCCTGCCTTTCCCTTCCCTGTCCTTCCCTGCCCCTCCATGCCCCTCCCTCTCAGAACGTCACGCTGGGAGGCACGGGCAAGGAGATCGGCGACCGACACCCCAAGGTAGGGGGTGAGGGGGGCGCCAGGTCTGCTAGATCACCCAGCTGCTGCCACTGCTGCTGCCTCTGGTAGCTTGTGTGCTAAGAGAGATCGCATGATACCGGTCCTCGCTTCTTACGGTAATCATCCTCGCCAGTTCCCTCTTTTCCTCCCACCCTAAAATCCCTCCCACCCACCTCCTTCCTATACCCCCTTCCCGCATCGGATATTCTTCTCCTTCCGCGCCGCCCCAGGTTGGCGACAACGTGTTGATCGGCGCCTGCGCCACCATCCTGGGCAACATCTCCATCGGCAAGGGCGCGCAGATCGCCGCGGGCAGTCTGGTGCTCAAGCCCGTGCCGCCGCACACGCTGGTTGCGGGGTCGCCGGCCAAGGAGGTGGGGCCGGTGGCGGGCAACCCCGCGCTGTCCATGCGGCACTGGAGTAAGCGGCTGATGGGGGCTGGGAACGGTGTTGGGGGAGGTGGGGGTGGGGGTGGAGAGAGTGGTAACGGCGGCGGGAGTGTGAGCGCAGCGGAAGGGGAAGCAGCATCAGGGTCGGAGGAAGGTGGAGGCGGGGTGGTGGTGGTGGCGAAGGAGGAGGCTAATGGGCGTCCGTGTTGTGGGGAGCAGAAGAGTGAAGGAGAGACAGGCGCGGAGCAGCAGCAACAAGGGGAACAACAGCAGGGGCAGCAGCAAGCGCCGCCGTCGTCGGCTTTCAATGTGTACGAAGCGGCAGCTACCGCTGCAGCGGCGGCCGCAGCAGTAGCAACATCACCACCATCAGGGGAACTTGCTTCATCCACAGCACCTCCACCTGCACCTGCAGCAGCAGCAGCAGCGGCGGCCCAAAAGGGCAGCAGCAAGAACAAGAGCGGAGGGCGCACGAAACCGCTTCCAGAGTATGAGATATGAGAGCCATCTCTAGGTGCGGCAACAAGCTGCTGCATTCCGGTTGACCCATGGGTCTGTTGCTGTCAGCGGGGTTTGGGGGGCGGCTGGGTCATGCCAAGGCCTGGCGCTTGCTCTCCACTCAAACTGGGGGAGCAAAGCTAGACGTAAGAGGGGTTGAGGGGATGGTGGGGTACTGTGGTTAGGTGGTGGACCGCTCAGACGCAGACATCGCGCGCGCGAACAAGGTGCAATTCGTGTACCGGTGGGGCGGCTATGGTAATGTAGGTTGGGAGGCAGACGCGCAAGGAAAGCTGGGCGGTGGGTATTCCAGATAGGAGAACGGTGGAGGAAGCGGTGTGGAAACAATTTACTACCTTGGATTGCATGCATGAGCGAGCGCTGGCAGGGCCTGCATACCGGGATTAGGTACACGGAGATAGCATACGGGGATGGGGGCAAAGTAATAGTACGGGTATTAGCGGTTTACAGATACGTGTGTAGGTGAGGTATCCGACGCGTTGCCTGGTCTGCTGGGACTGTATAGGAAGGAGAAGGGAGAGCTGGGAGGCAACTAGGGGTTAGGGAGTTGGGAAAGGGAGCAAGTTTTTGAGCTGTATGAGGTGCATAGCCAGCTGTGGATTTTGATGGCCGGGCGTCAGCAATATGGCGGCTAGCTTGGTGGTTGATCGCTGCCAGGGTGAGATGCGTTGTGTGGCGTGCTGTCCTTCGCATCTTGGAAGGACGCACCTCTTGTGTCCTGGTGTGCTGACAGTGCGGGTAGAGGATTTTCGTTGACGTTGCTAGGGCACAGGAAAGGGATGTGGAGTACGTTTCAGGTGGAGTACAACAGACGGAGGAACTCAAGACGGTGGGAGTGGAGGAGGAACTAACACGGTGGTGTAGCCTTGGTTTCCGGGATGGGTGTATCTTTCCGGACTTCGTCCAACCTCCTTAGGGTGGGGGGTGGGGTTTTGGACAGCAGCCTGGGCACGGCTGTAGGTTTGGATTGTCAACAGTCCCGTACCGTTGGCAGTTGTTGCCATACATACCACGTGCAAGGTAAGCACGAGGGAAGACGGTGCGCACATGCATGTGCACATAAGCGCGATTAATCAGAGCGATCACAAAGAAAGAAACCGCAGGGTGACCAGATCAAACAGTAATTGTAATGGTGTACGACATCCTCGCTCTTGCTTGTGCTGCTGGTTAACATGGATTGGTGGGTCTTGCACCGAGATGACATCGATTTGCGGGCCTTGGCTCGATCCGTCTGTTTAGGCGGAAGCGTGGTTCGGGCTCTGCACGCAGCGGCACAAACCCTGCCTTTGATTGAAGAGCGCGTACGGCAGCTAGGCATAAATCAGATCTGTAGTGTGTTGCGCTACCTGCTGGATTCGTCCATTAATCACACCATTCGTACTGTAGTTAACACGTTAGTCCATTCATCCGTTAGTACTGCTGAGATTATGGAAATTGAAGCTTAGCTTTATAGCCTAAAGCGGGCGCTTTGGGCAAACCACTAGGAACGGCCACTTATTTTAGTCGCTTATCACAAACTGGCTGGCCCTTTAAGTCAAACAACTGCATTTGCAACATATAGAGGCGTGCTAAATGCAGATGTTCGAAACGCTTCCAATCAGTCGCGTCTCATCATGTCCGGCCCAACCCCAACGCCTAACCCCAGCAGCTCACAGAAACACCACCAAGCCACTAATACTAATCCACTCGCGTACCAGTTGCGGCGGTTCGGCTGAGCCTCGAAGGCCACGAAGGACACTGTGTATGGGAGCTGGAAGCATTAGCGGAAGTAATGGCTCTAGCGTGCGGTAGGTGACGGCTTCTCCTGCGTACTTCACAAACTGCATCCCAGATATGAAGGACAGAAAACTAACCTGATAAGAAGCTCCTCCTGACGACGGCTCCTGACCCTTCCCATCCTGCCTGCCTGCTTGCCTTCCCGTCTGTCCGTCTGCCTGCCCGCCTACACGCGCACCGTGTACGCACCCAGCAGGGACACCAAGGCCCGCCTGCTGCGTGTGGCGGAGGGCACCGTGTACGGCGCCCGAGCCTCCAAAGCACAGGCGGAGGAGGTACGTACGCTGCGAAACGCCGCCACACCGCACGAGGCGCCGCCGTAGGCTGCAATAGCGACACGCTGTATGTGCTTCATACAGCTTGTGCGTGTCGCATGGATGGACGCCTGTAGCGCTTCCCGCAAGCACATCAGCAGCCCCCTCCCGCCGAAGCATGCCGCATGCTCATGTACGGCGCGTATGTGCGGCCCCATTCGTGAAGACGTACCGGTAATCATCTCACTGTGAGGAGAAACGGCTCGCTCATAAATGCACACAAGTGGTCATACTACCAAAAGATAGCGTGCTAACATACCCAGCCTGCTGGCACCCCTAGATTCCTCAACGTGTTCGTCCGCTTTTCGCTTCACCTAACGTGCAGATTGCCAAGCTCACTACGCTGCTAGCCGCACTGAACACTAACGATGGCGAGCCATCCTTGGCCGTCACACCGGATCCGCCTCCCGCGGCTCCAGCGGCGGCTGCCGGCAGCGCCAGCAACGCTGCTAGCGACATCGTAGCCCCATCAACCGAGCCGAAACGTTTGGGTTCCTTACGTGGTTCAGTGTTGCCTAAACAGGCAGCAGCGCCAGCGACCGCGGCCCCGCTGCACGGCCGCTGGCGGCTGCTGTATACGAGTGAGACGTCGGTTCACGGCATTGTACGGATCCTGCCAGTCTGCTACATCGGCCAGGAAGTTGATCTCAGGTTGGGCTGGGTCTCACAAAGCTAGCGCACAGTAACGGCGAGGGGCAAGAGGAGTGTTCCAGTATAAGATGTGGAATCCACTGCAGTTTCCTTGTGTGGGGTAAGACCCATTGTTTCATACAAGCTTCCCAACTGCACAGCTAACCCTACGCCGTGTGTGTTTTTCACTGTTGGTCGGGTTGCGGGTCGCGGGGTACGGCAGGTACGGCACTTTGTCTTGCAATAATGGCTCCGCAAAAGCCACACCGACGACCCATGGTTCTGCGCATCACCCTGCACCGCCCACCCCGCCGTCACGCACGGACTCCTGTCATCACCTGCAGGTCTGGCCGTGTAACCAACATGATCGACGTTTGGCGGAGCCGGCCACGCGGGCAAAACCAAACCTACACTGCAACTGGCAGCAGCAGCAGCAGCAACGCGATCAGCACCAGCAGCATGCAGGAGCAGGAAGTACGGCGTCCAAGTACGGAAGAGTACGGAGTCCTGGGGCTCAGAGCCGGGGCTCCTCTGCGGGTTACGGGCCGCAACAGGTGGGTGATGAGGGTGTGTACGGCAGGAAGGGATGTGTGTGCCGTACAGCGCAAACTAGGCATGCGCATGGGCAGCTGGTCGGCATTGTATGGCAGTGGGGAAGGGTTGGGGTGGGCTATAGGACGCATACAGATCTTTTGGTTGGATGCGGTCGCTGGTGATGATGCCCAGTAGGGTTATTTTAATCACGCATTGAATGGTTGTCATCGTTCCTGCAGGATTGAATATCGCTTCGATAGCTTTAGGCTGCTGCTACCCTTCCGCCTCCCTGCAAGACCCCTGCTGCTATGGGAGCCAAACAGTAGAAACGGTGCTAGCAATGCCAACAGCGGCGGAAGCGGTAGCAGCAGGAGTTTTGGAGATGAGGGCACTCCGGGAACCAATCACAATCACGACGGAGAGCCGGGGCAGCAGCAGCACCCACAGTGGCGTGTGGCAGCGATTCCGCTGCCGGTGCCTCCAGCCGGGGGGTGGACGCAGGCAATGTACGTGGACGAGGAGGTGCGAGTGATGTACAACAGTGAGGGAGATACGCTGGTATTTGTACGGCAGGAAGAATAATTGCTGTGTATGTGTATGCGAGACCGGTGCATAGTACTGTGTACTGCGATTTAACTTGGTAAAATGTTACAGAAGAGAACACGACTACTCAGGCTCCCGCCTTTCCCGTACGTTTATTTGGAGCATGAGGCACGGGACACTACCGTATTTTCGCCGTACATGTAACCCGCCGTTCTACACTTGCTAGCCAACGATGTGCATAACCGTTGTAACCGCATGATCACTTGCCACTAATAAGGAAATTCAAGAGACGTTTCTCCTTGCTTGCACCTAGACGTGCGCGCTTGGGTAGGGCGCACACTAGATCGATGGGGAATCCAAGGCATCGTACCCAGGCAGCGTGTAGTCCAGGAAATCTAAGCTAACTTACAAAGTAACCGGAAAGGTAAGCTCAATCACTCGGTCCATCCAATAGACCTAAGGGAATAAAGGTAGGACCGAGGCCATAACAAAGGAAATAAAGTAGGAAGTGAAGCAAAGCAGTAGCAAAGGAGTATACCTGCAGTACGACAACGACTGTACTAGACACTAACCTAATAACTGCAACAAGTAACAAAGCCTTGCCTGAATAAGAGTCAACTATATGCTCACTAATGCCCAAACGCCGCCAGAACTCTGCATCCAAACCGCCCGCATGATTCTTTCAGCCCGCCGGGCCCATCTGCCCTTTAACATGCATGAGTTAGGCGTGTTTCCAACCATGGTAACACCAGGTGTACGACAAATGCGGCACCCACGAAGGATTTAGGGCAGACAGAGACCAACGTGCCCTGAACAACATGCATGATTATTGAAGGACCAACAAACAACCTGAAATGCCAACCCCATGCAAACCAGGATGAATACACAGTGCTTGCGGCCGGACATGAGCAAAGGGCCTACTTCTTATTACGGGATGCTCCTTTGATTTGCAGTATTATTTTTGCTATTTATTGCACACGACAGGATAGAACACGACTAGATAGGTAAGTTAATAGTAGGACATAAACAGCACACGGACCACGCACGCTCGTACGTGGTCGTGCCACGTGCAGGCAAGACGTACAGCTCTGCACCTAAAGCAGATGGCACAAATGTCTGTACGGCTGGTAATAAAAGAAACCCAACGGAAGGACAACCAGATGCTACAAAAAAAATCCCCAATCTGCCTTTTTCGCCTGTGGGATGTTGCACGTTGCATGCACACCAGGGAACGCAACAGCAGCGAACAGAACGCTGGGCTTCCATTGCTGGCAAGGACCACGACCGGACAAGCATGTACTTCTGCTGGGTTGTGGATGGACAAACCCGGGGACTGGCTTCCACCTATCCTCGCCCCACATCGCCGCAACGCCCGCGGCTGGCTTGCATTTTCATGCCGCATCGTGGTGTATGAATACGGACAACAACGGATAGCAACAGCAACTCCTGTAATTGTTGCTGTTGGCCCTGCTAAACTAGCCATTGAGCACGTTTGCACAGCTAACATCGACGTACTCGCAACCACAGTAGTGACCCAAGACGACTGCGGCCACAGTGCACTCGTCATCACGGTATGACCCATGGGTCACAACAACCTAGGCCGGAATAACTCAGGCCAAAAAAGAGTCGGAAGGTGAAAGCATCGCAGTCGGACAAAACACATGGCGCACACAGCGGCGCCAGTCCGCTGCCTGGAATGAGGAAAAGGCCAAGGAACCGACCCGATGGTCACTCAAGAAGGAGACACATTGCCCAAAAGAAGATCTCTGTGCGAACAAGATGGGCTAAGACGCACGATGCCCTACATACTAACAAAATGCCTGACATCCAAAGTACCAAGATTGGACTATCAACAATCCCCTGCTCCGCAACAACACCTCGCTCGGCTAAGGCAGGGTACAGGGCGGTGCACATGGGCACCAACGGGACCCCTGCCCGTGCATGGCGCCTCACCCTCGGCAAGGGAAGCAGCCGACTCATACAAAGCTATAACTGAAAGGTAAGATAGGAAAGTAAGCGTAAGAACATCAGCAAGGCAAAGCTACAGGTAATACTAGTACCATAAAGGCCAAGTTAAGAAACACCAACCCGCTCTCATTACAGGACAGAGCTGAAGGCGTAGGTAGGCACGAAGAACACTTCATAACTAACCAAAAACGCCAATCCCTCAATAGAATACCCCCTAGCGTTCAATCCTCTTTCCTTCCCTACGCCCCGCCTTGAGCCGCTAGATCGCGCACACTCCGTGCCATCATGATCGCCATTACACCCTCCCGCACATGCCCAGCTCATGTGCTTGACTCTCATGCTGACCCTAGCATGCCTGTTCGACTGATTCGGACCCAAGCAACGAATACCTACCCAGTCCTACCTTGCTTTAATCAATGTGTGGGGTTGACGGATGCTGCACATCATTCCTCTAACGTTGCAGCCCTACCCGGGTATGCCCGGCCCTGCCCTTCCCGTGTCATCCCGCCGCCCCTTCACCTCCTTCAACACGTCAGCATATGCCTTCCCTGCCCCCTTGACCGCTACTGCAAATCTATCAACAACAACTTTAAACACTAACGGCCCAAAACGTTGTTTTTAACGGAGCGCCAAAACAATCACAGGCTCGTTAGCTTGCATCAACCCTTGCCATACAGGTGGGCGTTTCTCCCCCCTTTCAAGGAGCTAGACGCAACATCGCCTACCCCACCATCTCACAACACATCCGCCTCTCAATACTACAAGCAAGTGTGCCTCTCTAACAACCCATGTAAGGTAGGCCTGCTCCCTCACGCAGGGATGGATGCATGTGCACATCAGGAGTGGGGAAGGGGTTCCCTCTGCTGCAAGTATGGGGCTCCCTCCCTCCCTGCCGGGCGCACCTGCCCATGTGCTTCAGGGCGACCACCCAGCGTATCAAAAGCAGCAGCAGCATCCTCACCAGAAACCGTATCCACACCCACCGGTTTCCTGGTGTAGCTCGCTCACTCCCAAAATTGCCTCTCTCTCCCGTCTCCTCCTCTTCCTCCTCGTTCGCCTCCTCTGCCTTCACCCCCTCGCCACGGCACATCGTTTGCAGACGTAGCTGTTCAGAGGCCTAAAGGCCGAGCCGGAACGTCACTATCACCATCATCCTCTTGCGTGAGGACGGACGGTGGACGCGTGCCAGCCGCTGTGCGTGGCGGTGGTAGCGGTTGCGCTGGCTCCGCCTGCGGTGTTGGTGCGCACGGAAACCGCTGCTGCTGTCGGCTGCTACTGCTGCACCTCGAAGCAGCAGCGGCTGTTGAGTAAGCAGCAGCGGTGGCGGCATCCGTGTCGGCGTCGTTTCGGCAGCAGGAGCCAGCAGCTGGAGTGAAGCACGACAGCAGGAAAGCGCCAGAACAGTTGCCAAAGCTGATACACAGATGCTGCCTTTGCTGTTGGTGTGGGTTCCGCTGGTTTTGCTGCGCCTTACGACTGTTGTTGCTGCCGCCACGGAGGAGTGAGAAGGAGGAGCTGGGCGCTGCTGAGTTGTCGCCAGCTGGTGCTGCACCGTGGCGTGCTGCCGCTGTTGTGTCGAGCTGGCCTTGGGCTGTCTGCTGGGGTCGAAGGTGCAGGGGATGCGGTAATAAGGCGTGACGGTCTCTTGTGAGATAAGGAGGCGTGTGAAAAAAGTTAGGGCTTGCGATGTTTTGTGGCGTATGCTAGAATGGGAATTCGTTGGAGACACGAACACAGAAAGGAGACGAGACAAACGAAACGCAAGGAGCAGCAGTCAGTTTAACGGTCATCCGTTGAAGGGCCACTGATGGAACCCTGCACCAGCGTCTCGCGGGGGGCTCAAATCACGCTGAACGGAGTTCAGCACACGCGTGCATGCAAGCACGCTTACTGCCCACCTGCTCCCCATCAGCCTGTGTCCCTCGTCCTCCTCCTCCTCCGCCCCGGCCGCCACCGCCCTCGCTGCTGTCGCCGCCGCCGGAAGTACGAAAGTAATGCCGGCGTTGCACGGCGGCACTCCTGAGGCCGCACCGAACCCCTTGCGAAGGTGGAGGAGGTTGCGCCAACTGGCCGCTGGTTGGAGCCGGGCGCACTTGTCCGGATTCTCCCGCATCAGCATCTGAGTTAATAATTACCTCCGCCGCGACTTGATGATGCGTCCGCAGCCATCGAAAAGCCTTAAATGCCACATGGCGGCTGCTGCTGCACTTGTTGGTGCCGTTGGTCCTGCTTTGACATTGGGCAGCCTGCGTCGCTTGCCTCGCATCAGTTTGGGTTTGGGGTTGGTAGGATTGCTGGGCCAGCTGGTGTTCCTGCGAAGGGGCATTTGATGCGGGTGGCTTGAGCCGGCGGTCCTTACCGCCCCAGCGGCCCCCAGAAGAGGGCGCAGCCGCAGCAGTAGCCGGTCGCCTGCTTGTGCGAATGCAGGCGACCGCGTCGATCGGCAGCAGCGACCGAGGGGTCCCATGGGTCGGTCCATTGGCAGCTGCTGCTGTGGCGGCGGCGGCAGAGGTGGCGGCGGAGGCCGTTGCAGTGGAGCCGGCCGCCAGTGGCGGCGGGCTGCTGTTCGTACGGCGACCCCAACTGCGTCGCCAGTCGGCCCCCGTCAAGCCGACTGCGGCAGCTGCGGCGCTGCCGCCAGCGCTGCTGCGGAATATGGAGCTAAGGCGCCGCCGGCCGCGGGCGGCTCGGCTTGTGACGTCGGAAGAAACGCGTACGGCACCGGGTTCCGGAGCCTGTTGCGTTAGGCGGGGCGTTAGCGGCGCCATTTGAACTCCTCCACCTCCTTCACCTCCGCCGCCTCCAACGCCGCCACCTCCGTCGCCCCCACCTCCTTCTCCATGTCCGCCCCTCCCGCAGCCACGGCGCACACTTGCCAGCCTCGCTTGCCAATCCGAACCCCAAGGCACCCACAACCCGTTGTCGAGGTTGCTGTTGCCGCTGCTGTTGCTGCTTCGGGGATCAGGCTCGAGATAGCCGCGCTGGGCAGTACGATTTCGGACTGGCGGCCTGTTCGGCTCTGGATTCCTGTATTGCCCCTCGCCGGCTCCAACCGAGGCCGACACCGACGCCAAAGCCCTCGCCGCCGCCGCCGGCGGTGGAGCCCCAAACAGCTCAGATGTGGATTGCCGTACGGGGCCGGCCTCCGCTGCGGACGCTGCACGCTGGCGGCGAAAGGGGCGGCGAGCTGGTTTCGAGCAGCTTGGCGCTGCCTCTGGAGGCGTGATGGCGAGTTGGGGGAGGGGATCTGGACGGTATGTTGCCTGGCTAGCTGGTGCGGAGGCGTCCTTCTGATCTGGGGGGTCGAGCGGCGCGGCGGCAGTGGCAGCTGCTTCTGAAGCCGCCGGCGTCAGCAGCTCTGGCAGGGGCACCTGCGGAGGAAGCGGTGGCTCAGCGCCCCCGGCTGGCTCCAAGACGTGAAGTGGCGGTGGTGGCGGTGATGTCGCCTCCATTGTTGGCGACAAAGCCACCGCCGTTGTGGCGACGGCTGCGGCAGCAGCCACACCGGCTCCCATCTCGTTTCGGTAGAGTTCCTCTAGCTCCGGGTTGCCCACCACCAGGCTGCTAATCTCGAAAAAGTACGGCATGTTGAGCAGCTGCGCCGCCGTGGGACGGCCCCGTGGGTCGGTCCGCAGGCAAGCTTCCAGCAGCTCTAAAAGGCTAGAACCCAGGCCCGAGAGGTGCCGCCGCAGGGGTGACCCGTGGGATCCTTGGTCAGGCGGTTGCCTGGGAGCGATAGTGCGTTGTTGCAAAGATGAGGAGTTACGGAGGAAAGGCATGGGCAATGAGGATGACTGGGGTAATGTGCACAAGGACAGCTAAAGCGCAGGAAGAAACGGCAAACACCAGAATAGGGGTAAGATGGTCTTCCGGCTATCACTGTACGTTCCGACTCGCAGCCAGTTTTCCTTTTACATACTTTCTCCTTCACGGCGATTGCCTAACACATGCACACACGGCCCCTACCCGAACATCTGCATGATGAGGGCGAGCTGGTCGGCGGTGGAGGTGCCCGGCAGCAGCGGGGACCCGGCCGCCAGCTCAGCAACCGTGCAGCCCAGTGCCCAGATGTCTGTACGGCAGGGACAGGGTGTACGACAGGGAAGGGGGGGAGGAGGGAAACAAAGCGCCTTGTAGGTGGTAGCCACTGCTGAAGGTCATGGGTCCTGTGCAGCCTCCTGTGCCAACCCCAGATGCTACTGCGGTCTGGGATGCGATATCGCACAGGTCACAAGGCATAAGGCACAGGAAACATGGCAGCGCATGATGGGAGGACAAGGGTGGAGGGAGCTGGCTTGTGAAGAGGCGGAGGAGGCCGCAGATAGGGACATGCTTTCATCCGGACCCACCCCCCGCCCTCCTAGTCCACCATACATAAGCACGGACGTGCGCAACATTTCAGCCCCTTCCGCCTCCCCTCACCCTCATCGTAGCGTTGAGTTTTCCCCCTTCTCCCTGCCCCGCTCACATTTTCTCTGCCCCTTCCCTGCACTTCTATACCTAAGTTGTCATATATTGCACGTATGCGTGGCCTGAACTTTGCCGTACCCTGCCTTTCTACTGGGTCACGCAATACTTCTGCCTTTAATACCCGTACACCAACACCACCCAAAACACACACCGGCCCCCTGGCGGCCACAGTTCATCAAAACACCACCCTTCCCCTCCACCACCCACCCACCCGCCGGCGGGCCGTACTCCAGCCCCAGCAGCAGCTCGGGCGCCCGGTACCAGCGAGTGACGACGTAGGTCGTAAGCAGCTCGCCGACCCGTGGGTCACTGCCACCCGTGAACCTTGTTTGGCGAGCGAGATATAGCAATCAGGGGAGAACGAGGAGATGAGAGAGCAGGAGAGATGTGATGGATCGTGGTGGCCGTAAGGACCGTTGTTTGATGGAGCGGTGAGGGTGACAGTAGTAGCGGGGATGGCGGCGACGCAATGAAAGCGGTGGTGGTGTTGGAGGAAGGAGGTGGCAATGGCCGTAGGGAGTTGGGAGGTAGTGGTGGGGATGGCAGTAGGGGCGGTGATGGTGGCGGTGGCCGTAGGAGCGGGCGGTGGTGACGGGACGGCGGAGATGCAGCGGTAGCCGTGAGAAGAGCGTTGTCCAGAGTGTTGCAGCGCAATGATGTGTGTGGGTAACGGCAGGCGTGTGAGAGGGCAGGTTGGGGTCTAGGAAGGAATTTTGGCACACGGCTTTGTACGTAAAACCAGCAGTACAATACATTACCAGAGGGTCATGACGAAGGAGGCTGGACCTCCACAGCCCCCACCCGGACAGCCCCCACCACCGTCCCACAGCTCACCTCGCAAACCCAAAGTCGCACAGCTTGAGCAGCCCCGAGTGAGTGAGGAGCATGTTGGAGGGCTTGATGTCGCGGTGAAGTACCTGCATGTGGGGAGGGGGGCGTAAGAGGGCGGGGCATGCGAGGGAAGAGCATGCAAGGTAGAACGACAAGGCGGGCGGGGTAGCAAGAGGGGGCGACGCCTACACACACACACACACCGCGCCTTCGCACATACTCAGGGTCGGTGTCAGTGTCTTGCGACTCAATGGAAGCAAGCAAGCCAAAAACGGCTACCCTGCTCGCTCTCTGCCGCCACCACCAGCACCACCACCCCTATTGCCTCTTCCCACGCGCCCGCTAGCACCTCCCCTGCCTAGCCAGCTAGGCACACGAACGCCACTTCCTATGGTGCCGTACGTACCCTGTTGGCGTGCAGGTGGCGCAGCACCAGCGCCAACTGCCACGTCAGCAGCTTCACATCGCGAGGGGGCAGACCCGCGGGTCGGGCGGCCAACTCCGCAGCGACACACCTGGTGAAGGAGGGAAGGAGATCAGGGGGCGACGATTTGACGACATGACGGCAGCTGGACGGAAAGGCAAGGGGTACAGCTAGGTGATTAGGGAAGCGCAGGCAAACGGGGTTCCGCCTACACTGATTTGGTCTCTGATCGTAAGCGTGAGTGGAAGGCGTAGTAGTAGAAACGAAAGGTTACCGTAAATCCACGCCAGCAGGGTTTTCCCCTGCCCCTCTCCCTAGAGCCTCCCTCCCTCCCACCCTGCCTCCCCCAGTACCCACCTGGGCACATACTCCATGACCAGGTAGGGCCGGCCTGAGGGGCTGCGGAAAGCGTCTCGCAGCGCCACCACTAGCGGGTGCTGCATGGCGCCCAGCAGCCGGGCCTCGCGGGAGGCCAGCTGCCAGGCCTGGGCGGGGGAGGGGAGAGGGGGCGGGGAGGGAGGCCCAAGAGAGAGCAAACCTTAGGAAACCACAAGTTAGGGCAACGCAATGGGAATACGAGGCGGCAGGGTGCCACGTAATAAGTGAGGGTTAGCGGCTCCTACCGATACCTGACTCTCATCCCCAACCTCCTCTCAGCAGCTGTCTGGTGGCCTGATTACACCCTCGCCCAACCACCCCAGCTAACCCACTTACATGCGTATTCCGTAGGGCTCCATGGAACCGTTTGATGGCAACGTACTGGGGTGGTGGTTGAGCGTTGGTGGCAGGGCCGTTAGCAGGCTGGTACACGTGTTTTCTGCTGCTCTTGTCGTTAGGGTTGCCGTTGGGGCTGCTGCTAATGCCGTGATTGCTGCCGTTGCCATGATCCACATGGGCGCTGGGCGTTGCGGCCGTTACGGCGGCTGCTGTTGCGGCTGTCGTTGTTCCCTTTGTGGCGGGTATGATGGCGCACTTGATAACGGTGCCGTACGTGCCCCGGCCCAGAACCTCCAAAAATGCATACTGCAGTGCCGAGTATGAGGGGAGTGGGTGGGGTACTGGCAATGAGTGCACGTATCGGTTCATGGTGCGCATGGCCAAAGGGGAGAAACACCGGTAATATTTAGCAAGCCCGTTGCGTTGCACGCATGCCGGGTGGGTTCAATCTGCTTCCATGCAGCCATGCCGTCAGAGATGGTGCAGGGCGATGGGCTGGGAGGGGGTCAGAGTTACGTTTAAGGGGGAGATGATGGGGGCTAGGAACGCGCTCGCTTGCCAAGAGGTGGCGCTTCTGGAGACGACGCGAAGAGGGGAGCACCGCGGGACAAGGTTCCGTGAACGCACGCAGGAGCAAGAACAACTCATCAACTTGATACGCTTTGCTTCAGCGATTGGGTAGTTATTTAGGAAACAGTCGGCAAAGTGTCCGAAGAGTTCTGTGGTAGACCTTTCCGTTCTAGCACCGACGATTTAGCCAATAACAATAATTCTATTAGTAGTAAGGATTATCAGATGGTATTCGCAAGCCGGATGACTTCACCTGTGCCCACAGTAAATAATTTCAGTCAAGAAGGGCCCAACTATGTAGAAGTGTGAGTTGGGCCTTGGGCGGTTTTACACGTCGAAGCACCGAAAGGACCCGCTCACAAAACATTATAGACATGTGATTACACATCGGGGCCCCTTTCGGTGTTTGGCAGTGCGCGAGCATAAGGGCGATTTGGCGCGCAAACAGGACGCACCTGCGAGTTCGACTCTCCATCCATTGCGAGTACGTTGCCGCTGCCAGCTTTCCTTGTTGTTAAAATTATCCACAAATGACGTCGCAATCCTCCGTCCTACCGTTTCCAGACATACATGCGTTACGGAGCGGGCAATAGCGCAGGTGCGAAGAACATAACTCTCAGGCTCTTGATTGGCTCGACTATCTTCTACCCACAGCGTGGAATGGACGCCAGTGAAACACGTCGGTGAGCTGTTCGGACTACAGGAGGGAGAAACTAGCTGTAAGTACAGACCAGATAGGTTTTCTGCCTTTGTCACTACGTGTTATTTAGTATTGGCCCTACAGAGATATATCTACTGCTTAGCATACAAGTTATCTTGTTATTCTGCTCTCGCGTTAGCGACACGTGCGATGTCGTAATCCTTGAAGGTAGGCAGAACGTGAAGGTCTGCAGTCTCAAATGCTGTAACCTATTGGATACTATTTAAACAGACAGGTTACAATGCATTGCCGGCGGTTGTCATTGCGTCCAAAATTTCCAACCGCTTAAACATACGGCGGCAGAAAAGAATGGTAGCCGACAGTTAAATTGAAATGCAATAGCAATACATCTTACTGAAGAGATGCGGTAAGCCGCGCCGTACGGGAATCTAGATTGGAACGAAATGGGCGTGCTGTCGGGGCCAACAGAAGCCCTAACGAACCCCAGCCGTTACCGAACCGACGGCAACCAGCCCTGACAATGCAGGCAACTTCGATTAATGGGCCACATTCTAGCGTGATCGGGGTTTTGGGCCGGGTGGAAGCGAGTGTGGAATCAGGTCAACTGCGCCGCTATGAAACGGTGACCGTGACCGGACAGTGACCGGGTGGGGTTTCCCCTCATGATTCCTACGGAAGCGTGCAAATTGGGAAGAGACGGCACATCAGCGACGCGGAGAACGCGGAGAACGACGGCACAGAAAGAGCTGGGCTTCGAGCACGACCGCTGCAAACTTGCATGTGGTGCAGCCGCCCTCCGCCTTCCGAAACCCAAACTGACCAGACCTGACTGGCGAATAGGAAGACCAGAAAAACTGAGATATTGACGACTAGCCACATGGGAATCCCGCTGCGGCTAGGAACAACTTAGCAGCATTCTCGGGTGTCGGCATCGCGTCTGGGATTGCGTGATCAGCATTGCATTGCCTTATGGTGGGCGCTGTCTGATCTATCAGGTAGGTCAGTCACAGGCCAGAGGAAGCTAGGTCATTCTGATAAGACCACCGATCGACCAACAAGTAACAATGTCAACGCTACCAGCACGCATGCAAGGGCAAAGCACTGACGGTTTTACGACAAAGATGCCCCGTACCAACAAGACTGCGAACGATTCACATCCAGAGCAACGAAGCTGTAGTAAGCGCACAACTCCAACCCCAAGCATACACACCAGAACACTTGCACACGTACACCAAGGACACTCGTCTAGCTTCGCTATTGTCGCCTGCTGCTGTGATATGTCAGGAATGCGTCAGAGACCATAGAAGGGGCTGGTGGTGGAGGACTTACATTTGGCCGTACCCAGGCTCAGAAGTGAACAACCGTTGCAATGGCTACCGTAAAGGGAACACGGATTCCATAAGGTGCTGCTGAGCAGCGCACCAGTCACGGACGGCTGAGCGCCATGAGCGGCATCTGAGGGCAACCATGACGCATGTTGGACTGGGGCTCCACCAATGATGTATACCGGTAGCTAATGACAAACTCCGGAGACGATGATAGGGTATATGAACTTTGCTAGGCTAGCGACTTCCATTTGAATTGAACCAGAATGAAGCAAGCCCTATTTGCCACATAGCGGTTTCCCGGCCGATAGTGTCGGCTAGTTGCATGCCGTGGGCGAACGACTGGTAGCAAGAGACTCTCGCAAGTCTTGATTCCTGTTTAGTTTTGGGCGAGATCTGTACTGCGCATGTATATACATATGGTATCGGAGGTTGCAGAAATATGCAAATGCAAGGGAAGTTGGATGGGCGGGCGAGGCCTACCGGTATCCATCCTGCGGGCCATCGCGACCAAGCAAAAACGTATACACGACTGCATTTTTGTTGTTTTTCCGTTTCTTACCGCCGCATACGGTGCTACAGAGAAGCAACCTTCAGGCTGACAGCGCTACTGGCATAGCATCCATTGGACAAAGCAGCCAAGGCCTGTAAGCGCCTACATGAATGGCTGACAAGTCCAGGCAAAAATAAAGTTCGCGTACTGCGTTGCGCTCTTATGTATTCAAGCACGCGACTTCTTCACCTGCTGTGTTTCGCAGTTATTCGATTGATAAACGGGCGATTCACAAGGCCGTGAATCGATGCTTATCCTAAGCAAAGAAAGCCACACGCATTGTATGCCATTTAAATACACGTCTGGTTGCCGTACATATGTCGGTTCGCCCCAGCAGTTGCGAAAAGCCGCTTCCTCTCCCCGCGCCCGTTCCCGTCCAACGCGTCGGGCTGGAACCTTCTGACGGGCATACTTATGAAGCGGCTTGTCGTTACTGTATTTAAAGCTACCAAACCATCTGCGTGCCTTGCGACGCGCGTATACCCAGGCTTATCGATTTCAGAAACCTTATATGAACCCGTCATTAAAATAAGTGTCAGAACTAAGCAGTAAGCATGGCGGTCCCCCTGCAAAGGTCCATGTACCGAGTCGTATCGCTCATCAGCGCCGCGTTTATGGCGTTCTTCCCGCAGCTGCTTGAGGGCTACCTGCTGCCAATTAACCGGCCCATAGTATCAGGCCTATGCCGCTATGGGGAGGAACCTGGAACTTGGCTGAACCTGCCTAGCGTGGAGGCCATGCAAGGCTTTCCTCATCAACATCTTGGATACTTTTCTGACGGCCAGCTTCAGCAAAACCAAACTGGCAGTCGCTGGAGGCTCCTCAACCAAGACTGTCAGTTGTCAAACCGACTACGTGCGGACTTACTGGACCCGCCTCCCAGCACTCCAACGCCACGCACCCATGTCTTCTTCATCGGAGACAGCATTGACGCGCAAACACTCGAGTACGTCTGTTATCAGTATGGCCGGGAGAATGGAGTCAATATTACTGAAAACGACGCTCAGTGTCCGCCGACACCTTGTATGCGCACTGGTAGCAACGGCTTGCATGGAAGCGCACCAAATTACTGCTTAACTGGTAAGGAACAAGCTAACGTTAATACGAGTATACCTGCGTACTTTTATTTTGCAGTGTGGCTTTCCTTGTCCCCCAACCACCCGTTCATTCACACAACGAGACCCATTCATAGCACACACGTTTCTCCCCTGATTATCGTTTCTTGTAGCCGCATAGCGGCATCCACAAGCCTCATACCCCTATGGCTGCTGTAGTCCTGGGATGCACTCTGGGTCATTTAATCTGTCACACGCCTCTACCACCATCCTTCCTGTGCCGTACCGCTTCGCAACATTGCCGTACACAATGTCTGCTCTGTAATGGCCGGATGCTCAGCCCTAGGGTAGCTGAACTGTAGATGGCCCTTCTTTCCAATTCGTTTCCCCTTAAATGCCACCATGCTTTCGGTAAACTCTGATAACCCTTGCCCCCCTCCCTCTGCTGCCGTACAGAGAGGTTTCATCTCTACCAACGATACGTTCCGTCAGCTGATCCAGCACGAACAGATCCAATCGAAATCCTGGATTCCTTACGAGAGCACATTGAGAAGTATTCGGGCGTGAAAGAGCCGCAGATGGTGGTCATGGGTGAGCGGTGCCGTTCACATGCTTTGCAAAGGCCTCACTAGGTTGCAATTATAACCAAGCAAGTTTGTTGAGGACTTGAGGTACTTACGGGGTTGAGGATAGCCGGTAGTACTTTGCTAGAACCTGCTTACGTCCTCCCGCCATCTTTTCAACCCATGCATGCTCATGTGTCGATGGCTACAGGACTGGAGTTCTGGGAGATCGCCCATCTGGCCTGGGAAGAAAACAGGCAAGACAGTACGGTACACACACGCATTGTCGCAGGGATGGGTTCGTTGAACAAGCCACTGCCCTTTTTGTGCACACGCACATACATAACGCATGTATATATGCGCCTGTTGGATATGCGCCTGTTGGATATGCGCCTGTTGGATATGTCACCACGTTCCAACAGTTGTGCGAAGTAATGCCTTATGCCTATTCGTGGGACTTACGGATCGGATTTTGCGGGCTCCACAGGACGTACGCGCAAGTAAACATGGACCACACCTTTCTTCCGTTGTGGTGGTTGGAGAGCTTTATGCAAAACTACACCAGCCTTATTAGGCTGGTACGGCAAAAGTTCCCTACGGTGAGTCTTAGCATGCCGGCCCTGTGCGTGTGGCAGATTTTCAAGTATTGCTGGTCGTGATAGCGTAGCCCTTTTGCATGGAACTGTTTGCTCGCCATGCACGCTGTTTGGCTTTCTTTCACGCGTGCGTAATCCTCAATAATGCAGGCGTTAATTGTTGCGCGGACGAATACCTTTCCGAGGTGCGTACCGCAGCGGGGTTTCTAGAGACAGACAACTGCAGCTGCTGCTGCATGGGCCCACACCGCGCGCCACGACTGTCCCTTTACGGATGTGCGGCCTATGCAAGCAAGCTATGCATTGCATCGTACACGTTGCCTGTCAGAGCGCAGCTGCCTTGTGCTGCTGTACGGGTTGACTGCTACGTAAAATCGTTTTCCATACATTCGCTTGAGTTGCCGTCGTGGTCATGACGTGTATGCAGGTATGACTGCTATACAGGCCTGCCACCGCTGAATAAGCACTGGGCAAAGAAGATGTTTGTTGGCCAGGTGGGAATGATGCCATTACGCGGTGGACGGCTGCCGTACATCCGTAACTAACTTACGGCATTTGTAACACTGCCGCAGATGAACGCAGCTATCCGTAACACGGCAAGACAGCTCAATGTGCCCCTCATCGACATTGCTGCCATGGGTGAAGGTGGGTGACGCTGTATTTATACACAAACTAGTTGCTCTTTGTACGGTGCCCGGCGCGCTGCTTACACGTCTCGATGGTTGCGGCTGCTCATGGTTGCAGGTTTAGTGCCGGAGCAGATCCTCATTCCAGGCGACAATGTACATACGCTTCACTGGTTCAACTTGGAGGCGTTCAATATCGCCCTCAACTACTTGCACCAGTACACGGCAGTCACTGCGAAGAGACGACATCGGAGATTATTGATGATATAGCTAAGCACAGAGTACGCACCTCATGCGAACCCGTAGGTATCAGGGATTATTTAGATAGCCGCTGCAGGAGCGCCATGAACATAGGTTGGGATATCGGGAATCGAGCACATAGTGGAAATAGGAAGATACATTGAAGCGGGTTTTCGGGAAGCATGCTGCTGCACGTGTGGTAAGGAGGTGCACGCACGTCAGCTCAACATTAACATTTAATGACCCATGGGTCTTAATGGAGCGCGTCGTGTGGTAATGCGCGGTGTTCAATTTTAATGGGCAGCGGTGGTGTGCAATAATTTTTGCTCCCGGCGGTGTGGAAGCGTGTTATTTTGCTACAAAATCCATTGCCGTTTACTACTCCCGGTGTAGAAGCGTGCTGTTTTGCTACAAAATCCGTTGCCGTATAGGTAGCGTAGTGCTTAGTATGTGTGGGTCATAGCATTGTGCATAGAAAGCCCCCCCCCCCGCCCCTCACAGCGTCATACACTGCGCTGGCGGTCTGTGTTGCTGCAGGATGTGGATACACTGCCATTGATTATTTACTTAAGTCGTCGGTAGTGGGATGGCGATCGTAGCCCACCTGTGACATGGTGTCGTCTAAAAACAGGCTAGAATGTGTAGATAGAGGCGGGTTGACAGATGGGCGGACTGCCCCTTCGGTAACCATTCGCGAGGTAGTTGCAATGATGGTTTACCTCGTTCCCCGCGTATTCATTTTGGCATAGTCGTCTTATTCTTGACAATGTTTTAGGCAAACGTGTGCAGCCGCTATGCAGTCTTGCCAGCCCCGGAGTGTTTGCTCGTCCGGGCCGCACGTACCCATGCATGCAAACGCGCACTGTTAAATATATGTGCGTCCCATTATGCCCTGCAACACCCTCGGGGGCATGAAAGCCTATGAATAGCTATAGTGAGTTACGAAACTCGCTGCACGCTGTTCGCATGCACACGCCTCAGACGTCCTATTTGTTGGTGCAGCAGCTGACGTCCCCGAAACAGTGCGGTACAAGAACCTTTACCAAGCAGGGAGAATTTTAATGTTATACGCCTTATCATGGGCGTCATCGCTTACATGGCGCACTTGTATCGGGCGGCGGGGTTGGTACATAGGGCTTGCGAGCACGGCGCCGTCAACAGCCACACGATGCTGCACCGTCGCATTCGCCCGATCAAGGAGTCCGTTTAAGCCGAATCTTAGTTGCACTTCACTTGCAGCGTGGATAGAGTAATAGCGCGCAAGCAAGACGACAGATAGATTGTAGTGGTACCAGCAGATCCATGTCTGGATCCAGACCACCCATTTGTTGTATATGCACAACTTCAGGCATCATTATTAATTAGAAGTTGTTAGTCTTTTCAAAAGTATACTTGTAATACGGATGCAAACCGCGTATTCACTGTTGTGAACGACTCCTCTTACTATTGGCGGAGTTACATTAGCACAGAGGCGTAGCGTATAGCCTAGGTAACGCTTTGCTTAGGCGTAGCGTATAGCCTAGGTAACGCTTTGCTTAGTCCCGAAACGTCATATCCTATCGGTAAGAGAATCGGTTGCTTGTGTGTCGGACTCTCCCCATGACTTCGGTACAGTACTGTAAACACTTCAGCAGACGCAGGTATTTTTGAATATACTATTATTACCCAGCTTACGGTGGCCCCATTCTGCTCGCGTTTCATTATTGTAAGCGCAAGAAATAATTTACCGCAAATACTGGCAACACACCTTACCAATAGACCAGACGTCTTCAAGGAAACGGTGGACATCATGCTGACACTTTAGGCTGAGTTATACTTGGGTGGTGTCTGGTGTGAGCCCGCTTGACACTGAGGGGTGAAGCAGTTTCCCAGCTTATGCGATTTGCGCATGCTTTATCTTTTCTATCAAAGTATGAGCAAGTAGGAAAATGGTTTACTGGCCCGCTGCCCCTTTCCTTCAAGTAGCGTTTGTGCCTATTCGTCTACTGAAACGTCCCTTTGTCTCCCTGAGTTTCCTGATTTACGAAATCGGCAAGCCTAGCCCTTTGGTTCATTATAGCTGTTCGAGCGGATTAAAGCTATTAAACTACATAAAGGGTAACCATTCGTGCGTAATTTGTCCTTGTCACGCGAACAACTCTAAACCTAACTTGCCCTCAAAACAGGACACGTGGGACAGAACCTTATCGATTGCGGTTTGAGACGAAAGACATTTCTAAATAGTGCGACGAGCTTTGGGCAAAGGTCCATGTACGTCGTCGCATCCCTTATTGTCGCTGCGTGGGTAACACTCTACCCTAGGCTGCTGGAAGCATATCAAGAGCCAGTGAACCCACCAATAGTGGCAAGCTTATGTCGCTATGGAGAGGAGCCTGGAACTTGGCTGGACCTTCCTAGCATGGAGGCTTTGCAACCGTACCCCTTGCAACGCATGAGGCTTGTACCTGACGACAAGCTGCCACACAAGAAAGTTGGCGGCCGGTGGCAGCTCTATAACAAGGACTGTCAGCTGTCAAACAGGATACGTGCAGACTTACTCGACCCGCCGCAACCCGATGCCCCAACGCCTCGCACCAACGTCTTCTTTATCGGAGACAGCATCGACGGGCTTACACTCGAGTATACCTGTTATCATTATGCTCGTGAATATGGAATAAACATTACCAGAGACGTCGAGTGCCCGCCGATACCCTGTCTGCACACCGGCAACGTAGCCTTGGCTGGGAGCGCACCGAACCATTGCATAACAGGTGGGTAAAGGGGAACAAACCGACGAGCTGAACAAGACATCCTCAACCTGCCTTTGCCTGACAAGTGCATGCCTTGCTGGGCTCCAGCACACTTCGAACGGTCATCCATTCAGCATCTGCCCTCCTCTAAATCCTTCTTCTTTTTACCGTGGGAATAATGGGGGCTTGAACTGGTGGATGCCCTGCTAGTCTTTCTTGCTACCAGCCCCACAACCCACCCGCTTTGTTGCTCTGTTCGCCTTGTATCCTACAAGCTGCGTAACTGCACGCAATCTGTGGTCTACGCCCTCGGATAGCGACCATTAAACCTGCTTGTATGGTGCTGCTGCCGTACAGAGAGGTTCGCTATGTTCCATCGGTTCGTGGCAACGGCAAATCCAGAAGAAGTGGATTTCAATGAACTCCTGGGGTTGATGATTTTCTATCTGGAGAAGTTTTCTGGCGTGAAGGAACCGCAACTGGTTGTCATGGGTAAGTGTCGTACAACATTGCCATTTGGCATGCGGTAAATGTCCCATGCGCATGGGCTTTACACATTCAGCACGTTGTTTTCTGTTCCCTATGTTGCTGTCCCAATGCAAACCAACTGGCAGCCAATACATAAGGTGCCCGCCCAAATTCCGCATGTCTTCGTTCTTCCGGCATCTTGCTTACCAAGAATACCGACGCATGCATTGCCACCCCCCCTTCTCCAAAACCTCTTCCCTGACCGCCCCCGGTCCGGTGGACTGTCGCTCAGGGCTGGAATTTTGGGAGCTCGCCCATCTTTCCTGGGACGTCAACAGGCAAGACATGCAAACGCTGTCGTACTATTGACGGAGTGGTATAGGTGGTCCAACCTACCAGCACAGTAGTGATGTAGACATAGGCGCAGCTAGCCATGTTATTCATGTGTCGGCCGATAGTTCCCCTTTGAAATTTCCCTAGGGTTGTATGAAGGACGGGATGCGGGTTGTTCCTACCGTATGTAAGAGGAGCTCGTCGTCCTGGTACGGCAGGGCTTTCTTTCAGAGTCCTGCAATGTCCGCACGGCTTGTGTCTATGTCTACGCAGGACGTACGAGCAAGTAAACATGGACCACACCTTCCTTCCGAAGTGGTGGTTGGAGAGCTTTAGGCAAAACTACACCAGCCTTATTCGGCTGGTACGGCAAAAGCTGCCCTCGGTAAGTTGCATGAGTGCAATCAATGAGAGCTTATTTAAGGGCTTGGGAGCTTGCAAGAGCTTAGTTATAGTTTGCATCAGAGCTTTGTTCACACAGGTTGGTTACTAGCGCACATACACCCTTCTTAATGGATTGTCTTTTGATGCACGCACAGTTCAAACGTGCTGCTTTATTACCGGTGCATTCGCATGGGAACAGTGGCCTGAATGTTACAAGAGCCTGCCGCTTCTTAATGCAACTTCTACACCTGATTCACCCACACATGCAGGCGCTAATTGTTGTACGAACGAACGCCTTTCCCTGGTGCGTCGCTTCACTGCTTGCTTACCGGTTCACCAGCATAGTGGAAGGGGTTTAGATGTCTCGGTGGGCCTTAGACGGTCTGACGGTATGACGGTCAGGGGTGCGTGACTCATTGGGATTATGGGTTTACCAAATACTACAAACTTCAGACATGGCATTTTACTTGCTGTCCTTGTATGCTACATATGCAACAGCCATACATGGGGAGTTCGAGGAGAGCTCATGCAAGCCTTGCATGCATCTACCACGCACCATCGACGCACGTAGCCTGTTTCCTGGGGCCAGTCGCACTTTGCGGACGTAGCGCTGATACCGGCCCCGGTCGCAGGCTGCGATTGTGCTGTGTGCTTGTTTCCTTCGTCCATGCGTGCATGCGTGCATTTGCAGGTACGATTGCCAAGATGGCAAGCCGCAGGAGCGTAAGGGCTGGGCGAAGAAAATGTTTGTTGGTCAGGTACGTTGCAGGGACGCGGCCTGATGCCTTCAAGCGCTGCCGTACGGAATGGTGGTTGTAAGGTTGCCTTATGACGCTGACTAGCAGCACCGTACATAGCCGATAGAACGCACTGCAATCAACCTCTAGCCACTGCATTCTATTAGTCCTTGATCGAGGGACTAACGAGCTGTGTGCCTCATTTACCTGCTTGCTGGCTGGGGTATGATCTCCTTCAGATGAACGCGGCCATTCGTGCCACAGCACGGGAGCTCAACCTACCCCTCATCGACGTCGCTGCCATGAGTGAAGGTACGTTCTGGGATGCGACCATATGCCGTATAAAGTGTATTAAGGCAAGGCAACGACATGTTGCCGCTTCAGGGTTAGTTTGAGCAATTGGTCGCTGAATGCCACCCTTTTGCCTGAATGCATTGACCCTGGAGCGCATCCAATGAAGAATGGAGCTCTTGATGTCGTTGGTCCTGAATGTCGGTGTTAGTAACTAAACGGTGGTTGGTCCTGGTTGGTTGTTGGTGGTGTCTGCAGGTATGGTGCCGCAACAGTATCTCAATCCGGGAGACTACGTGCATTCGCTTCACTGGCTGAACCTTGAGGCGTTTAACATCGCCCTTAACATCTTGCACCAATATACGGCAGTCACCACCGCCTCAAATAGTCGGTAGAATAAGCTACGTTATAATCGAGCGGTGGCGGATCGTGTAGGGGATGGATGCTTGATCCACCGATAGGTTGGGGTTACTAGAGTAGGAGTAGGAGTAGAGCGCTACGCATGCATGGTGCTCACGATGTGAAGATATGAAGTAGCGGATCATGATTACGCCTGCATGCATGCCTGGTAAGGCCAAGAAACAATTTGAAAACCTCGTGTGACCCATGGGTCAGGTTTTGTGCCTTTGAGGCACGGCAATATGCGAATCTACATGCAGGCGTGGAGTTGCAGTCAATTCCGAGTGCGTGCACCGTGGGGGTGCTTTTATATGTCCTCATGATTTTCCTAGTTCCCGTTTAATGAATGCCGTGTCACACCTATGCAGCGTGAGCTCATAAACCTTGCCAACGGGCTTGAACTGATAATCCGTGCATCACATAGGATATCCCTCCTGTGTGGTTACAAAACTGACCGCGAGTCCTGAATGTCTGCCCGCCCGTACGTCTATCGCTATTGCTGTGTTTGCCTCTTCACTGTTAAGATCCAGTCGTCAACTTGCCCCAATGCGCATCAGCTACATGCTTCCATCATCAGGTACATCGTCAGGCAACTGTTAAGAACCAACCCGCTGTGGTTGATGTACTGGTCTGCGAACTACGTTTGCTATATAAATACAGCCACGCATGGGCTGATGCATTCATGCTACCTGCTAAGCCAAGCTGAGCCCCAGGTGCCTTACCGCTTTGCTTACGTTCTTTCCTACTGCTGGGGAATCCAAGAACTCAAAACATCTTGCAGCACTTGGATACATGGTCGCTATAGGATGCCCTGGCGCCAACATCGCGAAGACATTGTGTGCGCTACAATGCACCGTCAAGCTCAGAGGAGCTCAGAGGAACATACAGTCAATCAAACCAAACAGGCCATAGTTCCAGATTTCCAGGTACTAACAATTAAAAAACTACCTGTAAGGTTTGCATGCATGCATGTCCGCGCAAGTTGTACGGCGCGACCATTACCAGTGTAGCTCAACTACACACAGACGTTTTAAAAGCCCCCTTCCGTAATATATTCCACTGTTTGTTTGTGACGAGTTGTACGGACAATATCGGTATAGGGGAACGCCCCATTCAGGAAGCCAAGCATGGCTGTTACCGTGTTACGGCACACACGCGAACTCCTTTCCATGCAGCGTACCACCTTTCCTTTATCCGCGCCGTTGCCCTACAGGACAGGACGAGTACGGCAGTAGAAGCCCTGCCAACAGGAAGTGTTCATCAATTTTATCAGCAGACGACCCAAAACACAAACACACATGAGTTGTCCTTTCCATCGTCAGTCGGCATTGACTATGCGACGTAGGGCCCCTCAGCCACAATGTTCGCACCGACACAACAGCCTCCAGAGCCAAATCGACTGACCATGGGCGCGGCTCAGCACGCAGGGTTCAGATCACACACACATAGGCGGCTCAAATGGAGCCAGCTACTGCAGTTGAGCAAACACGCATGTACTAGCAACACATACGACATATACCCGCAGACACAACCTGGCCCTCGCAGGAAGATCCCCAACATGCAACACGACTCCTCTGTTGTCATGGACAAAGTCCCAGCGAAATCCCGCAACTGCCCACCGCAACCAGCATTGCCAGCGTGTTTCTCACCCATCCATGCTGACAATGGACCGGGAATGGTGGGGTACAGTCCTACACGCACAAAGTCAACATTTAGCTGACATCAGGACATCAGCATGAGTCCGTCATTCATTCGGGCTCGTGTCATTGGGCCTGCTATGACAGACTATTAACAGACCTAAGGACAGACACTCCTTTGTTCCCAGTGCAATTGCTGTTGTACGGTTGCTGAGCAGCATCAGCAGCAGAACCGTGTCAAAAACAGTCCATCAGAAGTCCGCCCAATAGGCCTTGCATCAGTCACCAATCCCTCCCAGCGATCGTTCAACGCAAAAGGCCCAAAGCCATGCCAAAACACGTACAGTCCTCCTACACCCACCCACCGCGCCGCCCTTTCCACCTTTCCTTCCACAGTCATGTTCGCCTTTTCCTCCTGCCAGGCTCCGTCCCGCTTGCAGGAGCAGCTGCCCTTGCGGAAACGCAACCGGCAACCCCGGCTGCTGCAACCTCACGGTGCACCCCTCCTAACAGGAATCTTTCAAGCCGCTTACACGCACCGCGTCTGAAACAAAAAGCGCAACCCGGCGTTTCGCAGCCGTGTCGCAGCATGCTCCCATCTGCGCACTCATCCCATGCAGCGGCCCCAACCAGTGCCACTTCCTGTCCCTGTGCGTTCAAAAAACACCACCCGCCCGCCTCCATCCAACCGACATCCGACTGCGTGTTAACATGTGCGCCTCCATCCAACCGACATCCGACTGCGTGTTAACATGTGCGATTCCTTCAGCCCCCGCCGGCCTGCTGCATGTGCTAACAACCTCGCATGCAACAGCAACAACAGCCTGCAGCAGCAAACGCCCTTTCGGCATGGCTTAAAACTGACCGGAAGCATGCTCTGTAGGACCGCCCGTTCCATCTCGGGCCTGAACCAAGCGCGCGTGCGCACGCACCGACTATACCCCACACAACCACACTGCAGGGAGTTCTTTTGTGGCAGCAGAACATGTACAACGACATCCTACAAGGCTGCCGCGACGGGCTACGCTTCCGCCCCTTACCCCTGCAAACGGACAAACCCGCTTTGGGAAGCACACTCACATTCATAGCTACATACATGCATGCTGCGACGACAGAAGCTGTGTGCTGCACATCAGACGCTTTCAGACCACCCTCTCCTCCGCCAGAAGCTCCCATGCACATGCACATCACGCGGCCTGTCTCAAGAGCCCAGCCACATGCTGCGATTGTAGCCATGGCCAACTCCTGCCGGCAAAGAGGTATACCACACCACGTCCCATGTCGTACACCCACGTCCTAACAACCATGCCACATCTCTTACCTTCCCTTCTCCCCCTACTCCCATCTCAACTCCACATCCACAATCTGCTCCCGTGGAGTCACCAGCCGCCATGCCTCCGCCCCCGCCGCCTCCGCTCCTGCCGCCTCTGCCAACACACATGAAGACGAAGCAGAGCTACCCGGCCATCCCGACCCAACAACCTCCACTCCTCCTCCGGCTCCTCCTCCCTCGCCTCCGCTGCTGCTGCTGCCACTGCCACCTCCCTCGCCGCCAACAACAGGCGACTCGCTGCCACTGCCACCACCACCACCACCAGCAGCAAGCCCCTGCGACACCGCCAGCGCACGAACAGGCAGCAGCGCCCCCGCCGGCTCCTCCCACACGCTCCCAGGCACCGGTCGGAACAGCCCATCGCGTCCCTCCTTCAGCCAGCGAAGCAGCACATTACCGGCCGTGGGCGCCGGCCGCGCTAGGCGCTGCACCAGGAAGAAGAACCGTTTGTTGCCGGTGCCGCTGCTGCCGCCGCCCGTCGGCGCAGCGGCGGAGGCGGCGGCGGAGCGCCGGCCGGAGCCACCGTCGGCGTCGCCGATGATGGCCATTGGCGGCCCCACGGCGGGCTCAGAGGAAGCTGGGTTGCTGCGTGTCTCCTTGAGGGCCATGGCGGCGGCAGCGACGGTGGAGCGCGGCTTGACGGCCGTCACCATTGGCCGGGGGTTGCTGTCGGTGTTGGCGGCGGCGGCGGCGGGCTCCGTCGCCGCTCCCGCCGACGGTGGCGGCACCGGCGGCACGGGTAGGTCCGGAGAGGCGGTTGCCTTGGTGGTGGCAGCAACCACCCCCCCTGCTGCTGCCGCCGCTTCAACTGCAACGACAGCTGCCGAGGGGCCGCTTCCCCTGCCTTCAATCCCTCCCACCTCGACTTGCTCGAGCACAAGCTCTTGCTTGGGCTCTTCATCCACCTTCCCCGCCGCTCGTGAGGACGACTGGACACGCTGGGCGCCGCCCTCACAGCCGCAGTCAACCTCCGCAGCCTCATCCCCATCACCGCCGCTGCTGCTGCCAGCAGCGCCGTCGCCCCCCGCGGGAGCTGCCGTCGCAGCAGCAGCAGCCGCGGCGGCGGCTTTGGCGGCGGCTGCAGCGGCCGCCCGTGTCCGCCTCTCAGCGGCCTCCGCCGCCGCTGCCGCCGCCGCCGGGGTGGCTCGCCGGCGTCGCGCGCCCCGCCCCAGCACCTCCTGCTCCTGCTCGTTGTCAGCCTCATCGCCGCTGCCGCTGCCACTGCCGCCAGCCTTCTCTTCCTCCTCCTCCGTCGCCGCCGCCGGCGGCTCGCTCTCTGCCTTGCGCTTGCGGCCTCCGCAACCAGCCCTGGTTACCGCCTCCGCCCCCGCAACCGCTTCAGTGACCGCGGCGGACTTTGGCGGCCGGCCTCGCCCCCTCTTCACTGCCGTATTTTCTGCCGTCGCCTTTGCCGCCGCAGCCGCCGCCTTCGTAGTCTTGGCAGCGGCAGCCGGCTTTTTGAGCGTCACTGCCTTCTTAACCCGGGTGCCAGTCGCCGTCTTCGTCTTCGTGGTTGCCGCCGCACCCTTGGAGGGGGTCGCTGCTGCCTTCTTGCGACCTGCCGCCTTGGTGGTCGTGCCGGTCGCAGCGGTACCAGCAGCCTTTCGGCCCCGTCCTCGCGTCGCAGGCGCTGCCTCCTCCTCCTCCTCTGCCTCCGCCGCCTTCGTTGTCGCGGCCTTGGCATTCTTCTTCGTCTTCTTAGTCTCTGCGGCGTCGGCGGCGGCCTTCTTTGCAGTCGCCCTGCGCTGTCGCGGCTTCTTCTCAGTCTCCTCCACTTCCGACGCCTCCGACTCCTCGTCTTCCTCCTCCTCACTCGCCTCCTTCTTACTCTTCCTGCCGCTCCCTCGCGTCTTGCTAGCGGCGGCTGCAGCACTCGTCTTGGCTCGTTTGGCGGGCGGCTGCGAGCGGCGGCCTCGTCGGGTCTTCACACCGGCCGCCTCCTCCTCTTCCTCCGACTCCTCCTCTTCTTCCTCCTCCTCCTCCGACTCCTCCTCTTCCTCCGACTCGGTGGGCGTCTCGTAGGGGTCGACCCACTTGGGGTCGAAGAGCTTCATGCTGATCCGCACCACATCCTTCAGCGCGTTGCACCTGCGGACCGGAAGGGGAGGGGGGGAGGGCAATGAGAAGGGAGTACAAAGAGGAACGAATCATGCGACAAAGCTCCACCATAGAAGGCCCCTCCCTCCCACCACCCCTACACCTCCCCCACCCCTCCCCCTCCCCCACCCCCACCCGCCCCTCACCTGCACGGCACCGCCTCCTTGCCCACCGGGATCCACTCCTTCAGCCCGAAGTTGATGGCCTCAGCGCAGTTGAACCCCGCGTTGAAGCCCGCGTGGTAGGCTGTGGGCGGGGGAAAAACATAGATAATGCACCAACGGAGTCCCAATCCCGAGGGGAGGGGAGAGGAGCCTCATCAAGAGGTCCAACAGGAAAGCCAACCAGTACGGTATCTGACAACGCCACTTTGGCGTAGGAGGTAAGAACAAGACAACAGCCGCCACACCCTCCCTCCCTTCGCATCCACCAAAACCGCAACCGCCAACCGATGCCACATCCCTTTGACCGGTGTGCCGCGTACCTGCCGCGTTGAGGATGACAAACTCGTTGGGTCGCTGGCATGCGCGCATCATGGGCACTCCGTAGGTTCGCAGGCAGGAGGGCGACAGCATGATGTCCTTGTGCCGCACGAAGGCGGGGCAGGCGCGGTGCAGCTCGGGGAAGAGGCTCTGAGAGCGGGGGAGGGAGGGGAGGGGGGAGAGGGAGGGGCGAGGGGAGAAGGATGAAGGAGGATAATAGACCAAGCGGGTTACTATGACAGGGCCCCTCCTCCTCCTGCTTCCTTCCTGCTCCTCTCCCCCTTCCTGCCGCTAACCACACTACTGTGACACCCTGCCGCATCCCACCCCACCTGTCTTATACCCTCTGCCCCCACTGCTAAGGTGGTTGTGGCACCCTTCTTCGACCCCCCCACCCCACCCCCACCCCAACCCCACCTGCGCCATGCGCTCGAACTTGTACTTGGCGCTGGGCGCCACGCAGTACCACACCTTGGGCGCGCCCCAGTGCAGGAAGTTGACCGAGTAGAGGTCGGCGTCCTCCTTGTGCCAGCCGAAGAAGGAGCGCCACATGCCAAAGTAGGTCATGGGGGTGGTCACGCCTGGAGGGGGGGAGGGAGGCGGGAGGGAGGGGGGGTGCCGTGACATCCATGCACTCCACCCCATACACACCATCCCCATCCCCCCCATGGGCCGATTCCCATGTCTGCACTCACACACCCAACGGTGAAGCCTACATGCCGTACACCTCGTCATTGTCTTCCTCCCTAACCTCCTCCTCCTCCCTCTCCCATTCCCGCTCCCCTCCTCCTCCGCATCCCCCTCCCCCGCCCCGCCCCTCCCACCCAGTTTCCTTATATCCGCCCCCTCCCCCGCCCCGCCCCCCCCCTCCCAGTTTCCTTATTTCCACACCCGCCACAGCCCCGCCCCCCACCCAGTTCCTCTTTTTCAACCCCCCCCCCACCTGGCACTTGGTCCACCTTGGGGTTGCTCTGCAGCAGGTCCCCCAGGTTCTGCAGGTTCCAGCCGTACGACAGCTTGTCATCGAAGAAGCTGGTGGGCGTGTCGGCGCCGTACATGGGCGGGTTGAGCGTCACATTGGCCCAGAAGGAGCGCTCCAGGTCCGCGTCAACTGCGTCCGGGTCGACTGCGCCGCCCCCCTCGGCGCCATCACCAGCGTCCGCGGCAGCAGCAGCAGCCTGAGTGCGAATGGGGTGGAGCAGGAGGGGGAACAAGGGGTTTAGTAGGTGACATGAACCCACTCCCTCGCAGCCTCTCTCCCCAGCATCTTCCAGCTCCCCTGCCCTCACTTCCCCCCTATCCCCCCATTGCTTTGCCCTAACCTGTGGTTTTGGTTTATCTCTGACCCCCTTACCCCTACATCCTACCATCCGTGACCCACCTTCCCCCCTCCCTCCCACACCCCAGTCCCATCTCCCCCCCACACCCACCCTGCTGCCCCCCGCCGTCTCCACCGGCGCCCTGTTCCGCCCCGCCGAGGTGCTCCTGGTGCTGCTGCGCACCCCTCCCGCTGCTCCTCCTGCCGCCCCCTGCCCGCCCGCCTCCCCCTGCTGCTGCGCTCCATGCACCCCATGCGCCCCCGGACCCCCCCGCAGCCGCGCCGCCTCCGTCTCCGCCGCCTGCTTGAAGTCCGCCACCGTCATGGGCTTCTGCTCCACAAACACACAGCGATAGGCGCCCTGGGGGGGAGGCGGAGAGGTGGGGGGGGAGGTGGGGAGGAGGTGGGTTTGAGCCAAGCCAAGCCCATGTGGCCCTCTGCCACCTCTCGCCGTTGCATTGCTTGAGAGGAGGAGAGAAGGAGGCAGGGGTATACCCCACTCCCCAGCGTGGGGCGTGGGACCTGCCCCACGCTGGGCCCTACGATGGGAGGCCCCACGCACCCATGCCAGGCCTCCCCTCATGAAGACCTGTACCTGGTGTCCCCCGCCCAACCCCCAACCCCCTGCCCTCGGGGGTAGGGCTCGTCAGTTTCCTCTGTGAACCCCCCCCTCCCCTGGTGGGACGGATCGGCTCGGACGGATCGAGACTCCCCTGGAGCTCAGGGCCCTCCCAGCACTGCCCCCCGGAGCCATCCCGGGCGCCAGGAGGACCACGCCCTCGCCCCCCTCCCCCCGCCAGCCTTCTCCGCACCTTGCGCCCCATCCACCCCCGCACCCCCAGCTCTGTTGAGCGCCCTCCCGTGTCATGCACACCCACATACCACCACCTCACACACCCCTCCCTCCCTGCATTTCCTTCCGCCCCGTGTGCCCCCGGCCCCGCCGCAGGACGAGACGTCCCCCCCTCCACTCGATCCCCCCGCACCAGCCCCCACTGCTGCCTCATTACTCGCCGCCTGGCCCCAGCTTTCCCCCCCCCCCGCCATCCCCAACACACACACCTTTGTCCCAAAGACGTGTTGCCTGATGGGGCAGTTGATGGTCACCCTGCGCAGGTCCGGGAAGGGGGTGCGCCGGGGCTTCCAGCCGCGCGGGGGCACCACCTGCACCGCGAGCAGGGGGCAGGAGGGAAGGGGGAAGGGGGGGAGGGAGGGGTTAGGGAAGCAAGGGTGATCCGCAACCCCATGGAGAGAAGGGATGGAGCGCGTGGCAGGGGGCGCTGCCGTGTCGCCTCTTACCCATGCCAGATTGACCGCGGCAACCCTGCACCTGCCCCCCTTCTCGTGCTGCCACGCTAGCCCCAGTCCCAGATGACCAGATCCACAGGGACCTCCCCCAGCCTCTGCCTAGATCCGTCTACAACCCGTTCCGCCTTGACCCAGATCCATCCAGACTTCGCCTCCCCTTGGGACCCAGATCGACTCAGGCCCCGGTCGGCTGTCCCACGGCGGACCCATGGGCCGCTGCTTCCTTAGCGGCCTTCCGCCTCCACCAACAAGCCCATGTGCTCATGGCGCCATGAGCACATCCACATCACCCATGGGCCATACATGGGCCATACATGGCTGATCCACATCTCCAGCCCGGCAGCCATGCCCGAACGCGCTCCCAAAAAGCCGCCCCCGAGCCCAACCCTCAACCCCACTCCCCCAAACCCCGGGCAACCCCGCTCATGCGGCCCTGCTCGCTCCGCTCCATGCGGCCCGACCCTCCCCCCATCACCCCACCACCACCCCACAGAGCCATTCCCCCACCCACCTTGAACATGGGCAGGTCCGGGTGCTTCCGAAAGATCTTCCTCATGTAATCGCAAAAGGGCTGATCAAACTCCTCCTTCGTGGGCCGGAACACCGGGCACATGGTTCCATAATCCCCCATGTTGGCTGCTCCTCCTGCTCCGCTGCTGCTGCTAGGTTGTTGCTGCTGCTAAGCTGGTTGAACTAGGTGCGACTGGGCGCGCTATATCTTACAGGCTGTGCGCCCGCGGCGCGGCAGGCAGCCGGCGCCGGGGCCCCTAGGCAAGCAGGGTCTAAAGGACGATGCTGCTCCGCCCACCCGACTGCGCGGTGGGCGGGCAAGAAGCTTTCAGCGCTGCGTTAGGTGTAATTGGGGACCTCTGTTGGCTGGAGGATGGCCAACTGATCTCCGATCTAACTGCAGTTGTCCACTATGTCGTTTACCGATGGCCGGCAACACAGTCGCCCGGGTGACACTTTGTGGCAATATCGTCGGCTGCCACAGAGCTGCGGCACCTGTGACATCACGGCAGGTTGGGCAGCATCGGTTAATCATGGAACCCTGAAACGGCACAAGCGAGTGACCACCTGCCCAGTGCCCACAGAATAGTTCGACAAGCACCCCATGTATAGAAAAACAGATATGTTGTGCCCTAAGGGGCCGCCTTCATACATAACAAACCTTCCGTGGAAAGTATCTATGTGATGACGTGGTGCATCCTACCATGTAAGCAATGAACATGCAGCAGTGATGCCAGACTTTAACGAAGTAATATCGTGCTGAAATGCCGCGTGCCCGATTAACCTGACGGTACAGGTGTCGCATCGCATCGTCAGGGCGAACACCTGAAGCTGTCTAATACGTGCTTGCACCTTTTCTCTACAAAATAATGACATCCATAACACCAACACCATGTCCGCAAAACTGGGACAAGACACATCGCCCTTTAAACAACCTTCGCAAAGCAACTGGCTCGAGGCACACGCCATACACCTTTTGAGGAGGACTCACATGCATGCAAGTGCGCAGAGGGCGGCAACGCGGTTGCAGAGTTGCCGTCGGCGATAAAAGGATGCGCCCTGAGCCGGCATCGGCTCGACCCACCTTGAGCTATCTGCTCGCCTGCTAGTTGCTCTCCCCCAGGGCCGCTCTTGTCAATGCCTTTTCCACTGAAGCTCCTTTTGCTACTTGCTTCCCTTGAGCCGCTCCTCCGCTTCTGCTGCCAACAAAGCCAACAAAGCCGACCTAACGCCAAAATCTGCAGAGCTTGCTATTGAGAAGGGTCGGCAGAAGGATACGTATCGATGGTCAACTCGTAAGGGCTAGGATGCGTAACAGTGTCAGCGGTGGACACACTTGTTATTGTTTGTGTTGAAAGAAGGATGACAGCACCGATGGTCTGACGTTTTTCGTTGCTCTTAATGCTATGAGTTGGAAACGCTGTAGGCAGTGGGCGTATACCAACCAGTCCTTGCGTTCGGTACACCATACAGTGACCCGTACAGCAGCACCGGCCGCCGTAAGGAGCATGGATTTACCGCGCCAACTTGCAGTCGGTACACTTTCATTGTGTTTTCGCTGTTTTTGTGCTGGACACGTTCTTGCTTCTTGCTCTATGGCAAAGTTTGGGACTTCGGGCTTCCTGCCCTCCCAAACAACTCAAGAACTGGTCCACAAGGAACCTCTGTGTCACCTTTTCTGAATTGATGCATGGCATTTGTACGCTATATAGCGCCTACATGTGACAGGAAATGAGGTGGAAGGTCACCCGTTGGATTTCTGTAAACAAATGCCCGGACTTACCCCAATATAACTCCAGTGTATTAGCACTGCCTAAATGTACGTCCTATTCGGGCTTCGTAATGCGTTATAGACTGAAAAGGCATGGCGATTGACCTAGTGGCAAACGTTCATGAGGCATGCAGCTGTTAAATCCTTGTACGTTTAGTTATTTCAACTGTACCTAGCACCTAGGCTGAAAGGCATATCCGGTCGGCGGCGCTAAGACCTAAGAGTAGGAACGATGGTTCAGGGTCGCGACCCATGGTTCGCGTAACCAACACCACCAAGAGGCATACTAGACTCCGCTTCATCCGGAGAAGCTCCTACGCTATCCCTATCGCACACCCGAACGTCAAATGTTTTCCGCCTGTCAAATCCGTGCAGCATGGCGCCTGTCGCTCCTCAAATGTGCAAACGTCAGCGATCAATCCTGCTTTCCAACTTAACCGCAAAACTCCCCTAACAAAACCGCAAACGACCATGCACGCGCGTTCCCCCAAAAATAAGTCCAGTTGTGCTACACCTTCTTTGCACACCCCGCCCCACATGACAAAACACGGTCCAAGGGGCCCGGGTCCAAAGCTGTCGTAGCGACCAATTACCTGTCAACACAGCTTTCGCCCTCATCACCAGGCAACCCAGCTGTGACCCCACCCAGCAGGATTTACCTTGCGATACAAATCACGGTTTTGCGATTCGTATACCCGACCCAGGGGTCACTTTGAAGCGTTACTCCAATCTTGCGACTACACCTAACGCACCAGTCAGCAGGCGCATCGTGACGCAACCCCTGTCACTGTTAGCATTGTATACCAACAGGTGGCCCATTCACCTGCTTAGAGCGGCGATTGCAATCCAAAGGGTCGAGCTTCTGGCTACGGAAGCCTTGGTCTCCAGTCAACGGCGATCCCGCAACCTTATATCCACCTCGGCAGGACGAGGTTTGCCTCAGGCACGAGGCAGGGTCACACATCGGATCACGCCACACCTCACCTCCACCGCTGTACCAGATTAGTCCTGCCGTTCCACCGCTCACCATCATCACCCGCTGCCCCACACAAAACTACAAGTTGTCCATCCTTTCTGTCAGTTAACGGAAAGGACGGGGCAGTCTGCACTCCGGCAATCCCTTTATTTTCATCCAAGCCGTAACGGCTATCGACGCGTACCTAACCTTGTGCGCCAACGTCTGCACATCGGACTGCAGCGGACAGCGCCCACTTCACCAGACATCGAACGCCAGCAGTCAGCGTCGGCCCCCTCTTGCATCCCTTGTACCAGCCGTCACCACAGCACAAGCGCACGCACATGGCGCGGGTCCGCAGCCGTTTCGGAGGCGCACTGGCGTGCTTCTGCGGCGCGCCGCAACAGGGTACCGGTATCGCCGACGATGACGACGACCTCCCGCCGCAGCAGTGCGCAACCCAGCCGCCACCTCACCCGCAACACCCGCCGGCGCAGAAGCTCAAGCAGCAGCAAGCATCCGTGCCGCAGCGCGCCTCTGCTGTCAAGCAGCAGCACCAGCATATCCCGCTGCACCCCCACACCCGGCGCACCATCCGGGCCCACCGGCGAGGCAGCCCCGGCAGCAGCAGTAACGCCTCACCGAACGGCAGCACCGCCAGCCCCGCCGCCGGCAGCAGCCCCGCCGCCCGCACCGCCGAGCACCGTGAGCAGGAGGAGCTGCCCGCCTCCGCCTTCGCCGCCGCCGCCAGGACCTTCTCCATGGCTGAAGACTCGGAGAGCCTGTCATCGGTGCCCGCTTCTGAGGCGGTGTTTGGACTGATGGCTTGCCGCACGGCGGACAAGGCGGGCGCGGACAAGGTGGCTGCTGTGGGCGGGGGTGATGTCAGTGCTGGTTCGGGGCCGCCACCCCTGGCGCTGACTTCCTCGGAGGGTGGTGTGGGGTGTCCGGGAGCGGGTGCGGGTGCGGCGGCTGGCATCTTGCGGCCCATGGCGAGTGCGCCCGGCGACATGGAGGGCCGCCGCCTGTCGCTGAGGAGGTAAGGGCCGCGTACCGGCGGTTAAGGACGTCGCACTGTTGTCACGGGAGGTAGAAGCTGGGAGTAATCGACTGTGGTTGCGCTGCTGTATGTGCTCCTCCTGTCCTGCGCCCTACTTCTAGCTTAGGAGGACATAGCTCACTTGCTTCTGCACCCTTCCCTTCGTCTTCCGCGCTCCTTCTTTCTTGCCTAACCCTCCTTCCCTCGCCTGCCCACTTCTCCCAACCGCGCACCACCTCCCCTGTACAGGCAACTCACCGCCAGCAAGGGTCTCCTGCGTACGGCATCTCGAACGGCATCCGCCCCGTCTTCCGGTGTCATGGTCGCCCCGCCGCCGTCTGCCTCCCAGCTGGCGTCAGGAGGCGGCGGCGGTGCCGCTGCTGCTGCTGCGACCGCATCGGGACCATCAGGCCTAAAACGCGCTCCTTCGCTGTCGGTGTCTGAGCGATCGTACGGCAGTAGCCTCCTGTCGGCTGCATTTGATCGCCATGACCACCGCAGGTGAGCTGTCTTGTGGGGTTGTCGATGATAGGTTTTTGTTGCCGTGTGTCCTGTCATGGGAATCCATAGTAGCAGGGCTGACGAGGATTAGAGTTGAGTGGAGGTGGTCACGACGGCATATGCACTACCACGATGCCATTGCATTCCAACCCGGTACAATTGTTCATACCCACAGCGACGGTGCATACTCACGCACAGGTTTGTGTATTCCTCCAGCCAATCCCTCTTCCCACTCCTCTCTTTACTCACGCACAGGTTTGTGTATTCCTCCAGCCAATCCCTCTTCCCACTCCTCTCTTTGTCCTTAAACACTCTCCCTTTCTTCTTCTCCTCCCCTTTCTTCTGCCGTAACCCACGCACAGGGTCTTCACCACCGACAGCGCCCACGCAGACAGCGCCAGCAGCCGCTCAGAGCGCAGCTCCTGGGGCCCTGGCGCCACCTCAGGTGCCGCTGCTGCTAACGGCCGCAGCAGCGGCAGCGGCCTCGCTACTGCCGCCGCTACCGGCAGCCCCCAAGGTCCTGCCGCCGTCAAGTCGGCTTCGTTTACGCAAGCACCTCATGCGTCTAAAGCCGCGGCGGCGGCAGCCGGTGCTGATGCAGCTGCTGCTCCTGAAGAGGAGGCAGCGCTGACGGCAGCGCGGGAGTTCTGCAATGCGTTCCTGCGCGCTCTGGCCTCAGGAGACGCCAAGTGAGTAGCGAGCTTGGGGTGGAACTGAATCAGCAACAGGAATACCGTAGCATGCCTGGAGGCAAACGGCAATGCGATAGATCCGTTTGTGCGACAAGTCAACCTCGGCATGCCTTAGCAGCGTCACATGCCGTCATCAGCACCGCATTGCTGTTCTGTTTCGTTGCGTGCTTCCTGCCACATTTCCGCAGGTGGGGCAGCGACCCGCGGGTCAGTGGGCTGTTCAGCGAGGGCGCCCGCATGCTCACACACGACAAGCAGCTCTTCGTCGGTCGCACGGCCATCATCCGACGCCTTAACGCAGGTAGGTCGCATACCTAGGGTTTGTAAAGAGTGGTCGCTTGTTGCAATAGACCTATGCACGAATTTTAGCTGCTAAGTTTTGAAGTTCACCTTCAATCCTATCTCCTCCCTAAAATGCCCGACTCATCCTGTTCTTCCGCCGGCCTGCCCCCGGCCCCCAGGTATGGAGCAGTTCCACAAGATGCTGGGCGCTGTGCCCTCAACGGGTGAGGACCCGGAGACGGAGCAGGGGCAGGAGCACACGCAAGGCCCGAAGGACGCGGGAGCCGTGAACCAGCGACTGGCTGAGAAGGTAAGCTGAGTGCTCACGTTGCGTTGGAGCGCCGGAATATACGGCAGCAGGCAAGCCGGCTGGGGCGGTAGATGGCGGAGAATGCAGGTTTTGTTGTGCGTTCCCGCTCCCGTTCACAGGCGTCCTGTTACCCATGCAATTGCCCACCTCAGGTCACTCCACCCTGCATTCGTTTTCCTGTTTTGCTCGTTTGCAACCTCACACGCTTGCCTATGCTCCCTTGCCACCATTTCAGCGCTAATAATGCTGTGACACCCAATTACTCGTACTCGTACATTTACCCCCTACACCCGCTCTACCGTGACCTGCTCTCGCCCACCCGCCCCACCTCAACACACGCAGGTGCACCACACCCTGGACATCCAGATCGCCCCACGGGATGGCGCCAGCAGCCATGGCAAGCGCTCCGGCGGCGTCCTCCGCCGCCTCCTTACCTTCGGCGGCGTCGACGGCAGCGACGCCAAGGTCGCCCGCCGCGCCGCCAGCGTCAGCAGCCGCAGTGGCCGCTCCGCCACCGGCGGCTCGGTGCACGTCGTTGCGACGTTTCAGTTCAAGTTTGGCATCCGGCGGTTCCAACTGCAGGACCGCTTTTCGGTACGTGACGGCCTGATCGTGCGGCTCAAGCGCGCTCGAGGCTAAGCGGCCGGGGAAACCTGCTGCGGGGTGACGAAGCGCGTGTGCTGGTCGTGGGGGCAGGCCCTGAATGGGACTGGCGGGCGGGCAGGTTGTGCACTGTACAGCTGGGTGTAGCCCAGGGGCTTGCTAGGATGAGGCTGCATGCAACAACGTTTGACTGTTTGTTAGTGCCGTAACGATTGAGACACTTGCATGGCTGAGTTGTTAGAAGGACATGTTGGGCCGCCTGCTGAGTATGGGACCTTGTTGAGCTAGAGCATGGGGTCATTTACTGCATGGGATAAATCTTTCGGGCAATGGAGATGCGTCAAAACCGGCAAGCCTGTGTCGTCGTCGGAGTTTGGCCGCAGTGGCAATAAAGGCGGGGTGTACAGGGGGGCCATAACTCCGGGCACAGAATTTTCGGGTCGTATGTATGGTATTGTACTGGAAACCACGGCCCCCCCCTCAAGGGCGCCCTGATGTATGTGCGGGAGGGATACACCATTGTGCGATGATCACGTCCAGACAGGCCTAATGAAGCCCTAACGTCACGCACCATGTGGTTGACTGAGGGTGGTGGTAGGGTTTGGCTGGGACATGACTGTGGTTCTCATCTTTTCCCATCTGCTTTACCGGTTTTGTGGTTGGTCTTTTCCTTCGTTCGCTTTCTTTTCTTTGTTCGCATGAGGGCCATCATAACGCCGTTACTCCGTGCCTGGCCCGGTACAGTAACGCAGGCCTAAGGGCGCAGGGTGGTGGGTGCGACAATTGCGTACGTTGATAAGTGTGCAGCTGTACGCACCTGTCGGGTACGTTGTATAGGTTCGAAGAGGCTTCGAGCGTGGAGGCCTATGGGCTAGTTATTAGGACCGGTTGCCGTTACATTTGTTCCAAGAAGAGAACAGCATCGACGTTGCAGCTTTGTTGTGATGTGGTGCTAAGCACGGACATCAGGGATTCCTGGTTTCCTGGTTTAGTTAAGCCCTAGTGACTAAGGAGGTCTAGAGCAAAATGACTCCACACTGGCGTTGGTTAATATTAGTTCAGGGTTGTATGTCTAAGCGGTTTCCCTTCGTGATGGCCGGGATTGCGTGGCTTGCTGGAGGGTCTCCTAAATGATGATATTGTGTACAATTGTTTGTTTGTGTGCAGGCAGGCAAGCTGCAGTAGCGCTAGCTAGGCAGCATAGCTAGGGCCCTTTCAGGCATGCTCTTATGTCCCGCCCGTGTTCCCGTATTGTAAGGAATACGGCGGAGGTAGATGGCTGATGGTCGGCAATGTGGTTTTGGCTAGTTTCGTGTCTGGCGGCGCGGGTTCTGGTTGTAGGCGGGTTAAGGGTTCTGTTCTTGTTGGGTATGAGCTATGAGCTACAATGTACGGCGAGCTTAGGGCCCGTCAGGCGCCTGTATCTTGGTTTGGCTTCTGCCGGGTTGGGGCTCGGAGACAGATCTGTTGCGACACAATGGCTGCAGGAGAATCGTGTTGGGAAAGATCCGGCGGTTGGCTTGTCCTGCGCTGTCTGCACGAACAAACGAGCCTTTTTACTTTGTCGTACGTTTTGGATGCTTGCTGTGTTCGCGTGTGCACGTGTGTGGGGCGGTATGCCTTCCAGTAGCCAACTGTAAGCCATGACCCTTCCAGAGCTGCGGAGTCAGGAGCAGGCTGCTACCATCTCCTGCAGCATGTCAGCTATGGGTACACACGTAACCACACGCTAACCTAAACTGGTCCTGTTCATCTCGGTATCTGTGGAAGTTTGCAAGTACCTGTGCAGCAAGGGTTGTCACAGTGCAGCCACCATATTCGTCCTACGGTGGTTTGGGCTTCAGGTTGCTGTAGTGCTTTCCAAGTAACTATTCGCCGGCACACAGAAACCAGGCCGCAGAAACGGCAGATGGCACGCCGCGCTTTTGGCCAGCATGTGCAGTGTCTTGAAACGGTGTTCGGTATTTTAGGCTTCAATGCCTGCGCAAGGGATGATCAATAATACCGGTACAAAGTCCAGCTGAGTAGTCGGTTTCCAGTAGTCACACTTTGCTCGTATAAGCACGGGAAGCGACGGGCATAACATCGTAAAGAATGGTGCAGCACGGTTAATAGATGTATGGTAGATGCGCGAAGTAAGTAAGGATTAATGTCTGGATACGCAACTGAACAATAATGCCGTCGGGGAGCTCAATCGCCTTGCCCCCTGCGTCGCCAGCCTACTCCATCAACATTCTGACAATGTGTTCAACGTTATAGATCTCATGCGTATTTCATCTTTAGGAATAACTGCATAAAGTCCCGTTCAGTGACAGGTAGCTAGATAGATGTGCCAGGAGCCGTCACATTAGGCTTACCGACGCATTACATCACGACGAATTAATCTTTGCGCATTACAACAATTATCCAGTAAAGTACAAAAAGCGTCGAGGTGTACGACTAAGGATGGTACGCCGCCGTCCGCCGGTGCACGTGCTAAATCGACGACGGGCACTACTACTAGAGCATAAACTTTTTGTTTTCGCGCTACTTGCAGTGCTGCTGTCATTGACCTCCTCATTTTAGAAGAACTGGTTGGCATTAGATGTGTAGTAGTCCAGAGAAAGCCATGACGTGTTGGACTGCTCGACTTATTACAGACATTACTTATCCATTTTCAAGACATAACACCAAAACACTCGCCAAGACGCATCAGGACTAGGGAGAATTAGGTTTCGCGCCAGGCCTTCCACCCCATCCAGTCGAGGCCCCAGCTGGTTGCGGTCAACATAATATCGGTCAACATAATGACTAAACTACGATTGCTGTAGTAATCCACCTGCATTGTTACACAACTGTTAAAAAATTGTTTAGTTAAATGGATAGATGTCTCTGAAAGCTACGCGCGTTCGGGACCCTATAGAAACAAAAAATACATGTAAGCATTCTTACAGCGGGGCGCCATACTTTGACAGCAACTCGCCATGTCCCAGCAGGTAATGTGCTCTGCGCACATCTTAGCTGCTGGTTTCGCGGAAGCAGTGCTAGGCCAGCACTTCGTACACTAGCACAATTAAGTCTACCTCATGTACAGGACTATGAGTACATTTCCACTATTGGCGAAGGAGGCTATGGCAGGGTTTGGCAATGTCGCGAACGCAGCACGGGGAGAATGGTGGCGATAAAGGGGTTTAAGAAGGCAAGAATATGTCTATCGGTACACAGATATGTTTTGACACTTTGCGTTGCCGTTTTCAATTTGTTTGCTGCTGTACCTACCTGCATCAGCAGCTACTGCCTTTGCGCTCCAGTCCCTGTCTTGAGCCTATTGTCATAACCTTTTGCCCGTTATGCAGTCCCAACACGACAAGGCAGTCCTATGGGTAGCTGTGCGTGAAGCCAAGATGCTGCGGTCGGTCAACCATCCCAACCTGGTCAAGCTGCTTGATGTCTTCAAGTCAAAGAGTGGCCGCGTTTACTTGGTACGTTTCGCTGGAAAACTTCAACAACAGCAGCACGATCAAGGGCTACTTGGCGACGCACACTTTGTACAACCAACTTACCCAAGCCTTTATCCTACCGTATCCACGTCCTACCCCACAAACGCAGGTGTTAGAATTCATCGATTCCAATGTGCGCGCCGAGATGAAGCGCTTTCCACAGGGCCTGCCCGCTATAAAGCTCAAGATCCTCACTTGGCAGCTGCTGCGAGCTGCAGCGTACCTGCACGACAATAAGGTACGGCAGGTTTACCGTACGGCTTAATGACTAGGGCACTAAGGCTTCGGCTGCAGTGCGCTTTCCACTTCGTGTGGTGCGTAGCAGTACCACCACCCTGTCTCATAGCTTACAAGGCCTTGTACCGTATACCGGTCCTGCCTTCCCTGTTGTGGTAACCAGTCTCTTGTTCCTTGTCATTTCCGCAGATATTGCACCGTGACATCAAGCCGGCCAACATTTTGTTGGACGGCAGCGGCGTTGTGAAGCTGTGCGATTTCGGAATTGCTCGGCTGGTACATTGTGGGCCGCAGGAGGTGCAACAATGCACACCGTACGCCGTGACTCGCTGGTACCGAGCACCCGGTGAGAGTGGGGTCAGGTGACAGACTGCTGATGAGCCACAGCAGCGGAAGACTGTGCGTTGAGCGTTGTGCCCTGTGCCCTGTGTGCAACAGTTGCCTGAGGTGATGTGGCAGGACCGCTGAGGTTGACATGTTGTTCAGCTCACATCACAAAAGCGTGTACGTCAACTTCCTGTTGTTCTGTGCTGTACGGTGTTGGCCTGACTCCCTTCTGCGTGTCTCAACGACTCCCAACTCCCCTGCATTTTGCAGAAATTCTCGTCAATGACCGCTATGGGCCCAGTGCAGATGTAAGTGGCATGATTGAACTGCTTGGGCAGAGATGGGACTGGGGTCGTTGGTGAGCTGTGATACGGGTCGCAGCATGGTAGTAGACCTCTACGGCAAATCCGGATTGTGCACTTTTTATGCCGTACAGGTCTGGAGCATCGGCTGTACGATTGCTGAGATCGCGACAGGCCGAGTCCTCTTCCCAGGTATGTTGAGAAAACCGACCGCGAGTAGGAACCTACTGTGGTCGTCGGTGTGTATAGTTTTATGGCACAACTTCTGTTGCTGATCTCTTGAGCGCCCTTGAGATGTCCGGCTAACAGAGAGGGAAACTTCCACTTCCTCCTCCGTCTGCATGCGTTTACCACCACCTTCCCCTCCTTACCAGTGAATTGCTTCCCTGCCTCACCAGGTGAATCCACCGCCGACCAGCTCTGGCTCATCGTGCGCTGTCTGGGGCCCCTCTCCTGGCAACACAACAAGGCGAACAACAACAGCAACAAAGCCAACAAGGCAACAACAGCAATTCGCACGGTTCCACCAGAGCCCCCGCATCCTGGCGGTTTCTCAGTCGGCTCTCCTGCTCCCGCTGCCGCTGGCGCCCCCGGACGCAGCGCCCCCACTGCTAGCCGGATGCACTGCACCCTGCGTCATCTCCTTCCCGAGCTCGACCCGCCGCTGTTTCAGCTCATAGAAGCCTGCCTGCGGCCCGACCCAACAAAACGACCCACGGTTCACGAGCTGCTGCAGATGCCGTACTTTTGGGATGTACCGCGGCACCTGGCGGACAGTCCACAGTTGAGTGATGGGCTGCAGCTGGCAGTGTCGGCGGGGATGGCGGCGCGGAGGGCTGGAGGAGGAGCAGGGACTGCGGAGGAGGGAGGGGTGAGGAAGGCGCTTCCTCCGGAGTTGAAGACGCAGCAGCGGGAGCAAAGGCAGCAGCCGCCACAGCAGGAGACAGCTGCTGGCTTGCCGGAGGGCATGCAAGGGGGGATAGGTGAAGCCACGCCGTCAGCAACTTTGCAGGAGCAGCGGGATCAGCAGCAACAGCAGCAGCAAAAACAAGCTCGTGGGGACGCATCCCATTTGCCGCAGATTGCTTCTGGCCAAGTCACCCGGCGCTGCCTCACTACCCTTAACAAGGGCTCCTCGGAAAGGCTACCCTCCCTGAGAGCCCTCTCAGCGCACCCACGGGTTGATCCGCTCAGTGCTGCTGCTGGCACTGCCACTGCCATGTCCACTGCTGCAGCTGCTGCTAATACAAGTGCTATTGATGCATTAACGGCTGCTGCTGCTACTGTGGTTGCCGATGCCACCCCTGCTACTGCTGCAGCTGTGGTACCTGGTGTGTCGGATGGCAGCAGCGCTACTGTTACGAGTGCTACTGTTGCTGGTATTGATAGTGGTGGGGGTGGTGGTATGCGTGATCAAGGGGAAGCAGCAGCAGGTAACAGTGGGGCGCCGTTTACACACCCGAACAGTTCTGGGGACAGCTGGACGCCACCGGAGGTGGATTCCACTTCACCGGTGGCTGGGCGTGCGCTGCAGAGCGCAGCACTGCCGGTCGTTGTGCCCCTCTACGCTCCGGCTTCCGTTGCTGCCCCTGCGGCTGCTACCAGCGAACGACTGGGCCGCCTTTCCTTCATTGCAACCGCAACACCGACCGGGCCGCTGACGACCTTCCCGCACGGCAAGAGTCGTCTGTGCATGGTGACAAGTCCTTGCTCGGAAGATGATGAGAAGCAAGATGGCGTAACAGGGGAGCAACCGGACCATCATGACGGTCCCGAGAAGGGCCTCCTGCTCTTGGGCGCCGCCGTCCGCGATGCCCATGCCATTTCGCCTCCCTCCTCTTCTGCGAATGCTTGCAACGCCAACCCCACCTCCGGACCTGAGCCAGCAACCAGCACCAGCACCACCACCTCCTCACTCCTCGGTTATTACTCCATGACAGCGCCGCCTTCGGCACCATCCTCGCTACCGCCACAACAGCAAACTCAACCGCAACCATGTCAAGATCAGCAGCAGCGCCTACACCAGGGTGGCCATCCACGTCTGCTGCAAGATCATCATCACCACCACCAACGCATTCACACCCACTCAGAAAACGGGTTCGTGACCACAACCACAACCACAGCCGGTCTGCCCCATCCGCAGTCCGTCCGTCCTTCCTGCTCCTCCACCTCCTCCACTTCAGTTCCTCTTCCTCGACTGATCCGGTTCTCCGAAACTGCCGAGGGGGCAACCAGCAGTCGAGTCTTGCAGCAGCACCTGCAGCAGCAGCAGCCGAGGGCCCCCGAGCTGCGCGCATCCCACCTCCCCAGCGGCGGCGGCGGCGGGCGTGCATCCAAGAGCATGCTCCTCAGGAAACTCATCAGGCCCGCTCCCGCTGCACCAATCGACTTGGCCACCACATCAGCAGCAGCTACCATTACCGGCGGCGGTTTCTGGGATGAGCATGGGGAGCGCGGCAGCGGCGGCAGGCGCTCTGCTGCGGCTGGGTTGGGGTCGGGCCAGCAGCGCCAGGACCGCCTCCGAAACGGCGGTGGAGAGGAGGGGCCCGAGCAGTATCCACTGCTGCACCGCCGGCCGCAGCAGCAGCAGTATCGAGTCAGCTGCAGCGCCGTGGCTTCGATGTCGGCGCCGCTACATGGCGCCATTGCTGCTGCTGCTTCTCCTCCTTATTGCGGAGCTGCCTTGCACCCGTACAGTAATGACATTGTTGATGCTACATGCAGGGCAAATGCAGGTCTGCTGCCATGCAAGGTGGCATCGCGGCGTGCCACCACGTCCGGTCTACCGTCGGTTGTTTCTGCTGCTCCGGCGCCTAGACATCGAGGAGGCTGCGAGGATGATGACGGCGCGTTGGCAACGCTGTCGTTGCCAGGCGCCACCGCCGCCGCTGCTGCTGCTGCTGCTGCTGCTCCAAGTGCTTATCTCCGCAGGGTCCATACCAGCAGGACCTATCACGGCATGGCTGCTGCTGCTTCATCACATGACCCGCTGCTGTCGGCTACGTCAACCGGACTGGCTGCCACGACTCCCATCACACCTGCGTCTAGGGGATCGCATGGCGGGTTGGCTGCTGTCTCACACGACTGGCCTGCCAGACAGCAACTGATGGCGGCAGCACCACCAGCAGCGTCACCAACAGCAGTAGCAGCAACAGCGACAGCGGCTGGAAGGTCCGAGGAGGGAGCCAGCCGGGTGTTGGCTGCGGCACGGGCGACAGGCTCGTCTCGCAGCAGCTTGGGCTGGGCCTGGCAGCCTGAAAGCACTGCTACTGCTGCCAATGGTGGTGGCGGTGGCGGCGTGGAGAGTACATACAGCATTAACGGCAAGAGTCATGCTGGTAACTGCAATGGAGTTCAGGGTTTGGGGAGTGGACGCGGTAGCAGCGGTGCTGACGGAGGTGGCGGCGGCGGTGGAGGTGGGGCCAAGGGTGGGGAGAGGAGGCAAAAGAGGAGGAGTGGCAGCAGCAGCGGCCTGTTTGCCCAGCTGGCAAGGCTCGTGAAGGGCGCTGCGGCAAAGGTAGCGGCAAAGGGGTGAGCAGCAGCGGTATTGGTGGTGGTGGTGTGGTGTGATTTGAAGTAAACGCGTCTTTCGATGTACCTAATGGGGTTACCAGCGTCTGAGCGGTTTCTTGTTTCAAAGAGGAGCGTTGTATGTGCGAGATGAGCGGCAAGCGAGATACATGCCAGTTACATTGTGGCGTTAGCCTATGTTCTGCTATTGCAGCAAACTTGTGCCAATGCGGAGCGAGCACTGTGTTTGCCCCAGGATGTGAGGGGAGTGGATGATGGCTAATAGTTCGGGTAAGCCCTTTCTAGTTTACACGGTGTATGGTTGGGACTGTGAGTGCACCGTGAACTGACATGGCATTGTTCGTGAGTATGCAGGTGTAGCAGCGTTGTGCCTTCTGGCTTGCAATTTAACTAGCGATATCAAGGTTGAGAGGGAGAGCATTTTTTGTGGATCGGCGGCACTTCACTGGTTTCTCAACAGTCAGCGACTGCAAAGGACCCCATGTGTTTTTGGCCGAGACAACGGCGGCTAACTGTTGTCTTTGTGACTTCTCGTTAGGCGAGAACGGGATGACACCCGTCGCAGGAGACACATGCATGCATGCGTGGTGTTTTGTCCCGAACGTGGGGCCATAGGATTGGGTACTGGTAACTGTCAATACGTCCGCCGTACGCTGGACGTTGTGCAACCATTACCGCCATGTCGTACGTGCGTGTTTCACAAGCCTACCCCTCATGGGCCTGGCTTTATTCAGGACAGTGACATGCTACTGAGTTGTATGTGTGCTTCTGTTCCTTTAATTCTCAGACCTTTTTATTCAGCGTTACCCAAGTTGCGATACACGTTGAGTGCCGTACTGTGCAGTACCACGGACAAGAAGATGTTGAAGTGAGTTGCACTGTGACGGCTGTAGCTAGCGAGGTGGCGCCCTTGTCAGGGGTTGGCTTCCCCCGGGTTTAATCGCGCGCCGGACCAGCACATGTCGTGCTAGCGTTGGCGGGGTTTACAACCTTCCGTGACGTGCTTCCGGGGCGACAAATGCGCGTGGCAGGAATAGTATGTTGTACCCCTTCTTGCTTAGGAATTACTGTTATTATTACAATAAGGCTTATTGTGACCCAATGCCTAGGCACGCCAGTTGCTGCTAGGCAGGCTGGTTTCATTGCCTTTACCTGGCATTTACTTGCGTTTCTTGCGTTGTCAGCTGTGGAATGCACAACGTACTAATATTCGAACTTGACGTACCTGTGGCTGGATTCTTTTTGGGCTCGTAGCAGTTTCTGCCTCGCTCGGCCCCTGCAGTTATGTATATGCACGCAGGCTACTGTCGTAATAGGATCGTACAGCATCCGCCTTTACGCCATCACGTGACATAGCATGGCAGGATGCGAAGCGAGCCGGTGCTCATACTTGAGATTGGAGGGACTATCTAGGACGCGTAATTAATACATTGGTCAGACGTCTTACCGTGACGCAAGGTTCTTAATCTGCACTGGTCTGTTGGTCTGACACGACGCCACGACGCTACAGCAGTGCACCTGCTAGCTATGCAGTGGTGACGTCTTGCTGCGCATCTCACGTAGCGAACCAGGTACTACCTACCAGGGAATGTCGAGGGTGCTGTCGTAATTGTTGGAGAGAGGCCATCGCGTTGCTATTAGGTCTGGGTATGCATGCATTTTGCCGTACAACCATGTCTAGTATTTTGCGGCTAGTTGGAATTTTACGGCCACGTTCATTGGTTGGCTGGCTGGTGTCGTCGCTGGCACTTTGCGACTGGTACTGACCGTACCCCGTTGCCTAAGGCAACGCCTCTTGCCAATCCTACCTGGGATTGCGTCGCATTCGACTAAAGTCGCCGTGTCTGCAATGCGTGCTGGTGCTAAATGTACGGCACATGCTGCAAGGGCCATGCAAGTGACGACGGGGTTTTCTTTGCGGTGGTGGATAAGGTGGCAGGTGCCACTGTATTAGCATTATGGAGCAATAGTTAATTGTAGCAGCTTGCCGGTGTCCTTTTGCAGCTGGCAGATGACCGTTGTAGCGTGGTTGCCGTTCATTATCCTATTATAGTTGCCAGGAAGGACACTTCTATTGTAGAAACGGCGCAGTCCTGCCCCTGCCTGTTGCCTTTCCGCTCAAAACCCTATATACCATCAAGTTGCAACCTTGAAGGCTAATGGTAGTTGGCAGCGTAACCTGGCTCGCACCGTGTCATACGACCGATTACTGCAGCTACCACCAGACATGCATGCATGCACGCCACCTCAATGCCCTCAAAGCAAGCCCCATCACTCCGCTCCGCCCCGTCGCCCATCAGCTAGCTCCGTGACCTGCCTGCCAGCCATTCCTCCGCTGCCGGCCGCAGCTCTGCTAGCACTGCCTGCACCGCCGGGTGCCCCCACAGCGCTGTCCGCCAGCGCCGCAGCCTGGGGGGCAGCACCTGCTGCTGCTCGCTGCAGCCGTCTGACGGCCGCCCGCACCTCCCCAACAGAACCGGTAGCAGCAGCTCGGTGTACAGGAACAGCGCCGGATAGCCACAATCCGCAAGCGTTAGTTGGTTATCATCGGTTAGGGCGAGAGTACGGTCGGGAGGTAGCAGGGACTCGAGCTCGGACAATCGAGCGGTGAAGGCGGCGACCGCTTCCTAGTGAGGAAACGAGAGGCGGTGGTTGGACTACGCAGTAAGACAGGGGATGGGACATGGAAGCGCTGCCGTGAGGCAGAAGACGGTCCGTGGTGCGGTAGGAGTCAAATTGCTTTGGACTGCAGTTGAATGAGGAGGAGCACTTCTGCTGCGGGATGAGGATAGGAGTATGACCCATGGGTCATCATCGCTGCCCCGAATTGTTTGACATATAGAAACGCTCGCCCTATATCATCAATAGCCGGCCTCGAATGTATCCCCCGGTATCCACACCTGCACCTCCTGCTTCGAATGCCCCCCCGATGGAGCCACCATGCCGTACAATCGCCGCAATGCGGGCTCCAGGTAGAGGTCATGGTAGCGGGAGATGAGCCGGGCCTGCGAGGCATGCATGGGGCTGTTGGTGTATGGAGCTGAGGGTGGCGGGACGCTGGAGAAAGCAGTAGAAGCGAAGTGCACCGACCTTGCTGCGCGCCAGGGGCTCGGCGGGCAGCAGCGGCGGCTGCGGAAACAGCTCCTCCAGCAGCTCTAGGATGACCTCGCTCTCGAACACTGACTGGGGTTGGAGCGGGAAACGCCAAACAGGAAATGGTGGGGCAAGACAATAGGGGAAGGTTGGACCTTGGATGGTTGTTCGCGCTGCGGGGCACTCGGGCAACCGCGGCAATCATGCCCGCGCGGCGGTTCGTACGCACCTCCCTTCGGCCATCGTCAAAGGTCACGCACAGCACAGGAATCTTGCCGAGAGGGTTAATCGCCAGGAAGTCAGGACTGCGGGTGCCTCCACAGGGCACCGGTAGGGTCGCCCAGCAGAGGCCCTTCGCGTGCATCGCCACCTTTACTTTGGCGCTGTACTCGCTGTGTGGGTCATCGTAAAGTTCTAGACGAGTAATCGCGGGCATGGCTTTAGCTGGCGTAGCTTTGCTACTGGCAAAAGCTGTTGGGGTCTTGCTGTTGCTGTTGCGCGAAGGCCTGCTGAGCCTCGCAGGTGCTCGCAGCAATGGTTGCCGTTGGCAGGTCGCCCTAAAATTTCGTTGCATGGCGCAGGCTATTTGCAAAGTAATTAAATATTAGTTAACTACATCCCCCTCCGTAATGCGAACAACGGGCGCCTGGGATTGTGACAGCGGTTGGGAAGGAAGCAAGATGTCAAGCTAGGTCAGCGCTTGGTGGAATAGTTAAATTAATGTTTTTACCAGGATTGTCAGGAAGCGCGAAAATCCCTGCCATCGACCTCTCCTCTCAGGCGGTGCGTAGTCTGCGTACGGCAGGTCGTATGCGTCAAAGCAGGCCGCTCCGCCTTGCACGCAGGCTAGGGGGGAAGCCCTTCTCAGTTCATCGGGGTGCTATATGCCTGATGGTTGCAGACTTGCGCGATGGTGCCGTTGATTCCATTCTGGTTCCCCTGCTGAGCGCCCCTCCCCCTCGCCCTCCCTCACGCGGCGGTCCTAAGCTAGTCCTGGGGGAAGCAAGTGGCGAGCAGGGTGGTGGGAGGTGGGTTGCAAAATGGAAGCTAGCTTAGCGGGAAGCAGGAAGGTTGAAGGGTGGGTGCATGCGGAAGTTTGGTTGCCGGTACCTGAAATGTGGTGTGCCTTGCATGAAAGTGGCGTCGACAGGGGTGTGCAAGCCTTCCCTGCATCCCCTTGCATGGAAGTGGCGTCGACAGGGGTGTGCAAGCCTTCCCTGCATCCCCAACCTGCCCAGTCACCGGCGTCCGTAGGTGGCCCGACGCATTACGCCTGCAATTTCCTATACTCTGGACAGCGGCCCCAACCTACTGCACACTCCAAACCCTTTCCCACCCCCTCCCCTCCCTTCCCCGCCTCCTATCAATCCCCTACCCGCCGCCGCCCACTTACCGGTACCCTACTGCCTTGCCCCCCCTTGCGCCAATGTGCGGCCGACTTCCTCATGAACATTTTATTTTGGATACTTCTGACCCTCATCTCCTCATCATATTGGAACTTCACTACATAAGCAGTCTTCCCGGCGACAGTTGCACCAGCCAGTGTGCACCGAGCGCTGCTGCCATGCGAACCTGCTCCCCAATGTGCTTCAACCGCCAGCTCCAGGATACCCCGCTGTAGCCAAAGGACTGGCTGTAGCACGACAACGCTACATTCAGAAAGCGCTGTACGACGCGCACTACTGGTACTGCTGCTGGGGCTGCTTGCGCACCAAAAAGCAACAGCCGCTGCTGCTGCTGCTGCTGCCTGCTTAGCATAACAACAGGCGAGCCCCTTGTCGGCTTCCATGGGCGGGCTAGCCTGCTGAGGTGACATGACAGCTTATTAGGTTCAGCTTTGACGAAGTTTAATTATATTTAGTTATATAAGGACAAGCGTTTCTTTCTCGTGGGAAGCAAAGTTGGGTAGCGATGCAAGCAAATTGACGTACGCGCCGTACGCAGGCATTTGTTAATCAGACTACTGCCGCCGATGGCTGCAAGGGAAGCGTTTTTCTCAGGCCCAAGCTCTTTAGTGGATATCTGCTTGCCAATCATGCCAATCATGCAATGCACGGGCCGTGCGTTGTCGTCCTACCTTCGCGCGCGGCCACTATAGGCGAACGAAACAATTGGATGGATGTATGCGGATGTCAACACCAGTGTAAACCAATGCATACACCAGATTACACCGGTCGCGCAATTGTAATGAACTTGCTTGGAGTCCAAGGCAGATAGGGCTCTGCTAACGTCACTCCGTCCCCGGGCCGTATATCTGCGTCGGACGCACGGACCTCTTCTGACTTGCTCCTCATCAGGTTCCTGTAGTTTAACGCAACTATATCCAGCCAATCGTCAAACGCCCTATCTCTCGGCCTTATCTCACGTGCGCAAACACGACAACGTTTCCTGCCAAAAACGACGCTTCATCATGAAGCTCTACGGACGGCCTTCTCCGTCTCTTAGCATCCAAAACAACAATAGCAAAATAAATCAAACAGTCAATAACCCTCTAAGGCATCTGCGCTCCCAGCATCCCTCTCGTCAGCATCCCCTGCAAGCCCATAGACAACCCCAAAGGCCCTGGCTGCAGCATCTCCCGGGTCATGCAGACCCACGGGTCAGCTCCGCCCGCTGTTTCCACGCCTTAACACCAGCACCAACCTCAGTTCCAGCAGCGCTTAGTCGACCTCTCTACAGGGCGACACCTGCGTCTGCTTCATCCGCCGGCCCTCCTCCAACCCGGTACCGAGCACGCTCACACCCAAGCCCTGCCTCTGCTGTCTGTTGCGCCAAGCCCGTTGGCAGCATCACAGGCCTTAGCTGTGGCTATGGGCTGAGGGGCCGCCAGCGCCCCACACCCCTGCAGCAGTGTCAGCAGCACCTGCCGGCTCCCCCCGCACCCCATGTGGGCCGTGGGAGGGTGGCGATGCGTTTCCGGTGGGGCAACAGCAGTGAAGGTAGCAGCAGCAGCAGCAGCAGCGGTCGTAAGGAACAGGGGAGCACTGCGGCTGAAAGTGGTGTCAGGCAGCAACAGCAGCAGCAGGTTGAGCCTGAGGAGGACTCACGAACACAGCCGGCTACTACTGCCCCCGCCGCCTCCACAGCGCACAATGGCGCCGGCGGGGTAGGGACGGACCCACGGGTGGGATCCCATGACCGCACCTCCGCCACTCTCACCACCGGGCCCCAGGAGCAGCAGCATGGAGCAGCCGAAGCGGGGGAGGGGGATACAGGCAGCGCTGATGCGTCCTCCTCCTCCTCCTCCTCCTCCTCCTCCCCGCTGTCCCCCACCTCGCTGCACGGCCCCTCGCTGCTGTCCTCCGCCCCCGCCACCCCGGTGCTGCTGAGCGGCGGCTCGCCCCCCGAGGGGCAGCTGGCAGAGGTGGTGGCGCGCTACCGACTGATGGAGGAGCGGCTGGGGGCGCTGGAGCGGCAGAGCAGGGAGCTGGTGCGGGAGCTGAGGACGGCGGCGGGGGGCGTGGGGGCGGGGATGGGGGCGGGGATGGGGGCGGGGATGGGGGCGGGGGTGACGGGGCCGGTGGGGGTGGTGGAGAATGTGGCAGCGGCAGCAGCGGAGGAGGAGAAGGGCGGGAAGGAGGAGGGCGGTAAGCCCCAGGAGCAGCAACAGCAGCAGCAACCCGTTGCGGCAGCGGGTGGCGGGGGGGCGGTGGTGGCGGGGACAGTAGCGGTGGCGGCGCCACGCAAGGGGGAGCAGGCGGCGACAGGTGGGTGGGTGGGAGGGTATGTGGATGCATGGGGTCATTTCCGTTGGCATGGGGCACATGAGAGCTGGGGGGCCACCCCACAGGGCCTCAGGCCCGTAGGACCCTGAGGGGGCAGCTGCCCCAGTTTCTACCAGTACCTCAGCCGCAGCCGCACGTTCCAGCACCTTGCCCCTCCTCTCCCTCCCTCTCTCCGAAGAGCCCAGGCCCCAACCGTGTGCCTTCCTCTCCCCCTCACTGCCCCCAGATCTGCTCTCCGGCGGCGGTCCCCCCTCCGAGGGCCGCTCGCGTCTGTTCGAGCTGAACCGCATCCAGTCTGCCCTCACGGAGGTGGCGCAGTCGGGCTACCTGGAGAGTGTTCGCGCGCTGCGGGAGAGCCTGCTGGTGAGCGAGTGGGGGATGGCGGCCAGGGGCTGGGCGCGCAGGCGGGGCGTGGCGGCGTTCGAGGAGTGGGTGGCGCAGCAGCAGCAGGCGCACAGCGTGCAGCGACAGATGCTGGCGATGCAAAAGGGCGAGGCACCGCAGGACGGCGATGACAACCACACCAGCAGCAGCAGCAACCATGCGGACGAGGCGGATCTGCTTCAGGTGTCGTACGACCAGATCTCGGCGCTGTACGACGACCCCGACGCGCTGCACGTGCTGACCTGCCCCCGCGCGCGCAGCATGGCCCGGGCGCTGATCGAGCAGCACGTGGCGCAGTCGTACGAGGCGGTCTACGGCAGGTGTACGGCGAGTGCCGAGCAGCTGGCGCGTGTGAGTTTGGGTGAGCTGCTTCCGCACAGCGCGGGGGTGGGGCAGGTGCTGCGGGGGCTGCTGCCGGGGGGCGGGCTGGGCTGGCTGAAGAGGCTGTGGCCGTTCGGGGGGAAGAGGTGAGATGGGCTGGGGGAGGTAAGGGGTGATGAAGTAGTGGCGCGAGGAAATGAGGCGGGGAGGAGGGAGGCGGTGGAGAGAGCAACCAAGGCACAAGGGTTGGGGTTTCTTAACAGGCACACGTGCAATGGAGGACAATCAATGTGTGCTTTGCTGCTAAGGTTCTTCCCAGCAGAGATGGGTTGGTCCAGTTGAAAGCTATTTTAGTTGGAACATTGAGGGCACCATCCCACTGGCTGTGGGTTGTTGCTTTTTGGTTTTTGGCTTCCGTTGTATGTTACATGTGGAGACCAGGTTGCTCGCCGCCTGCCGTGAGGAGGGTGCGGTGCAGTGGCGGGTTTCCGACACGAAGATACCCAAGACTGCTACCTCGAGCGGCGCCCAGGAAGCAGCGTTGCGCCGGGCCTGCTGGGCCGGTGCCACTGCCGGCTGGCTGGCGAGGGGCTCATGTACCGGTAATAAGGCCGTAGCAAGTGTTCCGTTTGGGATCGCACCTGCCAACCATTGTCAGCTACTGGTCTCTCGGCCACATTACAGGCACCCTTCCAGCAGACCCATGGCTCCGGCGGCGTGTGTTTGCACCAGGAGTACGTTGCGTCCGGGAAGCACAGTAACACATGGTCGAGGTATACACATGGCACCCATAGGTAACAGCAACATGAAATAGCAAATACCAGAAGTAAACGGAATCCACGCTTTGCTTCACCGCACTCATCATCCAGATGCAAGTCAGCGTGCCGACAGCACACATTCATTGGCGTGAGGCGCGGATCACGCGGGAGAGAATGCGCCCCCTTAAGACAGCAAACAGTGTTGGCAGAAAGACTGACACGCAATGAGCTGCATATCCCCGCTCCCGAGCCGCGGACCGCTCCCGAGCGGAGGTGCTACAGCCCCGATACAAGATCACAACCCCACGGGATGTATGAAATGGTCCCACGCAACTGCGCCGATCGTTCATTGCCTTGTATGGCAATTGCAGCACCACATGCCGCAACCCCCATGGCTCGAGGCCTACAGGACCACTGGGTAAGAGCTCCCTGCTCACGACCAACATGAATGACCACCCTCAGGAATCAAAAGCTGCCAAGTACCCCGCCCCTCTCATGCTGATTGCAGCAACACCTTACCGCAGACAGGTGCGTATGCTAGAGTGCTAAACGCCTAGCACCGTATAACACTACCCGCCCTTTTGGTCCCCCTCGTCAACACATCTCCTCTCCACCTACCTCTCCCAGTTGCCTACCTAAGCAATATCAGGCTGATCACCCAACCGCCATCAACACCCTGGGCACGCGGTTGGAACCCTAACCACAGTGCATACCCCCCCATGCGCTCGCGCACGGTGCAACAATACCGCTTCAGGAGGTGCCATGCAAGCCCGCAGTTTGGAGCGCCCAACTGCAAATACACAATGCACGTACGCCGCATGCACTCGCGCGCAGACAACAAAGCCACCTGCCGGCTTAAGCCACAGCGGCGCTATTAGACACTCCCTCACGCAGTGTAATACCCTTGAACCGCTGGGATCACCTCTCCCGTAACCCCAACACGGAGTACCGGTGTATTGGCTGCAGGACCGGACCTGGTCCCAGTAACCTTGTATGGTCCAAACCTAGACGACCCTAGCTTCATAAGGTTCTAACATATAAAATACCGCATGTGCAACCGAAAGGACTACATCTCTTTGAACGCGCTGCTCTTTCATTGGGCTGTTCAATCACAGCAAGTCGCTGCGGTCGAGCTTGAAAGACAGGCGCCGCCGGTTCGCCTTCTTGGAAGGTGGCGGCTGCTTCTTCGGTGGCGGCGGTGATGGCGGGGGTGGGGGCGGCGGAGACTTTTTCTTTGGCGGTGGCCGTGACTGCGGCGACGGCGATGGAGGCGGCGGCTTTTTTTTTGGCTGTGACGGCGGCGGCGGCGAAGGCGGAGGTGGTGACTTTTCTATTGGCGGTGGCGGCGAAGGCGGTGGCGGAGGTGGCGACTTCTTGGTTGGCGGTTGCGGAGACGGCGGTGGCTGGAGCTGGATGCGCTTCGGCGGCGGCGAGGGCTTCGGAGGTGTCGGCGGTGGCGGCTTCTTCGCCTTCTTGATGGATGCTGCATCCGGTGGAGGGGGTACCGGCGACGGAGGAGGCTGCCGCTTAGTTGCAGACAGGGGTGGTGGCCGGCTTGGCGGCGGCGGCGACGGAGGCGGCGGCGGCGACGGGGGCGGGGAGCCAGTCGGCGACGGCGGGCTCGGTGGGCGCGGCGAAGGTGGCCTTGCAGCTGCGGTTTGGTCAATCTTGACAGGCGGCGGCGGGCTGGCGGTAGTTGAGCCTGGGGGACTTGGCGGCGGCGGCGGCGACGGCGGGTGCGGGGGCCGCAAGTGGGTGCCTGGCGGCGGCGGCGGTGACGTGCCGTAGTACTCGGTTGACGGGGGATCCGCAATCAGATCTGGAGGCGGCGCGGGGGATGGAGGCGGCGGCGGCGGCGATGGCGGCGGAGCGGGCATGGCACAATCTGGGTCGTCCCAGTCGACGAAACCATCGCAGTCGTTATCCAGGCCGTCGTGACACGACGTCTCGCGCTCCTCTGTGAAGCGACACACGCCCACGCGGCCGCCGCCGACGCCGTGTGAGAGCTGCCGTATAACCCACTGCTCCGTCGTACTGCGGTACTCCTCATCCGTAAACACCGAGGCCACGTGTCTGGTACGTCGTACCGTTGTTTGCGTCAAGCCATCCCAAAAGTACACATTCGTCGCGTACAAGTACACATCCGGGATATCCGCATCATATTTTCCGCTGTCAATCCTGTACGATATATAGTACGACGTCGGGAATGCCTGTGTACGAGCTCCCGCCGCCGTCCAGTCCGGCTGCAGCCACAGGAGATTCGCATCCGCCGCGTTTTGCGCCGGCAGGTCAAAATAGAAGAACCCTCCAGGCGGCATGGTTGCCGAGTTCAGCACCGCTAGCGGCGTTCCCCAGCCCAACTGCCAGTTGTGCGGCGCGTTATGGCAGCGGATCGCGCAGCAACCGCCCATGAGACTGCTCCAATCGCAATACTCACACCCATTGGAGTCATTCGCGTGGTGCAGGTACAGGTTGTGCCCGATCTCATGCATGAACGCCATCACCTCCGTCGCGGATTCGCCCTGGATCCAGGCCATGGAGGAAATGTACGACCCATCCTCGCCCTTCTCCACCGGCCCCAGAGTGCCTAGGCCCATCCAGGGGCAGCCCGCCTCGTATGTGAAGCCGCGCGGCAGCACCAGCACTCGGTGCTTGAAGCGGCTGATGTCCACGGAGAGGCTGTTGGCCACGTACTGCTGCGCCCACGTCTGCCAGCCCCATGCGTCGCGGTAGGCGCAGGAGGTGGAGGAGAAGCGGTAGGAGCTGTTGAAGGCGCAGGGCAGCATGATGGGCCCCACCACCAGGCTGTTGCCGCGGGTCATGGCGGTCCTGAGGGGCGGGCGGCAGCGGCGGGGAGCAGGACAAGGCTGGGCAAGGTGTGTGGATCCGCTCAAGGGTGACAGGGGAGCCCGAGCTAGCGGATCCGGTGGGGGTCGGGAGGTGAGGGGGAATGGATGGCGGGTTGGGGGCTGCCTGGTGCAGTGACGGAAGAGCCAGGGTGCAGGAGGGATGCGGGGTAGGGTACATGGGTTGGGGTAGGTGACATGACACACGCTCCACACCGCACTAGTGACTACCCTACTACCGGTACGCCGCAACCCCTCACAACCCCCTCGCACCTGCCCCTGCTGCACTCGTAGTAGTAGCCCTCCAGCGTGCGCGCCGCACTGCCCGGGCCCGCAAACAGCACATTCTCCAGTTCCTGCACGCTCATGGCGGGCTGGAAGCCACAGATGCCCACCAGCATGTACAGCACCGGCACCTCCACAACCACCCGCGGGTTGCTCACAACCGACATGGCCGCCGCCACAGCCGCCGCCGCTGTCGGCCCGGTTTGCAGCACCCGGGCGTGCATCGCGGCGGCGGCGGCGGACGCCGCGGCCGTCTCCGCCTCGTTGAGCAGCCGGTGCAGCAGCACGGAGGCGCTGACGGGTGTGACGCTGACCACGGCGATGGTGTCCTCGTCCAGCCGCCAGCCGAGCACGTCCACCATCTCACCGGAGTGGAGGGTGCCGGGGATGTGGTCGTGCGGCATGCGCAGTTCGTAGAAGGCGAAGGAGCTGGGCTGGCGCAGGACGTAGATGAGGTCGTTGTCGTCGTCCGTCATGTCACCCGACATGATGGTGAGGGTGCCTGGGGTGTGTGGAGGGGTTGGTGGGGAGGAAGGGGTGCGGGGAAGTGGTGGGGAGGAGCAGTGGATTGGTAGTTAGGGGCATGTGGAGGAGGGCTAGGAAGTGAAGTAGCTGGTAGCAGTGGAAATTGGTGAGGTATGGTGTCTTCGTGTCGGTATGGGTGTTCCGTTGGAGTGGGGTTTGAGGTGTTACGGGAGGGGGAGTAAGCTCATGGTGCTCGTAGCCCCCCATTTCAGGTCCGTGCACCGATTGCCTAAGCCAGCTTGCTCACCCCTAAACGTCTGTGTAGCGTTGGCTACATTTCCAAGCGATGGTTTCACCAGTACCGCCGCAACCAGCAGACATAGTAGGAGGCGTGTGCACCGGGCGAACGGGATGTTGGACACCTGCTGCGTGCGCACCACAATGTGGCACATTGCACGGGTGGGGTGGGGTGCCCGCAAGTCGACTTATATGTTTGCAACAAATGGTTAGCGTGTAAGAATCATATCTGCTGCCAAAGGGAAGGGCCAGGTTGCTGGATTAACGCTTTGGACCTCTCCAGCCCCGTAACAGCTGGTGCGCAGGCAACTCAAATATAAGTCAAATGTGCCTGTTTTTTACGCTTGATTACAGCAGAATATATATAAGTCATCTAATTTGAGTCCGTATCATCCAAAAGTTAAGCCTAATACGTATGGCACCAGAAAGTCTGACCCCTGTGCAGCTCGCTTGGAAAACTTGATGTTCACAAGAAGCAGTTTGACGCTTAAGAGAGTTGTCCCACGCATGTATTGGTGGTCAACAATTTCATCCTACTACAATTGCTGCAGCTACAGCGCCGAGACGACAAAGCGTTCGTACAGCGCAGGTCTATCGGCGCAGATAGCTATCTATGCAGCCATAAGACACAATGCGTACCGGCCAGTAGGTTGGTTAGGTCTCCGGCAAGAGCTTCACCATAGGCAAAATCCTAACCGAAGTACAGGGACCGGGCGGCATTGCACAACTCATGACCGGCAAGCTCTACAGCTTATGCTACTCCGCTAGCTCTATCTGGTGCATAGTAACCAGCGGTGTCCATCTCTTACTCCTTGCTACGCGGCTACTCTGCACCGCCCGAGCTCCCATCCGTTGGTCGGACACGAGCCATCCGGCAAGGAACTTCCTTGACACACCATGCACACATTGCTCCATCCCTGACCCTACTATGCCACATAGTTGCACTATGTAAAGAGAGACTGCTCAACCCGAAGATTACTCCTTGCTATCCGCAGCCTTCACAGCGGCAGCCTTGGCCTTGGCCTTCTTCGACGCCTTGCTGGACTTGGAATTAGGCGAGCTCGTGGGCGCCGGCGTGGGTGCTTCCCGCTTGCCGTTCCCGTTCACAACCGCATCTCCGTTTACCTTTGCAGCCGCAGCTGCCGCAGCGGCTATAGCTCCTGCGAAGCTACCTGGCACGAACGGCTTCGCATCAGCCGACAGCACGGAGCTGCTCGCCGGGACTGCCGCCGCAGCAGGGGCAGGGGCAGCAGCGGCTCCTGCAACCTGCTCGGGCTTTGCCTCCTCCACCCCCTGCTCCGGCTGAGCCTGGGGCTGTTCCTGCGCCTCTGCCTGGTCCTCAGCAGGTGCCGGCTCTGGCTTAGCCTCGGGCAGCGCATCGCCATTCGGTTGGGCTGCCTCCGGTACCTCCTGCGCCTCTGGCTTGGCCTCGCCCTCCGGCTCCTGCTGCCGCACCGCAGCCGTGTCGATCTGGGTCGCCGGCTCAGCAGCCGCCTCCTCGGCAGCCTGCTCCTCCCCCGGTTCCCCCTGCTCTGCCCGGGCCCCAGCCTCCACTGCCTGCTCCACAGGCTCAGCTGCCGGCTCAGCCTCTGTCTGGGGCTGCTCCACCGCAGCCGCCGTCACTGCCTGGCTCGCAGCCTCCTCGGGCTGCTGCGGCTGCGGCTCCTCGCAGCTGGGCTCCGGAGCCGCAGCAGCAGCCGCTGCCTCCTCAGCCGGAGCCACTACTGGCGCCGGGACCAGGACCTCCTCCTCCTCAGGCTGCTGCTCCTGCGCGCCCTCCGCTGCGGTGCTGTCAGCCGCCTCCTGCGGCGGCTCCGTGCTGCCGCTCGTGGCGGTGACAGCGGCCGCCTCCTCCTGGACTGCTGCGGTGGCCGCCTCCTCCTCCTGCTGCACTGGCTGCCCCTGCGGCGGCTCGGGCTCCTCCTGCTCTGCCTGCTGCTGTTGCTGTGGTGCCGGCTGCTCTGCCGGCTCCTGCTGCACCTCCTGCTCGGGTTCCTCTTGCTGCTGCACCTCCACTGCCGCCGCCGCCTCCTGCTGCTGCTCCTGCTGCTGCTGCACCACTTCCTGCACCTCCTGCTGCTTTACCTCCTCCTCCTGCTGCTTTACCTCCTCCTCCTGCTGCTTTACCTCCTCCTCCTGCTGCTTTACCTCCTCCTCCTGCTGCTGCACCTCCTCATGCTGCTGCTGCATCTCCTGCTCCGGCACCACGTACTCCCCGGGCGTGTCGAACACCAGCTCCATCGCCTCGTGCCGAACCACACGGAAGCCACTGGGGAGAGACGCGGGGATGGAAGGGAGGGGAAGGAGACAGGGCAGAATTAGGGGCACGGTAGGACAGCAGCTCTACTGGTTAGGCGGAGGGCAACAGTAATGTGCATGCTAGCGGCTGCTGGCGGGGGGGCCCGCGCTTCTTAACGCGCTAGCAATCATGGGTCACGCCAGCAGGGGCGCCGCAGGTGCGGTCAGACAGCCACAGTCACACGCATGCAAACCTGGTCCTAGCATAACCCCTTTCCGCCACCTCGCCACCCCAGCCCTGCTCTGCACCCACCGGATGCGCTCCTCCTCGCGCGCCTGCTCCCCCTCCTGCAGTGGCACCCACTGCCACCCCGCGTTGGCCACCCGCAGCGGCCCCCGCAGCTCCACCCGCGCCCCCGGCACCGCGCGCACCAGCAGCGCCCCCGCCACCTCTAGCGGCCCCGTGATGCGGATGTCGGGGCCGTCCAGCAGCAGCGTGGAGCCGGCGGCCAGGCGCAGGCAGCCGGGAGAGATCTTGGACTGCGCATGGGGTGTGCAGGGTATGAGGAAGGGAGAATGGGGGAGGGGAAAGGGACTTGAGTGTTCCCGGTTCGACGGGAAGCTTGCATCGTCGCTGGTTCGTCACTGCCCTGCTCCCTCCCAACGCATGCGTGCCATTTCCTGCCATGCGCATGCGACGAAGATGCCCAACTCTCATCCCCAGCTGACTCCCAACCCGACAGCCACGCCAGCTCAGTCCCGCCATCCCCCACCCCCACCCCACCTTGAGCTCCCCCAGAGTGGGTGCGAAGGCGGGTGTGAGCACCACGGCGGGGTAGAGCTCGGAGGTGATGCCGTTGAAGGTGGCGCAGGGCAGCGGGGCGGCCGGCAGCTGCGCGCCGCACTCCGCCTGCAGCGCCAGGCAGTGGCACTTGTACAGGTCCAGCTCGCCTGCGGAAAGGGGGGGGGGGGTAACGGAGGGGGAGGGGGGCCAGGAGGTGTACGGAAGCGGTAAGTGAAGGATCAGCTGCTAAGGGAGGAGGCGTACAGCCTGCATCGGGAGTTGAAGGGTGCAGCATTGGATTCCATGGCTCTCAAGCCCAGCTCGTGCTGGGGTATGATGCCACGTTAGCAACATGTCATCATAACCCCATGCATGCATGCATGTGAGCACATGGTAGGGCTAGCGCACGTCTGCCCCCCGCCCTGCACCCCTCCTCTGCCTGCCCTATTACCCCCCGCCTCCTTGCCTGTGGTGGCGCTGTGGGTTGGGTTTCCCTCCCGGAACTTGGCGGCCGCCTCCGCTGGGGAGTTCTTGACGGGGGAGTAGCTGCTCCACACCTGCAGCAGGGGGGCGGGGAGGGAGGGGGGACGGGAGAAGGTTCAGGCGGCGGAGCTAGGGGGCGGGAGGGTAGGGAGCAAAGACGTGTGTTCGCCTCAGTTCAATATGTATGCGATTTTTACAGGGGAGTCCGAACGGGAAGTCAGTTCAAGGGTAGCTGCACAGGTGTTGTCGATCGGCTGTGGTACCAGGCACTGCGTGCATCGGGAACCCAATAAGGAGTCCCCCTGAATCGCCCCCCTAGCTGCATGGCTGCTGGCGCCCCCGGGGGGGGGGCTGGCGCTAGGTTAACAGGCTCCTTGCGCTCATGGCGCACCCTGTGTCGTACCGCACCTGGTTGATGGTGGTGAAGCCCACGTTGGCGGTGGGGGGCAGCGCCTTGGGGTAGTCCTGGGGGGGCAGAGGCGGGGGTGAGCCGACAAGCGGGGCGACGCTGGGGTTAAGATATGATGCAGACGTACCGATAGCACCCCATATCCCGGCTCCCCCCTCGTCAGTTTCCTTATTTTTAACCTGTGGTTTCCTATGGTTTGGTATGGTCTTTGACACCCCCCCCACCTGCATGTTTCCTCTTTACCCCACCTGCATCATGCACTCCAGCCGCGTGCTGCTCTTGAACTCCGTCTTGCTGGCGTCCTTGTACTTGGGGTTGACGAACTCCGAGATGACCCCCCCGGTGGCGGCCAGCTGCGGCACGTAGCTGGACAGCGACAGCACCAGCTGGTTGATGTTGCCGGGGTAGGGCGAGAAGCCTGGGGGAGGAGGGAAGATTATAGATAAGTGCAACAACGTGGGAGGAAGGGGGGAAGAAGAATACCCATTGTGTTGAATAAGGGATGGGGGGGCCAGGAGGGGGGGAAGGAGGAATGGGAGGGAGAGTTATGGGAACAGCTCCCTCCCCAACACGCACCCGTCCCTAAACCCCGTTTTCAATAGCAAACATCGACTCTCGACGCGCAATGCGAAACGGGCATATGCCCGCTGCTTCCTCCCCCCCAGGGCCCGCAAGCCCTCAGCCCCGCCTCTGCGCCCTCACCCGTCTCATCGTTCACGTCTCCCTGCCCGTCCCCGGTGGCCCTCAGCAGCGGGTCCAGCTGGTTGTACTCCACATTGATGGTCAGCGAGGAGGGGCCCTCCTGCTGCCCCTCCTGCCCCTGCTTGGTGAGACGCGCGATGGCCCCGATGGCCTCCCGCGCCTTACGCGGCACCGCCAGGCTGTTCATGTCGTACTGGTGGCGTGCGGAGACGCCCAGCGCGGGCAGCAGGCCGCGGAACACCAGCGCGTTGGTGTCCTGGTGGGCGGGAGGCGGGGGGAGGGGATGGAATATATGGTTTCAGGAGAGGGAGCGGGAGCGGGAGGGGGCATATCATCTAGGACTATGGGTTGTATGATGAACCTGGAAGCCCATGCCAAGGGCATGGAGAGGGAACCGGGGGCGAGCCAGGTGGCTATGCGCTCGCCAACAGAAGCACCGTGACCCCCCTCCCTCCCCCCTCCCTTCCCTCCCCTTTCCCTCCCTCCCCCCTCCCTTCCTCCCCTCCCTTCCTCCCCTCCCTTCCTCCCCCTCCCTCACCTGGAAGAAGCACACCCACTGGAGTCCCTGCTGCAGCCACCGCGCCGCCAGCCCCGACTGCGCCAGCAGCATGTGCACGTCCCCGTGCCCGTGCGGCTTGGTCTGCAGCGACCAGCGGCTGCCCGGCTCCAGCGCCAGGTGGGCGGAGGAGTCGGAGAGGCAGGCGACCTTCTCCTGCTTCAGAAGCGTGATCTGGGGGGGGGGCGGTATGGGGTATTGTGTATAGGGGTAGTGCTTAGTTGCATGGGACTGGCGCAGTAGTGTAGTCAACGGGCGGGGTTGCGGCGTGGCGGGATGGGGTAGGGTGGCGGTGGGTGGGAGGAAAGAAGGCGAGGCGTTTAGGCATGCCGATGAGGAGAAGGGTAGGGCGGCAGCGCCGAGGTTTGCGGGCGGCAGCGCCGGAAAGGAAGCCGGTTTACCACACTGCCACCACCTGTTCCTCCCCCACCTGCTCCTCCTCCATGCCGAACCAGTTGTTCTTCCGCAGCAGCTCCTCCGTCCGCGCGTGCGTGTCGTCGCTGGTCATGATGGCCAGCGGCAGCCGCACGCCCGCACCCGCGCGCTGCTGCAGCGCCAGGATGGTGGAGATGTAGAGGCGCAGGAAGGGCGCGGAGCTGACACTCTCACAGGGCAGCGCCACCTTGATGCCTGGCAGGAGAGGGGTGGCGGGGTGGCGAGGCGGGATAAAGGGGTGTGGGGTTGCTCGCAACGGGCTGGGTAAAGCGCTTCTCAGCCGAACTTCCACCACCACCCAGAGCCCCAAGCTCCTTTCCATCCACTCGCATCACCCCCGCAGCAGCCCCTACCGCTGCCCCCACTCCCCAACTCACCAAACAGCCATCCCCTTCCCATCATACCCATACTACCCACCACACCCGCCACCCATATCCACCCCCGCCTTACCCGAGTATCCCAGCCGCTCCCCCAGCCCGCCCGCCACCAGCACGAAGGCCGCCCGCCCCGCCTCCGCCAGCCCCTCCGCCTCCAGCGCCAGGTAGTCGGGCGAGCCGAAGTCCAGCCGCACGCCGCTGGGCACACTGGGCACGTAGCCCTCAAAGGGGTTGGTACCTGAGCAGGGGAGGGGTGGGAAGGAGGGTTGAGGAGGGGGTTTGAGGAAGGGAGGAGGAGGGACAGCAGATGGCTAGAAGGGTGAAAGGGGTGGCTGCTGCTGCTTCAGCACGCAGCAAAGCAAGGAGTGTTTGCATGCTGAAGCACTACCTCTTCTCTTCCTGCTTCAATCCCTCGCATGGTAGCGCCGCCCCCGCATACGGTTCGTCCCCCGGCCTACCACATCGCGCCGGCTCCCCCCTGTCCGTTCTTCACGTACCCCTCTCTCCTCCCCACCCCACCCCCACCTAGCACTCCCCTCCCCGCCCCCTCCAACCCATGTTGACGCCTTATCCCTCAGTCAGTTAGTTGTTTCCTCTTTTCCCCTCCTCTCCCTCCCTTCCCCACCCACCCAATCCTAAAATCCAGCTTAATGCGGACTCTTCATCCATATTACCCACCCTCCCTCGACTCCTGCAGCAGCTTCTTGGCGTTGCGCACGTACGCGGGCAGCCCCCCGTGGTAGCTGCGATGCAGTAACACCAGCTGATCCACCAGCTGGCGCTTGCTGGAGTCGGCGGTGCCTGAGGGGCGGGGAAAAGAAAATTCCCAAGGTGTTTAATGATGCTAGCAAACAAGCGGAGGAGGAGAGGCAGGGGGGAGGGAGGAGGGATGGGTGACGGCCAGGAGGCGCGGAGGCTACTGGCTGGCCTCTTGCATTGGCCTTTTACATTGGCTGGGTATGATACAAGCCCCCCACTACCAAGCAGCACATGCCCGGACACACCGCTAGCAGCCGCCTGGCCCCGATGCTAGGCCTTTTACAAAGTTCCCAACCTATCCCTCCCCTGCTGACTACACTCAAGTCCCCAACCGTAATGCTGGCGAAGACACCATGAGGCGGTTGCAGCCCGGAGGGGAGGGGGCGGAAGCCTTCCCCGCGAGGAGCACCCGGGCACCCCCCCAACACCGGCAGCACCTCCCCACCCTCCGTTGCTTTACTTTTCTTTCATATTCTCCCCACCCACCCGGCTCCGGCCAGCCCTCGAACAGGTGTCCCTGGTCCAGCTGGAGCAGCTCCGAAACCAGCGCCCGCTCCTGTGGGGGAAGGGGGGGTGTAGGGGAGGCGTTTGGGGTCCGGGAGGGCAGGTGACGCAGTATGTACAAAAGGAGCTGCAGGAGGCCGAAAATGTCGAGGTGTAGTTAAGTGAACACGTGATGGAGTCAAAGCACGTGTATGTGGCGGTCGGTTTCATGGGCAGGACGGATGACGCTGGTATGGGGTTATCCACCGGGGGCTATAGACAGGAAGGGGTGTTGTTGGTGTGGTGCTGGTAAAGTGGCTCGCCTCATCTGGGTCACGGCCACTAATGGCCGTTGCACATCGGGTATGCCTCGATGTGGGTCGGCGGGTGGGGCACCGAGGCGCATGGTGGGGAACTGGGGCGCCGGTGTTGTGGTGGCCCTGGTCCGGTGATGTGGCCGCAAGCTGGCTTAGCGTGCGATACCGCACTAGGTGGACTTCCACTGCACCCTGATACACCCCTCAGTGTCTTGCAAAGCAGTAGTTTGATGGTACACTCTGCGTTCCGGGACCAAAACACACATGCCTTACCCGCCCAAAGCTTCCCAGTGCAATGCAGCAGAACACATGGCGGACGGAGAGGCCCCGGAGGCTTACACCCTTCCCCCCGTGATCTATGCTATGGCTGCCTGCGCTATGCACGCCCCTTTACGACTTCTGGTCTTCACTTTTGTCCGCCCGATCCGGACACTTCCGATTACCGTAAAAAACGAAACCAAGGAATACAGCGTACGTGCAGATGGGTTACCTGTTCAGAGAGTAGAGCCTCGTTGCCCTTCAGCATCGCGGATAACGGGTCTGGTGTCGCCTCGGCAGCGCCATCAGCGGGATGGGAACGGTCTTCCTGAACCTCCGACGTGATCAGAGGCTCGGGCGCCACAGACCCGTTTGCGACCCCTTCACCAGAGGAAACTGCGACCGCCTTGGAGTTGCTGCAAAGCGTAATCGTCGGTCATTGCCAGAAGCCCAGGCCGCAAGGCTATGCAGTCATACTAGCCTGGGGCCTGACAAACGTACCTTCTAAGGTGATATGCTAGGTAGCCAGCACCACCGATGGCGACGGTGGCGCCGACCCCTACAGTAGGTTCCCGAAAAGCGTTACATTTGTGAGCCTGACACAGACGTAGGCCATCCAAAGGCGTCCCCTTACCAATCAAGATCGCGCTCTTGCGCACCATTCCCCGATCACAACTGCGGGAGCGTGGCCGAAAGAGCTATGCTTGTGCAGTTAGGAGCAGGACCCGAATCTGGTGTATGGTGGAATGTAGTATAGGCTCGGTATTATTAATAAAAGCATAACAAGAAATGGCTTCTTGTGGGACAGCGTGCAGCCATGTTGTAAACGATCGGCATTGCACGGCAGCCTCCGGCAGTAACGACACCCGAACCAACACAAAGCGTAATTACTTCAATATTTGTAACCCGATTGAAATTGTGCGCCTGTTCTAGTTGCGGGGAGGAGTCCGTCTTTTAAGTAGTTGATTTAGGCAGACAGTGCTTCTGCTCACGATGTTACATAAGGGGTATGCAAGGAGCACTTGAGGGGAGGTTAGGCTAGTCTGCTCGTGTACGCTCTGCAATCATACGGACTATGTCCTCTAGCTACAGCCAACACACGGGACATGGCTTCATCATTTCGGCAGTGCTGCTGCTTTTGCTGCGGTTTGCCTTCAGCAATGGCATCAAACACGATAGAGCAGCCGCGGTCATGAAATGCTTTGACGGAGTTGACTGCCTTTCTAAGCGGACAGCATGGGAGCATCTCACCGAGGACCTTCCCAGCTGCCTGGTTGCCGCGCGTGTCTGGTGGTCCTCACGGCCTGCAGCCATTCCCGTCACGCTGGTCACACAGCTCTCTGCGGAGCGACTGGACCAGCTTCGCGCGCAGTGCGCCACCTGGTCCGGCCCGCTGGCCGCAGCGCTGTACCTGCCGCTCCTCAACCCCTCCTCCCATGAGCTGCAAGACACCAGCCGCCAGAAGCTGCAGGCCATGATCGCTAGCGCAGAGGAGCTCTTCAAGGCATCCGAAACCAACCAACTGCATACCGTACGCTTAGGCAACCACCGCAGCAGCGATGGCGCCATCAGTACCAGCACAAACAGCAGCAGCGGTTCTGGAGGCGGCGGTGCCGGCGGCTGCCAGCTGCGGCTGATACTGATCTACGAGCTATTCGCCGACCCGCGCGCGCTGGTGCTCTACCCCGTTAACTCCCTGCGCAACTACGCGCGCCTGCTTGCTGATACCGACCTCATCACCAACATAGACGTGGACATGCTGCCCTCTGCCTCCATCTCAGCAGCCCTAGCCGACCCAGCGCTGCGTGCTACCTACCAAGCGGGCGCGGCTGCCGGCGGCGTGTACGTGTGGCCGGCCTTCGAGACGCACTGCGGCGGCACCTCCTACGCGGACGCTGTCGCGCTGGCGGACAAGGCGGCGCTGCCCGCGGCGCTGCGGAAATGCCTGCGGCGCATGCGGCCCAAGGCGCCCGCCAGCCACAACGCCACGGACTACGAGCGCTGGATGGCGACGGATGGCGTGTACGACATACAGTACGGGGCGCTGTACGAGCCGTGGTTTCTGAGCTGGCGGTGGGGCACGTTGTGGTACGACTACAGGTGGGGCTTGTGGAGGAACGGGGTGGGGGTGGTGCGGTTGCAGCCTGCTATGCGTGTCGCAACTAAGGCTTTCGCCATCCGAACATGCCTCGTCTCCGCCTTACTTGGCCCTCCCTTTGTCTCCCCCTTGGCCGTGACCCCTTAACTCTTTCCCCTTCTAAACTCACACACTCCCCTCAACCTTCATTACCACCCCTCAACCTCCACCACCACCCAGGTACCGTGGCTATGGTAAGAACAAGATCGTGCAGGCCGCCGCCACCAACGCCACCGGCGCCGCCTGGCACGTCTCCCCGCATGGCTTCCTGGTGCACCGCCCGCACAGCGAGAGCCGCGCGCGCCGCGACTTCCTGCGCGCCAAGTTCAGCCGCAAGGACATGGAGGACCTGCGAGGCAGCCTGTACGAGCACGTGGAGGCGCTGTGGGCGGGTACGACAGCTGAGCTGGCGGCCGGGAGCTACATGGCGCGAGTGGAGCGGCCCTTCCAGGCGTGCTTGGAGGCGCTGCCCTGGTGGCGCAAGGAGCAGCGGCGGTAATAGTGGCGGTGGTGTGCTGTACGGCATCATGGGGTTGGCAGTAGCGGTAGTCAGCAGTAGCAGCCATGGGGGGCACGGAGGAGGCAGGAGTAGCAGAGAGTTCATAGTAGGCAATGACTGCGGAAGGGTAAGGCTAAGGAAGGGCAGCGGCTGGCCCAGTCGTACAGGGTCAATGAAGGAAGCGGCTGGGTTTCTGGAAGCGGCATGGGATATAGATCTTAGGCTTCACTACATCTCGCAAGGCTTTTCGCGTGAGGCATGAGGCATGAGGCAAGAGAAGAAAGTCTACGCTGGTGGCCCTGTGCACGGGGTTGGCGGGTGGCGGTGGTGGCGACGTTCTTCGGTGTGGGTGGGGGTTGGCTTGGGTGCGGTCAGTGCTATCTGGCGGTGTGCATGCATGCGCGCAGGGCAGATGGTGCCTTGTACATATTCTTATAGCAATCTGCCCCAGCTTACGTGCCATGGGCTGCCGGTATTTGCTGAACGACTGCGGCGTGCGATATTAACATATTTGCTCTATGCTTTTTAGTACACATCGATGGGTGTGACGTGCGGGCCTGGGAGCGCATTACAGGAACGGGTGGTCTTGCTAGGCACTGATGTGGTTTAGCGGTGATGCGTCATTTAGTCTAATCTGCCCTACGTGGCCTAAGGAGCGTGGGTGGCTTGCAAATAGCATGCAGCCTCTGTTTGCCATTGTACACACCCCATACACAGGGGGCGTGCGCTACAAGCGTTGTACCGCCGCGCTGCTGCGAAGTGGGCCGCCGGCGTCCTGCCCACGAAGGCCACGATGACTTTTTTGATTTCCATATGCCCCTGATGGTCATGGTTTAAAGCGGTTTGCTGGAGCCTTACCACCCGTATCTCTGGTGAAGACCGTACAGGCTGTACTCTTAAGAGTCCTCAGCGTCGAGAGCTGAGGGTCACATTGCTATCATTGCTTGGCCTGGACCGTAGGTTACGGGCAAGGAAGACACGCGCATAGCCCACCCCAAAGCGACACCACCTGTGCACCGAACGGCGCTCCTAGTACACAGCTGGCAGAAAGCACGGCGGCTCCCCTGGTCCAAGCATGCGACAGGACATTGGTTTAGGGCACCACAGCTAGGCTAACGGCTGAGGTGTGCGTGGGAACATGCACCATGAAGCCAGGTAGCCAGCTGCCAGCAAGCACGGTAATCTGTACGGCATTTTGGCAGCGCTGTGCCGTACGGAGGCTGCTGCACTTGTCAACAATCCGTTAATAATCATATACTTTTCCAGCTTGTAGATGTCCTATTCTAGAGCCGTTTGAAGCACGTTACATTTGACAACTTTGCCCATTATCCCGGTTTCGTTAGCGCAACTCCTTTCTTGCGGCCTGCACGGCCCAGCTCTCTGCCAAAATGGTGGATGCTATGCGCGCTATGCTGGACGAGTTGATGGGAAAAGAGCGAAACGTGCCTTTGGGACAGCGCTCCAATCGCAAGATTCGCTTCGATGACCCAAGCGTCTGCAAATATGCTCTGGCTGGCTTGTGCCCCAATGGGCTGTTTAAGAACACCAGAAGTGACTTAGGTAAGACGGATTTGACGACGTTTGCAAACGTTGCACAGAATGGAAAGATCGAGCCGACCAGTTTTTGTCCTATTGGTTTGCAGGCCCATGTCCATACGAGCTCCACGAGGACCATATAGGATGGGAGGAGCTGAAGGCCGAATATGATAAGCAGGACCCTCGGGAGCATGAGCGGTAAGGCGGCCTCTTTCACTTCTTTACACTCCTGAGGTTATGTCTGCATTTGTGACCATGCATCATACGCATGTGCAGGTACGAGCGACGGCTTATGAAGGTGCTGGAGGACCTTATTCGTGAAATGGACCGGAAAATTGCCAAAGCCAAGGAGCGCGCAGAAGCGGAAAGCACAGCACGCCCTCTTAAGCCGGACGACGCTGCGCGCCTGGCGGAGATGCAGGCAAAGGCTAAAGGTACGTGTCCGGCGAGCTATTTGGCGCTCCTGTCATATGTTGGGCAAGGAGTGCCCTCGCCGAGGTCCCACGCTGCGCGAGCCCGGGGCCTGGCGCTGGCCTCGTTTCCAAGGAGGCGTCAGGCATCGTGTGCGTTAGGCAACATGTAAGGCCCGGCACTGGCCCTCTCTGACCCTACAGAGCTGCTGCACAAAAGCCAGGAGGCCGGCGAGGCTGGCGACGTTGACGTGTCCATGGCGCTAGCACAGCAGGCGCAGGAGATGCAGGCGCAGCACGATCGCCTGCACAAAGGCCTCACCGCCCCAGAGCGCACCATGAGCGTCTGCGACATCTGCGGCGTTTTCATCAACAGTACGGACAATGACCAGCGGCGGCAGGTACGTTCGGGACAACCAACTCCAAGCATGCTGGCTGCACAGGTAGGTATGGTGGCACCCGCCCCTCTAGTACGAGCATGCAGCTAGCAGATCGGGGGCGCATGTATAGTACCTGGGTGCATTTGCAAGACGTCTAGCTACATCGGACACCGAGGCTGCGGCGGCTCACGGGGATGGGCCGTGGTCATGTCCTTGTTACAGTCTTCCCATCTGGCCGAGCGCTTCTGCTTGAGCACCTTGCTATGGGCCCTCGCGCGTAATGCCTAACTTCGCTTTTTCCGTCCGTAACCGAGCATATGCTTCGGCAATGTTGAGCCCAATCCGGCAGAGCACTCAAAAGGCCATGCATGTGTTGCGCAGGAGCACTTGACGGGCAAGCAGTACCTGGGCTGGAAGGCCATTCGGGAGAAGTACGCGGAGCTGCAGAACAAGTGGGAGCGCTCGCGGTCACGAGAGCCGGAGCCCTTTGCGCGGGAGCGCAGCGGGCCGCCCCAGGGGCCAGACGACCGTGGCCGGGAGCGGGAGCGGTCGCCCGTCAGGTGGGGCGTGAGGGTGGGGTGGCGGAGGCGGGTTGGGGTGGGTTCCCTCCGTGAAACGCCTTAGGTCTCGGGATATCGCGTTGGGAGGGTGGCCAACCCGAAATGTTTCTGCATGGTGGACTCCCGACACGCGCTTGCAGCTTATCGATGGATTTGCCATGCGGTCTGCCTCGCTCTTGGATGCAGGCGAGAGCACGACAGCCGTGGCCGGACCTCCTACGACGAGCGAGGGGGCTACGAGGGCCGGGACCGCGGTGCCTACTACGACGACAGGCGGTACGTGGGGTTTGGCCCATGGGACCTTGGGTACCCGCCGGTGTTCCTTTGCATGGGAGAACGGCAGTTGGTGCCGATGGAAGCAAGGATAGTGATAATGAAATTGCCAGGGCGCCTGGGTATGGGTAGCAACGGGGCGGCCAGCACATGCCTGCATGGTGAACCCGGTGGGCTTGCCTGAATGCCCTGCTCTCATCCTGGCTTCCCTTCCCTTCCCGCCCCCGCCCGCAGGCGCGATGACCGGGGGCACGACAGCCGGGGGCGCAGCTACGAGGACAGCCGGGGACGGGGTTATGACGACGGGCGCAGCCGGGGTTACGAGGAGGGCCGGAGCCGGGGCTATGATGACGGGCGCAGCCGGGGGTATGACGGCCGCGGTTACGACGAGGGGCGGGGCCGGGGCTACGAGGAGCGGCGCGAGTACGACAAGCGTGGCGACGACGGATACAGGTCAGGGTCATATGGCAGCGGCGGTAGCCACCGTGACCGGCCACGCGACAGCTATTACGAGGTAAGTCGAGAGCCAACGCATCGTATGAGGTACGCAGAGTGCATGTGCCCTCGGCAGGCTTTTTGCATGTCCTGGCACCTCGGTGGCATGCATTGGCGCGGAATCGATTAACTCCACAGCTTGTAAACCTTTGCAACCCTGCCGCGCGGGCGAGGGGCTCATGACCTGGCATGAGAAACGCTGAGGTGCGTGCGGTGCCGTGGTAAGAGGCACCGGAAAGCTTAGGTCTGTAGCACGCGCGCCGCGTTGCTGAATGCGACCGCAAATGCAAACAAGTTATTTTTTGTTCACATAGCTTGCAGCAGCTTGCCTCACTTGAGGTGTCAGTCATGCACTCAGCGCTGGTGGAGGCAGACGGCAAGTGAAGCGGCAAGTATGACGAAGGGACATGCGTACACGTGTAGTCCCGTGCCTTCCTAACCGGAACTGCGTTGTGCGCCTGGCGAGGCATGGGGCATGCAGTTGCCAGACAACGTTCTGTACCCTAACAATCCACAGACGAAAACTGAACATCTTGCGCAATCCCGTAACCTCCCATTGCAGGAGCGGCGGCGCTACTAGAGGCTGTGGAGGTGAGGCAAGTAGGAGGCGCTGGCCTGCACGTGTGTAAAGCACAGAATGGCGGGTTGCCTGCTTTAGCGGGTTTGTTGCCACCTCACAAAGTGTATCACCACAGCAGCTGGGGCTACCCGTACAGGCAATGGCTGTTGCGGTTTAGGAAGGGCTCGACCCTTCCAGATGGCAGGATAGGGTAGATACTGGGGCTTATGGGGGTGTATTTAATGCTCGGCAAGGTAGAGACTGGACAACTGTCCGAAATGAAGTTGCAGTCAACATACGTGAAGGGGCGACTAGCGTTTGCTTTGGTTGGTGTACCCCTTGAAGCATTGAGAGGAGTGCTTGCAGGGATGCATGGGAGGTATGTGGGAAGAAGTTCGGATCATCGGGGCCCCAGGGCCGCCCCGTTGAGTGGTTGCGGTTGGTAGATGAGGTTGGTTGTGCCCCTGTGAATGGACAAGAACGGAGACGAGATGGTGATGCCCGAGTTGGCGTCGCACTTGGATTCCATCCGATTTAACGCGCTGGCTACGAAAGAGCCCTGCACACAACCTAACACCTGCGACGTGCGCCGCGCACGTGCTGAGCAGCGCGACAGACGTGCGCTTTACCTCAGGAGAACATGAGCAGCTTCCTGGTTCCCTAACGTCGTGTTTATCTCTACTACTACCATAAATCAGTTCTTGTAGAGGTCCTGACTCCAGAGATACAGGATTCGGAGCGCAGGAACGCTCCTCGCACTACGGCCACCAACCCACTAGCCTAGTTGCGAATCTGTGGGCAAACCAATTGCGAACAACCCAGATATATCCTGGCAACAAGCTTCACAAGCGACTGGCAAGCTCGAAAGTAGCTTACCAACCATGCTTGCAGCAAGGCGCTGTTAGTTATTTAAAAACTGCCATTAGCGTTGTTGCATGTAATGTGATAGGTACAAGGAAATGGTACAGTTATAGGCGGATGACTATGTTCAAGAAGTAGGTTTTAAGCAAGGGTCTCAGAAGCGAATGGTATACCAACTGAATCCAGCAAGCGTAGTACATGGTCAGCGGTATAGCTGTGGATCCCTATGGCGACACCGTTCGTTAATTAGGCCCTCGCCGCGCCCGAGTCGACACATCGCGAACAGCGTAGCTCCGCAAGCAGCGCTGCCACTGGTGCGCAGCCTACCTCTCGTCATAGGATGGACTCACACGGTTGCAACAGGTTAGTAACAATGCGTAGGTGCGATGTGCGTTGTGCTCAACTGCTCAAGCTCCCATTGTCGCCAATGGTCCACCGCTGCCACCGCACACTCCCCACCCTTAACCCAACGGGATATTTTTCTTTTTTCCTTCTTCCCTCTCCCCTCTTACCTCTTCCCGCCCCTCCCGCACCCAAGGCTCCTACCACGGCGCCGGCCTGTGGTTCACCACGCTGTGCGCCCTGTCGGTGGCGCTGGGGGCCCTGTCGTACAACCTGATGGCTGTACTTGAGGAGTACTTTGACCGGTTTGACCGCCGCAAAACGCAGGCGGTGCAGGTGGGGTGTGTTCAATAAAATAATCTGACGAGGAAACTGACGAGCTGTATGATAAGACCGGAGTGGCGTGCCAGCTTCCCCTCCCACTCCCGTCCCTCTCCCCCTCCTTCCCCCCCTCGCAGCCCCGCACCTACCTGCATGGTGTTGACGTGACCGGCAGTCGCTTCCTGCGCCTGCCCCGAGTGGTGGCGGCGGTGGAGTTCGCGGCTGCAGCACACGCCAGCCAGCGCCGCAAGACGGGGGAGCCGTACGTACGGCACTGCATTGAGACGGCTCTCATTGTGGAGGCGTGCCTGCCGCAACACCACAGCGAGGAGGAGCAGGAGCGGTGGGTGGTGTGTATGGGCGCGGAGGGGAGCGGAGTTGGGTGTTAGGCTTTGCACAGGACTGTAACAAGCAGGCTGGGTTAGTAGCGCGAAGTACCGCTCGCGGCCACCCAAACCCCCACCCAACCGGCTGGCCCCCCTCCCCTACCCTCCTCCCCCGCCTCTTCCCCCCTCCCCCCCCCAACTCCCCCCCCAGCCACGTGACGTGTATCATGGCCGCCGTACTTCACGACGTGTTGGACGACACGCCCACCGACCCCGCCTCGCTGCACGCCTCGTTCGGCCCCCGCGTGGCGGCGCTGGTGGGGCGCGTGTCGCAGCTGAGCCAGATGAACCAGCTGCTGAGGAGGGGCAAGCGGCAGGTGGGGCGGGGGGGGGGGATCGGGTTAGGAGGGGCGATGGCGGGTTGAGAAACACAAAGAAAGACGACCATGGCAAGCCGCAATGGTGGGTTTGGGGAGCCCGGTGGGCAGCCCAGTGAGACCTTTCCGTCAACCCTTATCGTATCCCTCCCTCCCCTCCTCCTCCTCCCACCCCTCCACCCCTCCTCTCCCCCTCCTCTCCCGCTTCCCAGGGCTGGTCCCAGACCTCCCCCGACCACCAGCGCCGGCTGCGGCGCCTCATCGTGGACCTGGCCTTCGAGGAGCCGCTGGTGGTGCTGGTCAAGCTGGCGGACCGCCTGCACAACATGCGCACCGTGTGGGTGCTGCCGCGCGACAAGCAGCGCGCGGTGGCGGAGGAGAGCGCGGAGGTGTGGTGCAGCCTGGCGGAGTCGCTGGGCTGGGACGGAATCAAGGTAGGGGGGAGGAGGGGGGCGGAGTAAAGTAAGGAAACTGACTAAATGTATGACGAGGCTTTACCATGGGTTGCTAGGGGGCGGGGGGGGGGTCAAAGACCATACCGAGGCATAGGAAGCCACAGGTTGGGGGAAATGGAAGGTAGGAGAGGGGGGCGTGCTAAGAAGGCTAGCCGCAAGGGCATGTTGACAAAACTGGCAACTTTGGGGAAGGGAGCGCGAGGTTAGGGGGCGCCTTTGGGTGAGGGGACGGAAGGGATGGCTCCAACCATTTCACCCCGTTCAGCGAGTACGGTAACCTTCCATAAACAGTAGCCCTCTCCAACCCCCTCCCCTCTCCAACCCCCTCCGACCCCACCCCTTACCAAACCCGCAGTCCGAGATGGAGGACCTGTGTTTCGCGGTGCTGCAGCCCGCCACCTACTGCACCCTGCGGGCGGAGCTGGACCGCCTGTGGTGCTTGCCCACACTGGCAGTGGTGGAGGAGGCGGAGGGGCAGCAGGGGCAGGGGCAGGGGGGAGGTGCGGCGGCAGGAGGAGCAGGGGAGGGGACAGGTGCAGCAGCAGCAGCAGGGGATGGTCTGGGGTTGCGAATCGTGCAGCTGCCGCCGGGTTCAGCTGCCGCCGCTGCTGCTGCTGGTGGTGGTGCAAGCAGGTTGCATTACACGCGGGCGGCGGGGGTGAGGGCGGCATCGAGGAGGGCGGCGGCGGAGCGGCAGGAGCAGCTGCAGCTGCTGGAGTTGCAGGTGGAAGAGGAGGGGCAGCAGCAGCTGCTGCTGGTGAGGCAGCCGGGAGCGTGTGCGAGTGGGGAGGTTGGCGGCGGTGGTAGTAGCGGGCAATCAGCGGCGGAGGTGGAGGCGGCGATTGCGGCGGTGGCGGTGCCGCTGCCGCCTAGTGGATCCGGCTCCAGGGCGCATATGACGCCTGCCGTGCCGCTGGCTTCAGCTGACCGTGACATTGCTTCGGCGGTTGGCTTGGGCTGTGGCGGTGGTGCCCATCACGAGGGCGGCACCGGTAGCAGCCCTAGCAGCTGCAGTAGCAGCAGCGGGAGCAGCAACAGCAGCGGCAGCGCCCGTAGCAGTACCTGCGTTGCAGAGGCCGGCAGAGGCAATATAAGCAGTGTAAGCAGTAGCAGCAGTAGCAGTAGCAGTAGCAATAGCATTGGCGGTGTTAACTGTAAGAGTAGTAGCAGCGGTAAGAGCAGTTGCGGCGTCTTCTCTCTGAACAGCATTGGCACAGTCAGCAGCGACAACAGCAGCGATGGCAGCAGTTATCATGCTTGCATCTCTTCGTTGGCAGTTGAATCATCGCCCACTTGTACGACAATGGAGTCCATTGACGGGCCGGTGGTGCTGTTGGATGACCAGGTCCTGCCGTACAATGCGACGCAGTTTGCAACCAGCAGCAGTAGCAGATCTGATATGAACAGCTATGGCAGCAATAGCAGCAGCGATTGTATCAGTAGCGACGGCGCTAGCAGCAGCAGCGGTGGCAGCGGCAGCAGCTCCTCTCTCCAGCTGCCGCTACCTCCTACGCCCTCCCATGCTCCAGACCCCACCTCCTCATTTTCTCCCCCAAGTTCCCCCAGCCCCTCCAGCCCCGCCCCCTGCCTCAGCCCCGACCCGCCCCCCGCCTCCGCCCCCCTGCTGCCACTGGACGCGCAGCAGCAGCGGCTGCGGTCGGTGCTGAGCAGCGTGGTGCCGTTCGAGAGCGTGGGGTTCAAGAGCGTGTGGGGGGTGGCAAGCAGCACACGGTAAAGAGGGAGGGGACATGGTGAAGGGGGGGGGGTACGGAGGACAGGAGAAGACGTGAAGCACCCAATGACGAATGTGTCATGGCGAGGCGGGGGAAGGGGAGGCGCTAGGGGCAGCCACGGGTTGGAGGGGGTGCACAGCGGATGCATGGTGTTCGTACCGGTAGTAGCGGGCAAGCTATGGCATCCTTTTTGTGTCATGGTTAATGACACCGCTGTATAGTGGCAGGGTGGGGCGGAGCTTGCAACGAGAGTGGGGGAACTAAGAGTAGACGGCTAGGCAGCGACTTACCCTTTCATTCCCCCCTCCTGCCACCTCCCTTCCCCTCCCCTCCCTTCTCCATCCCCTCTCTCGTCCCCTTCCCCCGCCCCCCCCCAACCCCAGTCGCGGGTTGGAGGTGTTGGACGAGTGTGCCGCACTGCTGTACGACGAGATCCAGATCCGCAGCCAGGCTGGCGGGCTGGCCATCAACATCCAGGGCCGCCTGAAGAGCCTGCAGTCGGTGTACCGCAAGATGGTGCGCAAGGGCTGTGCGGTGGCGCAGGTGAGGGGAGGGGGAGAAAAGGGGGGGGAGGAAAAGAGCCATGCGTTGGATGATAGTGCTAAACTAAGTGAAAAACTAGGTGTGTGATTAAAGCTCGCACACAAGGTGGGGAGCGGGGAAGGGAAAAGATGAGGGGATGAGCGGGGGAGGGAGGGGGGATGAGCTGGGAGCGCGCACCACGTATGAGGTCCATGCCTTGCCATGCCATGCTCCCCTCCTCCTCCCTTCCCACCCATCTCCCCCCCAGGTGTACGACAGTCGCGCCCTCCGAGTGATCGTGGACGACGCGGATGGGTCGCAGCTGCGCGAGGCGGTGGAGGCGTGCTACCGGCTGGTGGGGGCGGTGCACTCGCTTTGGAAGCCCATTCGGGGGGAGTTCGACGACTACATTGCCAACCCCAAGCAGTCGGGATACCAGGCGCTGCACACGGGTAGGGGGCGGGGAGGTGGGGGGTGGGTAGTGTGGTGCGGATGATGCGGCGTGAGGGTGTTAAGAAAACTGGCCACGAGTAGGAATGTACTATTGTGATTGCCGGAAGATGTCCCCACAGGAACGCCAACAGTCGTGTCCATGCCAACCCTGCTTTGCACATCGGCCCCTCCCCACTCCTCCTCCACCCCTCCTGCCCCTCCCCCCACTCCTCTCTCCCCCCCAGCTGTCCGCGGCCCCGGCGGAATCCCCATGGAGGTGCAGATCAAGACCTCCTCCATGCACCACCTGGCGGAGTACGGAGCGGCGGCGCACTGGGTGTACAAGGAGGAGGCGTTCACACAGCTGCTGGGAGGGGCGGCAGGGGGGGGAGGAGGGGTGGGGAGAGGGGGAGGGGGAGGCAAACCCAGCACCCAACCCGCCTCCGTGCCTCCCTCCTCCTCCGTCGCCCTAGCGCCTGCGGGTGCTGCTTTGGGTGCTGGTAACGGTGCCAGCGGCGGCAGCGGCGGCAGTTGTGGGAAGGGTGTTGGCGCCCCGGCGGCGGTGCAGCTGCCACCACTACCACCGCCACCTCCCCAACAGCAGCAGCAGCCCTCTTCCTCCTCCTCCTCCTCCTCGGCTAGTAAACCCGGGCAGCGGGTACAGCCGGACAGCAGAGGTGCTGGTGTTGCTGCCCCTCCTCCCCCTCCCCCACCTGCTGCTGCCCTGCCTCCCGCCCCGCCCCCCCCGCCCCCCCCGCCCCCCCCGCCTGCCCCGGCCCCCGGGGAGCGGGTGCTGGGTGCTGGCTACGTGGGGCAGCCGCTGCTCAAGGTGGCCAAGGATAAGCTGAGGTGGGGGTGTGGGGCGGGGTGAGGGTGGGGGGTGGGGGAGTGGCAAGGCCGCCACTTGCTCTGCTGCAGCTCTCCCTGAGTCCCTTAGCCTCCCCCCCCCCCACACACACACCTGGTCAGTGCCTCGTCAGCTTCCTCATGGTCATCCCCTCCCCCCCCAGGTACGGTGTGGTGGTGTCTCGCGAGTGCGAGGGTCAGCGGCTGGTGGCCGCCGTGAAGCTGGGCCCCACCTTCCGCGCCTTCCCCACTCGGGTGCCCGACTACGGCTTCTACGGAGGGCTGCTGGCTTACACGCGGGACAAGGGGTGGCAGGTGCGGGCGGGGGGGGAGGGAGGGAGGGGGGGGGGCAGGGAGGGGGGGGGCAGAGAGGGAGGGCGGGTGGGAGGGAAGCACTCGCCGGGGGTCTTAGCCCATCGCCTGGCTCCTGGGGAGTCCGCTGCCCCTTTTTCCATCACCCCCACCCCACCTTCCCTCCCCCACCCCCTCCCCCTCCAGATACCCGGCCACGGCGACCTGGTGTTACGGCTGGAGGAGTTTGTCAAGTGCGCGGATGGCAGGTGGGTGGGGGCGCGGGGGAGGCTGGGCAGCTGGGCGGGTGAGGCGGGGGGACGTGCAGAAGCACGCAACCCCATGAGGACCACCGTACCCACCGAACTCACCGAGCCCGACCCAAGGCCGGGCGTGTGGTGGTGTGGGAGAGGGCTGGGAGGTGACTTCCCTGCAGCCGTTACCCTCCACTTCCTCCTAAACCGACTCCTCGTCCCCCCCCCTTGCCCCCTCTCTCCCCACCTCCCCCCTCCCCTCGATTGGGATTCGTTGTTTCACTTTTATATAATTTTTCCCCCCTGCCCCCCCTCCACACCCCTGCCAGGTACCACCGGCGGGACCACATGGGTTATCTGCTGCCTGCGGAAACCGCCACGCTGCTGGAGGGCTTCGAGGAAGAGGTGCTGGCGGCGGCAGCGGAGGAGGAGGAGGCGGAGCGGCAGGAGGCGGAGCGGGAGCGCGAGGAGGAGGCGGCAGCAGTGGCGTTGGCTGCGGAGCTGCTTGCTGGCAGCTGCAACAGCGGCAACGGTAGCGGCAACTTCACGGATACGGAATCGGAGTCGGATAGTGAGGTGGGGACGGTGGCGACAGCAGCGGGAGCAGCTGCAACAGCAACGGCTCACAGTCGCAAGGGCAGTAGCAGCAGTAGCAGCAGCATCAGCAGTCGTACTCGCAAACGTCGCAGTGGTTCCAGTGGTGGTAGCAGTAGCAGCAAGCGAGGCAGTGGTGGGGGTGTGGCTGAGCTGCTGGGCAGTGTGGATGAGGACATGCTGGCGGCAGCTGGCGGAGGTGGAAGTAGTGGCAGTAGTGGCGGCAGCGGCAGCAGCAGTGTCGCTGAGGCTGAGGCGGCCCAGCGGCGGTTCCGGGATCAGATGCGGGTGACGTTCGCCAAGACACAGCAGCTGAGGAGCATGATTGAGTGGGGGCAGGGGGCGATAGGTGAGTGAGGTGGAGGGGGGTTGGGTGGGGTGGTGGCAGGCGGATGAGGAGTGAAGAGGGGGAGAGGGCGGTGGGGAGGGGCCGGTGGATGGCTGTGATGGGCGGGTGGTGGCATGCAGCGATGCATGCAGGTGTGCATGCATGCATGCGTGGTGGGCCGTGTAGGGTGGGGCTGTGGGTTAGGGGTGCAGCGGCCTAGCCAGCCAGCAGCAGCAGCTCTGTTGCAACGTGTCACCCCCATCACCCCTGTCGCACTGCCCGCATGCATGCGCTGCGAGCATGCTAGGCTGCAAGGCTGTGGCACGTGCTGCCGCGGGGCCCTGCGGTGTGTACCCCACACCTCTCGGCCGCGGTGGCATCTTGCGGCGGTGCAGTGCACCTTTCAGCGCACTGCAGTGAAGCATCTGAGGGCCACCTGAGAGCCACCTGAGAACCAGCTGCATGCCTCACCCAGTCACCCTTCAGCACCCTCGGCAACCCCTCACGTCGCAACCCCTCTCCTCCTTTGTCTCCCTCCAGGCAAGTCATCCTCCTCCTCCACCTCCTCCGACTCCTCCTCCACCTCCAGTGACGAGGTGTGTGTGCTCATCTGGCCGGGCGGCCACATAGAGCACTTTGCTCGCGGCACCACCGCGGGGGCAATCGTGGCGGCGCGGGGGGTGGTGGGAGGCGGCGGGGGGCTGGCAGGCGGGGGCCTAATTTCCGGCGGTGAGGGGGGCGACGGCAGCCGCGGGGCGCAGCTGCTCATCAATGTGAACAACAGACTGGTGCCGGAGGATACGGTGAGGCAGGGGCTGGGGGGGGGGCGGGAAGTGCCGGTACGGCAGACGGACGAACCATGAGAGAGTGCAGGTTATCGGGCACAGCAAAGGGGATGGGAGGCGGAAGGAGGGTGCCACAGAACAAGTGGCGGGAGAGGGGAGGAGGGCGGGCGTGATGCGGAGGGGGTGACCGCCCATTAAAGCCCTCGTCCTGAAGCCTTCATGCGGTGTTATCTACGTGCGAGTGGACCCTCCCCTCTCAGCCGCCTGCACCTTACCTTGCGCCTCCTTCCTTCCTTCCTCCTTCCGTCCTCCTTCCTTCCTCCTTCCTCAGGTTCTGAATGACGGAGATCTGGTGATCCTAGCGCGGGAGAAGGTCCGCATCTGATGACGCATGGCACCCGGCAGCCGGCGGCACATGCGTCATGTGCCTGGCGTGAAAAAATGGTGGTGTTACGGTAATTGTTTGGGCCGTCTGGGCCTTGCATTGGTTGCTATACGGTAGCTAACGAGGCTCGCGGAACACACTAGGTTCTCGCTCTGAGGTGTTTCGGGCGTCACAACATACAGACGTGTGGGAGGATGCAGTCCGTAGGCCTCTTCAGGGTTTCGGTGAAACGCATTCTAGGGGTGAGAGAGAGCGAGAGATCCAGAGAACGAGTGGCGGGGATTGCGTGTGACCCGAGTGTACGGCGGCAATACACGCCGGGGTGGACACCAAGGGGTAGGCGAGGTAGGGCACCTTTCGTGTTTTGCAAAGCGAGACCTTCCGTATCTACGTGAATTGAACTGTTAAAAGGTTGAGTGCATCTTAGTTGTCTGCTTGTGGGCTGGAAAAGGATGGAGGATGAGGCGGCAGACGTGCATAGCCTTGATGTATCCTGATAAGGCATGCTAGCTGACCCGTGGTTCAGAAGCGCCCTCATCAGAGGTGTGATGGACGCTCGGCTGGGGGGGAATGTGGCGCCCTGGAGTACCCCATTGCAGGGTACCCGCTGTGCCCCCTGTAGCGGCAACAGCAGTTGGGGTGCAAGCGCGGGGTGAAGCAAAAGCCGTTAATCGCATGTCTTGGGGTACTGATGGTCACAGGAAGAGGGCACGCGAGGGGAGGGGGTGGTGTGAGGAATTGCGAGAGGGGTTTACTGTGGTGGATGGGTGATGTCAGCCTTATCATGGGGGGTCATGAGAGAAGAGACGAGGGAGATCGGCAGAGGTAATATGCAGCCGTGTGTGGGTGAGAGAGAGGGAGGAATGACTTTGCGAATATTGTACAGCGGGAAAGTGAGAGGGAAAGACTGCGAAGATGGAGTCCAATCCTCTAGAGTTTGGCAATCCTGACAGTACCATGTATCATATGTTTCTACTTTCTGGCGGCTATCGCAGCCAGCCTCAGCAGTTGCTGTTGCTATTGACTTGGTCGTTGTGTTGCAGTTGGGGACGAAGCACCGAGCCCGAAGATTGGTGTTGTTGCTGGAGATCGTGTGCAAAACCCCCAAAGGACCGTAGTGTTTGCCGTACAACACACCCGTACGGCTACTCGTTTATGATGTGGTGCCTTCGGGGGGGTGCGAGGTAAACTGGGACCTTGGCAACGCTGGCCAGCGGCTCTTGTGCCGTAGCTTCTTACGAGGGCGGCATGCACAGTGCGTTGTGATAGGGGGCGACCGCTTTGTTAACGTTTTTGGACCATCCCTGGCTACTTAAAAGGCTTAATCAGGAAGTGGGCTGCCATCCCTAAAATCTACCAACATGAAGACAACGGAGGGCGTATGCGTCTCTGTCGTGACCCTAGAGTTTCCCTACTGTAGCTGCGTACGGAACACTCAACGAGACACTCTGGAATTACGCGGAAGGCTACCGGTATTGCACGGCTTTGCATACGGTAGTACATGCGTGTAACGCCCCATGTTGTGCATCCTAGCATTACGGAATTCCGGTGGCTAACATTAGTCAAGCAGAAAGGCGGAAGTCCATCCTTAGTTAGCAGATGCAAGCCCATACGTGTCCTGATTAGGAACACACCGCTCCGCGATGGAGATCTTATCGTTGACTGTAATAAGTCCATAAAATTAACCAGCTCACAGCTATACCGTTTTTGCTATTAGTTGCGATTGCACGTTGCGCCTCGCACTCTTGTCGGCCGTACTTATCCGCCTAGGCTTGCACGGCTCTGACTCTCCCATACTCTTGTGTCTTTCTTTAAACTATTTCGTAGACAACGTAAGCGTATGATCGTAATAAGCCGGTGACCCACCTTCTAGGGTGCGATTTACAGAGGGAATTGCAAGTATTCGAATAGGGACTAGAGTCGACTAATTATATCTGTATATTTATAGCAAGGTGGGCGACAGACGTCGACAGAGGTGCTCCGAAGAGCTAGCCGAGTATCGGCAGCAGCCGTCAGGTCGCGTCTGATCTTCACAGCACGTTGCCGATCTATCATTTCATCACGCCGGTTGCTTTCAGTATAAGACAACATGGCGTCTGGTGATGAATTGAGCAAAGTGGTGGACATGATGAAGCAAATGCACCTCATGGGCAGCCAGCTTGGGTCCGAAACGAGACAGAGACTTAAGCAACTTGAGGCGAAAATGAAGGCAGAAGCCCAACAGTTTATGGCTGAAAATGCTAAGAAGATTATGATCAGGGTAAGTCCAAGTTACTTAACATGCTCGTTACACCCTTTCGAGTGCTTGCGGGTCCCGCTATGCACTCCCACGGCTAAGAACGCAGAGGTAGACGCGCCATATACCTCTATATATCGCTGTCCTAACCCTCAGGAGTCCCAGGGCCTTGACCTGCTCTTTCTCCTGGATGTCACTGTCAGCATGAAGCCCTACCGCGATGGCGTGGTGAACCAAATCGTGACGGTTGTGTCGCATTTGGAGGTACGACAGAGGCATGCAGCGCTGCACGGCTCATTGTCCACTGCTTCCCTGCTTTTGCCCTGGAATGTACTGTTGCTTAGATAGCCTTGTAGCCCGTGTTTCTACTCGACATACAGCACCCTGTTTACGTGCTTCTTCTTCTTCTTATTTTTCCTTGCAGGCCATGTACAAGTACAGCAAGGACAACATCCGTGTGGGAGTGGTGGGCTACCGAGACCTGCACCTCGAGCCGCGCTTTGAGCTGCTGCCCTTCACACCCGTGTCGGCCTGCAACGAGGGCTGCAACGTCATCAAGCAGTGGCTCAACAAGCTCAAGTTCACAACGGACAAAGCCAACGATTACCCGGAGGTATGTACGGCAGCGTGTACGGTAAAGCATGCAGGATTTGAGACCTGTGGCGTAGGGGCCCTTCAAGGAGAAGCCTTCAGGCGCAATGGCTAGCGACAGACCGCTTGTGGATGCGTTGTTTGCCTACCATTATACACGTCTTTACACCGCTGCAGGTGCATATGCACACACCTGCCTTCCTTCTAGCCTTTTGCCATGGCCAAGCGCAAGGGCAGTATCATACGAATGTCTCCCCGATATTCTACCCACCCACTTACTAGCGCCTGACCGCCCGACAGGATGTGCACGGCGGCCTGGAGAAAGCGGCCGCACCGGAGCTAGGCTGGAAGAGCGCCGCACGCACCATCGTACACATCGCAGACGCACCGGGGCACGGCAAACGCCTGACGGGGCCCAACGCCAGCTTCCGCGACGATTTCCCTAACCACGACGCCGACGGAAAGGAGCTCGTGAAGCTGCTGACGAGGTTGCGGCTGGAGACTAAGGTGCGGGCCGCGCGCAGTACCGTACTTGTAGTGATGTGTGATTGGCTAGAGATCCTCAGAAGTAGGTTGCCTGGCTAGAGCGACCCATCGGTCACGGTGCAGTGTGCGTGCGTCGCCTTCCCGCCCTATCTACCGCAGGTGCAAACCTACAAGTTCATCCACATCCTTGATCCCAAAAACGAAAAGACGTACACTCGGGTCATGCTCGAGGAATTCCGGCGGGCGTGCGGCGACCCCGCTTGGATTATTGAGTCCGATTGGCAGGGTGACGAGGAGATGGGGCTGGAGGTGAGCTGCTGTGGCAGGGCTGAATGGCTGCCTGGTACTAGTAATTTGCTATCTAGTCAGTCGGCAGGGCCCCCCCCGCCATAACCTTGCTGCCCCGCACTAGACACTCGGCTGCTGAGCCAGCCTTGAACGGCTCTAGCCCTGACGCCCTAGGCACTTTGCAGGTGATCGCGGCGGCTTCGGAGAGCATCCAAAACAGCGTCTCGCAGCGCACGGGGGCGCAACAGCCGGCCCCCGAGCGGGTCTACACCATCGACCCCTCTGAGCCAGACTGGGAGTCCCTGCCGGTGCGTGAGTCAGCGCCTGGGAGGCTTGCTTGGCTGCCAAGCGTTCCAGTAATGCTCCTCGATGTAGTGCTGGAATGCCTAATTAAGACCCAGCAAGCGAAACTGCCGGTTGTAAGCTCCTGAAGTGCGTGCGTTATCGGGTGTTGCATCCTCACCTCATCCGCGTCCCAACGTGTACCGCATGCAGGCCCAGCCCATCACCATTACCCGGCACGATACGCAGCTGCTGGGAAGCATTCAGACGCTGCTGCAGCTCATCGATAACGGCAACCACATTCGGATCAAGGAGGTCACAGAGGGAAACGTTGCGCGCGTCCGGATCGCCCTCAACCCCTTCGCCAAGGGAAAGAACCGCCTGGTGAGTGGGTGGGCGCCAAGCTAAGCCAACCGTGACCCATGGGTCATGGGTGCAATTCGGCCTATTTACCCACAAGGGCTTGTCCAATGCTAGCTTGCGCTGCAGGTTAGGGCAAGACGCCGCACGGCCAAGGCTTTTAGGTGATATATGCATGTGTGGCTTGCTCTCTTGGCCTTGGATCGTGCACATGACGCACTTCACGCTAACCCCGCTTGAGGTGATAGCTACAGTGCTTTACACTGACGCCTACGCCGTCCCCACATACATTTCTCCCGAAGGCCTACTACGGGCGCTACTATCCCAAGGGGCTGGGGGGCGGCGAGGTGCACGAGATGGTGCTCAAGGAGTTCATTTCCAGCGCCGGATCGGACAACTCGGCAGTCGTGTACAAGGCGCAGGTTCGTGCGTGCGTGCGTGGGTGGCGCGATACAGGCCGCTGGGACGTCTGGCAGCAGCCAGACGGCCCCGCATTAGGGCGGGACCGTTGTCTGCCGTGCGCAACTGTCCCAGCCCACTATACCCACCGTGTCATGCATTTAAACGTTCCCATGTTTGCACTGCGCATGTGCAACCTCTCCCAATCTTTCCTGATGGCATCCTTCCTAGCCCAGACCCTTACCTCGCTTTCTTCGACACTCCGTTTCCATCCTAGGCATACCTTCCCTGCCGTTCTCCCTCTCCCCCAGTTGGAGGCCCAGACCGTCGCCAGCTTCCTAGCGGAGCACTTCAACAAGCACGCAGCGCAGGCGGCACCCCAGCTCCGCGTGCCGCCCGTCAAGTACGCGCCCTGCGACCTGGCATGCGTCCCCACCGGGCCCAAGACCGTGCGCTTCCTGCTGATCGAGCCGCTGATTCTGGGCGGCATCTACAAGTACAACAACAACTACGGGTTCGTGGACTTGGCCGACATGCAGCCGTACCTGCAGGCCTTCAGCCACTGGACGTACGAGGTGACGGACAAGCGGCTCATGGTGGTGGACCTGCAGGTGAGGCAGGCTGGCTAGGGGGGGATGGGTTTTCTCTCTATCTACCCCTGCACTTGCCATCTACCCCTCCACTTGCCTTGCAGGGCTTCCGCACGCTGGCCGAGGAGGATGAGGTTGAGGTGGTGCTTGTGGACCCCGCCATCCACTGCGTCAACAAGGACTTCTTTCCATCCACAAACCTGGCGGCGGAGGGAGGGTTCGAGGTGGGTCCTTGGATGGCTGGGGGGTTTGTAAACCATGGAAATATGATAGATAGCACCGTGAAGCTGCTGCGATCCTAACCGACGTTGTCGGTGCGAGATGTGTGGATAGGAGGAAGCGCGGGCCGAAGGTTGGCAGGGGGCTACAGGAGGGACGAGGGTGGGTGGGGTTTGAGGGGGATGGGTGGATGTATGGTCACAACACGCCGTACATGCCCGCCTCCCCTAACCCTCTCGCACTACTCCTTGTGTGTGAGAGCAACATGCTACCCGCAATGCTCTCCCCTCCACCCTTCCCCCTCCACGCAGGCCTTCCTGCACTCCCATATGAACCCCAAGTTCAACGCGCACGGACCCATATGCACCACCCTGCTGCCCGGCTGCTGCGCCTACCGGTGAGGCGGCGGGCTGGGTGTGATGACTGCCCTGCCACATGCGCTTAACCTGGTTAACGGGGTTCGCTGCTGTCGGCATGATAATGGGAGGATTCGCAACGCTGGCAGGTTGGTAGCCACTGATGGCGAGTCTTCGATCGCACCCCACCCACACGCACACATGCAGGGAGCAGCAGCACGACCTCGCCAGGGCGCAAAGAGACAACAACAACAACAACAACAACAACAACAACCGCTCCTCCTCCGGCCTGTGGCAAGGCGGGCGCGGGGCTGCTGCTGGCGCCAACCGTGGTCGCGGAAAAGGCCGCGGCGGTGGGAACCAGAGCGACGCGGGCAACCGGCAGCAGGGTCGCGGTCGCGGCGTGAACGCCCTGCGGGAGGCCTGGCTGCAGCCGGCACCGCCATCAAGACCTGAAGACGATCCGGCGGGCTCGTTCAGCTCCATGTCTTCGACGTCCTCCATCCATGAGCGAATGAAGGCGATTAAGGAGGCCATGGACGTGCACGCCCTGTGCAGGAAGTGGCTGCGAGAGGATGGCATCCCGGTGCCTTCAAACCTGGCCGAGGCCATCAACCTGTGTCAGGCGTTCGGCAAAATCAAGCGCCAGGAGGTGGCTGACAAATTCCACGCGCGGCGTGTAGCGGCGAACAAGGCGAGGCACGTATGGTGAAGGCAGCAGGCGCTACGGTGACGTGGCCGTGTACTGCGCGCGGGTGGGGCGTTGTCGGTTTAGCGGCGTGGGAGGCAGGGCGTCCAGCAGGAAATGGCAGGTGTATGTATACACGAGCGTCGGCTTTCATTGACCAGGGCGTCCGGGCGTGAATTATTGGCGCGGGTGTGACAGGATTGCGGTATTGCGTACTGCAGGTGCACGTTGCTGAACTATTCATTGTTTTTACGGGGTGCCTCATCTGGCAATTACCCAGACCTGGCTGACGCGCATAATGAGGCCCTCTTAACGTGGAAACGACCCACGGGTCAGCAGCCGCCAAGGTTGGTGCAGAGTAATGTGTACAGACCGCTGTTTGCAGCCGCAGCCAGCGGCATGGCAGCAGCGTGCTTCCCCTTTGAAGTGAAGTAAGCGCTGTATGAGCGTGAGATGTGTGGCTGCTTGGTTGCTTCTTGTACTGTGTTTTAGAACCCGTTTTGCAGGTAAGTGATCCGTTGGGAAGAGCATGCTAACTTGCATCTCACCCTGTGGTCCGTTGAACCGCGGTTTCGGATAAGTTGTCACGCGTGGGTTTCGGTCGGCATTAGTAATTATTGCTTGACCTCGGGTTGCCTGTTGTATTTCTTTTGAGCCGGAATCCATCTGTGATAACAGCTGCTGCCGTAGGTAGGATGCTTTGTCTGCGTCCATATACCGGTACTCTGATCTGCCGTGACAGCTTCGATAATTGGTTTAGAGAACTACAGGTCGTAACTCGTAAGGATGGTAGGGGGTTGTTGTTATCCAGGCAGGCCTTCTTACCGTGCCGCAAGGTAGGATAGTAGGGTCAATCGTTAAATGCTGTGCATGATGGATGTTCAGCAATGGCGGAAGGTCATCCGCTAAGGAAGGTGGGCAGAATCACTAGGATTTAGGGGTCGATTTGCATTTCCCGCATTTTTCCTCTAAAGTGTTGGCGACTGCTGCGGTCCAACACCTAATGGTCCCCTTTGTAGGGAACCACTGCAACGGCCATTCATTCACCTGCTGAGCGGACATCCGCCTTCTACCTCTGATTGCAACGGGGCAGTTGAATGTTGCTGCATGGGGTAGGATGGGCCTTTGTGCTACTACAGCCTGCCTTGCCAGCTGAATGGGATGGCGTTTAACTACCGTGGCAAACTGGGACGTGCCGGGCCCTCCGCCCCCAGACCATAATTCCCAAGGCAGCTCATTCTTTCTGCTCGTTCATGTACGGAGTGGTACATGTACGGAGCTGTCACGGTGCCTTCAGGTACGGCAGCTATCAGCTGTGCACGGCTTGCCGATTAACAAGGTTGCATGTGTTTCAACGTCGTTGCATTCATGTCCACTACCATTGCAAGTATGATGCCTTGCAACCCCGAGCAAAACTGATGTTGCCTGCAGGTGCCGCTTACCGACATCTGCGTTCCCCCCCGAACTTAGTAGCTTGTGCTTCTTCTGAAGGTGGATCGTGAATTTTGCTTTCCATAGAGGGGTCCGATAATCCAACCCGGCTGCACCGCCTACGTCCCCTACCCGACACTGCAACAATCCACTCTCGAGCCAGGAGCGTGCTCTTCTTGAACAACAGCAACTGGCAGCCAGGTAACAGGTAACTGAACCTGGGCGGGAAGCCCCAACAACAGCAGCCAGGCCGCCAGGTGTATACCCTTGTCGCTGAGCCTCGGCGGGTTGCTCTCTCCGCTGCCTCCCCCAACTCCGTCCTATTTCCTCGCGCCACTACTTCATCACCCCTTACCTCCCACATCCCATCTCACCTCTTCCCCCCGAACGGCGACAGCCTCTTCAGCCAGCCCAGCCCACCCCCCGGCAGCAGCCCCCGCAGCACCTGCCCCACCCCCGCGCTGTGCGGAAGCAGCTCACCCAAACTCACACGCGCCAGCTGCTCGGCACTCGCCGTACACCTGCCGTAGACCGCCTCGTACGACTGCGCCACGTGCTGCTCGATCAGCGCCCGGGCCATGCTGCGCGCGCGGGGGCAGGTCAGCACGTGCAGCGCGTCGGGGTCGTCGTACAGCGCTGAGATCTGGTCGTACGACACCTGAAGCAGATCCGCCTCGTCCGCATGGTTGCTGCTGCTGCTGGTGTGGTTGTCATCGCCGTCCTGCGGTGCCTCGCCTTTTTGCATCGCCAGCATCTGTCGCTGCACGCTGTGCGCCTGCTGCTGCTGCGCCACCCACTCCTCGAACGCCGCCACGCCCCGCCTGCGCGCCCAGCCCCTGGCCGCCATCCCCCACTCGCTCACTAGCAGGCTTTCCCGCAGCGCGCGAACACTCTCCAGGTAGCCCGACTGCGCCACCTCCGTGAGGGCAGACTGGATGCGGTTCACCTCGAACAGACGCGAGCGGCCCTCGGAGGGGGGGCCGCCGCCGGAGAGCAGATCTGGGGGCGGAGAGAGGGAGAGGGAGGGAGGGAGGGAGGGAGGCACACGGGTGGGGCCTGGGCTCTTCGGAGGGAGGGAGGGAGAGGAGGGGCGTAAGCTCTGGGCAATGTTCCTCTGCGGCTGAGGGGCAGCTGCCCCCTCAGGGTCCTACGGGCCTGCAGCCCTGTGGGGTGGCCCCCCAGCTCTCATGAGCCTCATGCCAACGGAAATGACCCCGGGCGTCCCCATACCCGCCCACCCACCCACCTGTCGCCGCCTGCTCCCCCTTGCGTGGCGCCGCCACAGCCACAGTCCCAGCCACCACCGCCCCTCCGCCACCCGCTGCTGTTCCCGCCACCGGTTGCTGCTGCTGCTGCTCCTGGGGCTTACCGCTCTCCTCCTTCCCGCCCTTACCCTCCTCCGCTACCGCTGCCACCACCTTCTCCACCACCCCCACAGGCCCCACCACCCCCGCCCCTGTCAGCCCACCCCCCGCCCCCCCCGCCGCCGCCCTCAGCTCCCGCACCAGCTCCCTGCTCTGCCGCTCCAGCGCCCCCAGCCGCTCCTCCATCAGTCGGTAGCGCGCCACCACCTCCGCCAGCTGCCCCTCGGGGGGCGAGCCGCCGCTCAGCAGCACCGGGGTGGCGGGGGCGGAGGACAGCAGCGAGGGGCCGTGCAGCGAGGTGGGGGACAGCGGGGAGGAGGAGGAGGAGGAGGAGGGCACATCAGGGCTGCCTGTATCCCCCTCCTCCTCCGCTTCGGCTGCTCCATGCTGCTGCTCCTGAGACCCGGTAGTGAGGGTCGCGGAGGTGCGGTCATGGGAGCCGACCCGTGGGTCCGTCCCTACCCCGCCGGCGCCGTTGTGCGCTTTGGAGGCCGCGGTGGAGGCAGTAGTAGCCGGCTGCTGCCCTCCCTCCAGCTCCGCATGCGCCACCTGTTGCCCCCCCAAGTGGGGCTGCTGCTGCTGCTTGGGATCTCCCCTCAGCAGCCCCCTGAGGGCAGCGCCGGGGCCCCATAACGGCTCGTCAAACTGGGTACCCCCTTCCGCACACTGCTGCTGTTGTTGCTGTTGTTGCTGCTTTTGCCGTACAGCCTCGGGCCCCTCGCCCTTGCCCTCCCTGCCTTCCTCGCTGCCGCCCCACCGGAATCGCGCCACAACTCGCATCCTGGCTGCTGCGGGGGCCCGCGGCCACCGCTGACGTTGGTGGGTCTGGTGGGTCTGGTGGGGCTGGTCGCTGAACTGCTGCATGCCGTACTGCGGGTTGCCGTACGATGGGCGGCAGGTTCGGGACTGCAGCAGCAGACATCTCGCCTCCGAGGGAGATGCGGAGCTCGGAGCCAGCCGGGTGGAAGCAGATGTGAAGCAGGCAAGAGCAGAAGCATTGCTAGGGTGTCTAAGAGGGGAAGAAGCCATTGCCGTGATTCTTGGGCTTGGGGGCCGGCAGTGTTTGGGTCGTTTGGTCGTTTGGGGATGCTATAGGGGGGTGCTGTAAAGCCTGAAAGGGAGACCGCGAACTTAAAGAGCAAACATCGGCTTGCGGAACACGAGATGCGATGCCGGGGCTGCTGGTGTTGCTGTGGTGGGAAGGGAAAGGCGGTGGTCGCATGAAGTGCGGCATGGGGCCTTAGGACGCGTGCGACTGGGGCTTGGTGTGGTAGGTGCTCGCGGGCTACTTTTTTCTTTCAACTTTACTTAGAAATTAAGACAATAGTAGGAAAAGGGGACTGCCGGTTGCGTAGAAAGGGACAAGTGTAAATGCCAGCGTTGAATCGATGGATCTGCTGACGTAAGGCAAAGGGAGTACAACTTCGTTGGATGCATGTGCGCTACGGCTATTCTTCCTTATGCCAGGCTACAAAGTTAGGATCCTCTCATACACCAGGAAAGCAAATAATTTATTACATGGATCAACCGCTCGGCTGAGCGGCGGAGAGCTCGTGCGTGCACACAGGAGGAGCGCACGGTTGTTTTGATGTACGTACTAGCAGTTCGCTTCTAACAGTGCTTATTATGAGCACGCCGTGGGATATTAAACGCCCAGGTCCCTATTTATGAGGATGTCGCGCACCTACAAGCAAACGGATCTCCTTCTTCTTCCGGTCTTGCTTCACCCGCACATGTAAACGCTCAGTGTGTTGCGCCAGGACACATCATTTCAACTGCACGCTCGACCTACACTGCGCGCTCCACGGTCCTCACATGCCACATTACTGCGGCCAAGAAACGGTACGAATGCTCTAGGGATACAATCAAAACAGGCAGCAACCATACGTTCGTCGATGCATACAAACATGCATGCATGCAAATCATGGGTCCAACAATAATGGTAGGGCAGATCACTATCCGGATCAGCCCACAGCATACATGCAGGACACCTCCAACTCAGCGGCGGCTCCCTTGCGACCTAAGCAATGGACAGCGTTATTCACACTTTACCGGCCCCACAACTTTGCTTATAACGGTCCATGGCTGGACACTGCAAACGCCCCTGCGCGTATCAGCCAACAAGAGTGAAGAGTACCCTTCCCTTGCACCTGTGCTTCCTTAGCAGTCCCGCTGGTACGCTGCTGAAACGCATGTAGGCGCCGGGTACAGCGGATTACTGTTCGGCGCTCCCACGGTCACTACTACAGTGCTGCAGTACCAGCTAGATGTGTACATGTACGACGCCCACTGCTTGACCTGGTAGCTTAGGTAGAATTGCAGGTTGGCTGCTTCGGAGTAGGAAGCGAAGGTGCCACAGAACGTCGTCGAATTCTGGCCACATGCAGTGGGCACAAACTTGGTGCCCGTGACGAAAGAGCCGATGTCAGCGTTTATGCTGCCCGCGACGGAATTGCATACGGAGCCGGTAATGTACTGGCTGTATCCGCTGTAATAAGTCACCGTGTAGTATATGCATACCGCGCAGGAGGAGGGGGTAGGAGAAGGAGAAGGACGAGCAGGAGGAACAGAAGACGTTGGAGGAGGGGGTGGCGGCGGGGGCGGGGAAGTCGGCCGCAACGAGGTAGGAGGTGGTGGTAGCGCCCCTGCCACTGCTGTCATGCCGCCGCTGCTCCCTCTGTTCACCAGTGACACAGGGCAGCAAGCGTTTTGGAAATCCAACAACGCCACGGAACACACCCCCACTGCCATGTCCCCCGGTGCCGTACAGAGCTGTTCCAGACTGGTGCACCCCAGGCCCTGACGGTTGGGTTTGAGGAAGAGGCAGACCTCGGCGCCCTCGCTGGCGCGGTTGAGGCCCAGGCCGCTGAGGCGCAGCAGGGTGCTGTCTGGGGGGCCCTGGGCGGGGGAGGTGAAGGCGGGGGTGACGCGGGTCGGCACGCCGTTGACGGTGGCGCGCACGTCAACGCCAGGGACGTTGCAGGCGCTGTACACGTCGAACTGTGGCAGGGGTGTGTGAAGGGGAGGGAGGGGGAAGGGTAGCGTGATGAACCTGACGATGATTGGATAATGGATAGTGATGCTTGTCGTGATCTGGTCTTCATGTGTGATGCATTTGTGATGCTGTCACCATGCAAGGCCAAGGGTGGATAGTAAGGGGCGGCTGCATTCGACGTGTCCTCGCGGGGAGCGAACCTGCCATCCGTCTTTGGCTTCCAAATCAGGTCCCCCCGAGCCGTAGACGCGTGGATAGGCCTTCCCCCTACCGTCCATGCATCCATCCTCATACACGTGCCCAACTGCCAGACATGCCTCCAAACCCTTATTTAAGGCAACCCCGCCACCCGTACATCTCAGGCCGTCCCACGCATGTACGTCCCCCTCACGTACCTCTATCGTCTGCAGGTCCGCCTCAGCACAGCAGTAGCCGCTGCATCCACTGCCGCCACCACCAGCAGCAGCAGCGGCTGTGGAGCCAACCGCTCCGCTGGTGTTCAGTCGGAAGCAGTACTGTCCCGGACCCAGCATGCGTACGGCAGGAGCCAGGCTGTACGGCGAAGGGCCCGCGGAGCACTGCTGGTACGGGAAGCCCGGCAGCTCTTGGGGCTGCGCCGCGTGGCCCTTGTGCCTGAAGCGGGTGACCCTGGAAGCAAGGGAGGTAAAGAGGGTGAGAGATAGTGGTGTTACAATTTAGCTCATGCCGTCAGGGAAACAAGCGAGGGCTGCGATGTGGGGTGTGCTACTGGCAAGGTGGGTCTGCAGGGCATCTCTTGCATATAGACTAAGGCAACATGGCCCCACACACGCCTTTTTGTTACCCCATCCTTCCCTCCCAACGCACGGATAGCTATTGCACGGACAGCTATTCCTTGACCCCTTGTAGTCAAACCAACAAACGCAGTAAAGCACACACATTCACCCCCACACCAGCATCTCCGCCCAGCCCCATGTTGTACGTGTTGTGCTAGCGCCGCTACTCACAGCACGCCTGCCAGCACCCCGCCCGCTGCCGCCAGCCAGAAGGCTGCCAGCGCCGCGAAGATGATGATGACGCAGCGCTTGCTGATGATGGATCTAGGGGCTGGGGAGGCATCCGGTTTCATAGCGACGCCTGATGCCACTGCCGCTGCTGTTGGCGACACCCTGTTCGCAGGGAGGCAGGGGTAAATAAACGTGGATAGGCAATGGTGGGCAGGGAGACGAGAATAAAGATGAGACGTAAGCACTGTATGCGTTGGACGTTATTGGTTGGACTACTTGGGTGTTATGGACGTGGTTGATGAGTTGCACATGCGTATGGCGCCATACGTGTGTCCTCAACACAGCAGAAGGCAGTCAGTCCAGGTAGCGCAAAGTATGGTACGAATTAGCTGCTGCCCCCGTCACAGCAACATACCGGTACCCAATCTTACGAATTGTACACCAACCCAGCCAACCAAACCCTTATCCGCCGCCAACGACCCACTTGTTGGCTCCACCACGCCAGGCTGTAGCACCAGCAGGCTCCACCACCACCTCCTCCACCTCCATCGCTCCCAACAGCGCCGCTGCTGCTGCTGCTGGCGGCGGCGGTGTTGCTTCTGCCGGCGTAGGCGCTTCTGGATTGCTGGTTCCGGGTGCCGCCGCCTCCTCATTGTGGTGTATTGCTGCGAAACCGTAGATTGCTGGGTTCATGGTGTGGCTAGCGGTTGGGTGCGGTTGGGGAAGTGGCGGTGCGGATGCGGCTGGCGGCTGGTCTCCTGAAGCTGACGAGGAGCGGGAGGATGCAGTGGGCGGCAACCAGGAGGCTGGAAGCTTGAAATGCAGCATAGCATGCGAGGCTGGGTGTTAACTGGACTGGCCGTGGAGATGTGTGATGGGTAGCAGGTGTAGGAGCGGTGCTGCTAGCTGGTGTCTGGACCACTGGCGCAGGTAGGGATACTGGGGAAGTGGCTGCCTGTTGTGGGACGTGCAGGAGACCAGGTGACTGTATGTACGGCATACGGCAGCAAGAAGCAGCAAGGAGGTAAGGAGGGGCTGCTATAGGAAAGGAAGTAAAAACTTGGGTTGCGTGTATGGTACAGCCTGCAGGCACGGCCATCTACTCAAGGTGCACAAGCGAATGAGGGTGCGACCAGATCCGGCGTAAACTGGATGATGAGTGCCATGTAGTTATCCTGCTTAGTTATGATTAACACATTATGCGGCGAACATCGTGCAGCAGCCATGTAACCATGCAAGCAAGGGTCGTCACCGACCTTGCCTAAGATAGACCCAAATGACATTCCGAGAAACCTACAACGATTATGTGGATTCGCGTAATGCTGGTCGTTGTTGGAAGGAAAGCGAACGCGTTGGCGGCGAGTCTGTCCTATCCAGGCGACTTGAAGCCCAGGCTTGAGTTGCTATTCCTCGGGTGCCACGTACACCAGCAGTAAATGTTGATTAAATTCACGGCGAGATCCCTTAGCGAGATACACAGTGTCGTCCTAGTAGTCGTGCCGCCATGCCGGCATGAGTACCATAAGACCGATTTATAAGGGCAGAGGACCTGGCTTTTAGGCGCATATATATTATGTAAAGCAGCACTTGATAAATAATGAATGCGCATTATGCTTTTCCTCGGTACAGTACCGGTAAGGTACGGAAACCATAGCCCATACATGCCTTAACCTTTGCTATGCGGTCTTACACAGAACACAGTAGGAGTTTATTACATGATTGACTATTGCAATCAAGTTACGGCTTGCGCCAGATGGCAACTTGGAACATGCCGGTGTCCCGTTCACACTCAACTGATATCGGGCGGCCGAAGCGCCCATCGATACATGAAAGGGAGCGGACGACATGCGCACGAGTGACCATACCGCTAGGACCGTGCAGGTAGTGTGAGCAACCCAGTAGGCAGCAACGCCATCGGACCGCATCCTCAAATACGTCAGCAACTTACCTCACAACTTACAACCATACCGCTGCTTCTGCCACTCCCATGCAACAACTCTCCCTACCTCCCATGATTCCAGATGACGCTGCAAACGTAGCTTTTGCCCCCAGGTCCCTCAGCCGCCGGCAATCTAAGTGGAACCTTTCAGCATGCCGCTTACCCACACAACTACTTTACACTAATCCTCAGTACAAGCCCCACACATCAGCCTCGTCCCCTCACCCCGCCCGAGCCTCACCTAGATACCTATTGCCGACTCCCCACCCTCCTCATCGCCCCAGCCCCAAAGCTCTCTTCCAGCCACAGTACGACATCCACGTGACCGTTGAACCAGGCGACCCTGTAGCAGTGGCACGGCATCCAGCTTGCCCCCATCTCCCATGAATCCACCATGCACGCTCAATACTGTACGAGTTCCAGCCATGACATTGTCGTCTTCTACCAAATTGATTCTCCGCAATACCATTTGAACCTACTTCCATGAGATGCCACACACATGCGCACTCCTACCATCAATCCTCTACCCACTCATAATCACCCTCTTACAACTAAGCGACCTAAATCGCAGTTATACAAGGTGATGCCCTCCCCCCTTATCCCCCTTATATGAATGCCATTACGCTCCCTAACCTCCCTGTACTGCAGCAGCTAGCTACCCTGCAAGACTATGTGCGCCTCGGTCTGCTGGTCCGCTGAGCAGTCTCATGCTCCAGCTCCGGACGCTTATCTCCTGCTTTCTGCCTCACGCCGCTCGCAGAAGGCTTGGCGGGCGGCCGAGCTGTGTTCTGCTTGCCATGGACAGGAAGCTGCCGCCCCTCCTCGTTTCCTGTAAACACAGCAGGGTAGGCATGGAGTTACACGTTCTGTCACATGCTTGTTATGATATCGGAAAGAAAGTTTCATTAGTCAGGGTCCTAAGGCCACTTCGGGACCCTTGGGTGGTGACATGTCTCAACCCCTTCATGCACCACGCACCTTTGTCCGCCGCTGAACCACCAGGGCTACTCCCAGTCATGCTGCCGTCCACCGCGGCGCCCGCCAGTCCATCATGCTGGCTGCCTGCCCCCTTGCGTGTCGTGGTCTTCACTGTAGTGGGTAAAGGGCGGGCCCGGTCTGATAGTTTCCTCATTACTAGCAAGCTTCGCACATAGGAGGACGAGAAAGCAGACTGTAGGCACAGTTCCTACCTAGCAGAGCAAAAGTTCCTACCGCCCACTCACCTGACATGCCGGCTGTTTGCTGCTGGCTCCACTGGGCGCTCAGGACACTGCGGCGGCGAGCCGCAGCCTGCTGCTGCTCAGAGTGCAGGCGCTCCGAGGCCAAGTCCGGGAGCGCCTTGGTGTTCTTCACGACGGCGTCTTTGTCAACCGCCGGGTCCTCGACCGGGTGGGGCACCTTGAAGGGCTGCATGTTAGCCTTCCGTTGAGCTACAGCTGTGGGGATGCACGGGAAGCGGTAGCAGGGGTCGTACATCAGTTACTATGAGCATATACAGGCAAACATGCTATACCATGGTGTAGATAGAATGCACACCATGCGCGCACCATCGTAGGCCTCCACCACCACCACCCACAGCGGCACACACACACTTCCCAACCCCAGACCCTGTTCCAAGTTTTGCCTACCTCCCTGGTAGTTCTGCATTGCGTTTTTGATGAGCTCCATGCAGCGGCGTTCTACAGCGTCACAGATTTTCTGGTCCCCGCTCCGGTAAAGCTGCTTGGCCTCTGCACCTCCGACACGCTCCACCAGGTTGTAGGTCCAAGTCTTGACGTAGCGGACCACGTCAATGCTACCCGCCTTTTCGGTCTGAACCTTGCCGCTCTTCACGCTGTTCACATCCGCCCACTGGTAGCCTGCGGAGGCAAGCCTTTGAGGGTACACATGCATGCGGGAAGGGTTGTCGGGGTTGGCTACAGCTAGCAGGAAAAAGGCAGCGAACAACCTAGCTGCAAGTAGACAAGCATGCAGCTAAACCACAAGGGCCCGCTGTCCACAAAATGCAGCCCCCCCCCCTCCTATACAGCAGCAGCCTAGTTGCAATTACCACCCTTACTTACACCAGGGCAAACGCCTTGTTGAGGCTCGACGCATCGCCGTGCTTCTTGATGCTTCCGAACAGGAGAGTGAGCGGCCCCGTGATACAGCCAGGTACATCCGACGCAGCAGGCTTGCCAGCCTCCTTCCGCTCCTTTTTCGCAGGCCTGCACAATGCAAGACACCGTGATAAGTCAATGGCTTGTTAACATCCAAGCAAGTAGTAATCCAGTTGTTCTGAAAGGCGAGTCAATCGGCAGCGGTCAATGTGAAAACCAAAAGAGGATTGTTACTCTTTACCTTTCCGAGTCTCTCAGCACCATTGTCTGCAAGTGCTGGACAAACCTAGCAACGCTCAGAGTGAAGGAGTCGGCCCGCTTGCCCAGGCATTTCGACACGAGGCCCTCGTGACGAGGGCACGCGCGTTCGCCGCTGATTCGTCCAGAATGACTCCGCGCAGAAGGTCGCAGAAGCCCCCAAACGTCATAATTTGTTGTTGCAGCACGTCTTCGACCTCGTTCTCCAACTCCATTCCAAGGGCATCTAATGCTTCCCTGGGCGCGTTGCCCATTCCGGTGTCAAACGAATCACGGTAGCCACCTGGGCAGTTTTTGGCAGGCCCAGGGTACATAGTATCGCTTTTCCGGTGACGGCCAGTAGGCGCTTCTTGCCGGTCAAACCTCTCCATGTACCGTCCATGGTCGTGATGCTGTGTGTGCCCCTCACTTGCTATGGACGCCTGCAGGTTGCTGCTAGAGTTTTTGGCTCTGCAGTGCCTGGCGGGTACCATATCCATGAGACAGGTTTGTACTAGGGGAGGCAACCCGGGCAGCTCCTGAGCGCCGAGGCGAGGGTGATGTTGCTGTTCAGCGGCTGCCTGGCGAAAGGGGAAGCGACACCGATGGAGGCTGCTGGAGAGCCAGCAAAGAGCGATTCCGATAGCTCTACATTTGCGACGGGCCGCGAATCATCAGAAGCTAAGGACAGTAGGACACCGACATGAAGGCACAAACGGTAAGCAGTACTAGGGTGGTCTTGTTTTGGAGAAAGGAGGCTCAACGCAACCTAGACATGTGCTTGAAGCATGAGTTCGCGGTGAGCAACAGAATTGTGGCTTTTTATTTTCAGTGTCTCGGCCTTTCCTATCTCTGGAAAGTCTGGGACCGAGAGCGCGTGACACAAAAAGATAAAGTACTTTCTTTTACCAATGTGAACACCGTGGCGAAAATTTATATCATTTTCTACCTCTCTCCATTTTGAATATCCGGTCGCATGCTGCGCGACGGTTACAAGGGCATTGGAGCATCTGTGGCATACATTGGCGTATAAGCTTTGCACGTTTTAGCCCCTTTTGAATATAGTTTACAAGTGCACATGAAAAGCGAGTGTCTTCGAGTCATATGACGGCTGGCGGTCGGTCTGCTCGTGCTGGGCGTAATAGGATCAGGTACCTAGGCTACTAAACACAGGATATAGTAAGTTATTTTCGGCGCAAAGGTGCAGGAAGTCTGAGGGCACTGAGGCAGCTAAATTGGCTCCAGGGTACACGCCTGTTTTGAATCCATGGCGGTCCAGCCCGTAGCGAGGCCGTTTTCAACCGAATCGGCTGAAATATGTTGTCTCAACTTAAATACTTATATACAAGGAAATTAACTCAAGACGCAGCTTTACTTGTTTTGGACACCTCTTGCGGTTTAAATAGGGACAAAATGCAAGAGCTCACAGAGGCGTGGCAGCCATATGCATCTGTAGCTGAGCAGCAAGCCGAGCAGCTTCTACCCGATATTTGCATCCCGGGCGTCCTGGATTGTATCGCCGGTTTCCTGAGCCCGAATGACCTCGTGTTTGGGCTTCGTCTCATCATCAAAGCAGCTGCAGCTCAGTTTAGCCACTGCAAAGTCGTCAAGCTTTCGCTGCCATCACCACATGCGGTGTTCATCGCGCGCTGGTGCTCGCCCGGAGCCATGCGCTCGCTGACCCTTGAGCAGCGCCGCAAGTTCCTGTGCCTTACCGCTGCCAGCGGCAGCCTGGACAACCTGCGTGCCGCTATCGCCGCAGCTGGGATCATGACCTACGATGAGGTATCAGAGGCCGCCGCGGCAGCAGGCCAGCTGCACATATGCCTCTGGCTGCAGCAGGAGGGCTGGCTCGTGGGTGACCCAATGGCCGCAGCAGCCGGCCGAGGCCACAGGGAAGTGTGTGAGTGGCTCCTGGCGGCAGGGTACGAGGCTACCTATTCTGCCGCCGGTGCTGCGGCCAGGGGCGGTCATGCGGAGCTCATGGCGTGGCTGCTAGGGCTGGCGCGACCGCTGCCGTACACGGAGGAGTCGAACCCGGAGGATGCCCGATGGGAGGTAGACTGCGAGGCGGTGTGGGGTTGCGACCTGGAGACTCTGACGCGGCTGTTCCCCAACGGGATGCCTTCGTTGCCTGAGCGTGAGGGCACATGGTCTTTGGAGGATCTCATGGGCACCCGCCTGGTAAAGGCCGCAGCGAGCCCCACGCCCGACTGGCAGGCCAAGGCGGAGTGGGTGGAGTCGCAGGGCGTCTGCAAGGAAGACGCCTCGGCAAGTTACGAAGTCGTACGCCACCCATATGCGTTGGAGCGCCTGACCTGGCTGCGGCAAAACGGCTATGCCATCGATACCCTGGCGCTGCGCTATGCAACCAAGGCGGGTAATGCAGCTGCCGTGGAGTACCTGCTGGGGGAGCTCGGGGTACAGCGGGTCTGGTTTCAGCATGGCGTGAATGCTGCTGCTAACAGGGGCCACCTGGCCGTGCTGGAGCTGTTAAGCGACCGCGCGGGGATACCCCTGGTTAATGCTCCAGGAATCGAAGGTTCTGACGTTGTACTCAGCGCTGCCAGGGGCGGGCACCTGGCGGTGGTGGCCTGGCTTGTAGAGCGGTTCGGCCCCCGGGCCGTGCCCCTCAGCGCCAAGCTGTTCCGAGAGGCGGCCTATTCGGGCAACATTGAGCTGCTGGTGTGGCTCCGGGAGCGGGGCTGTGAATGGGACGGCACGGCTTATGTGGGTGCGGCGGAGGGCGGCTGCGGGCAGGTTCTGGAGTGGCTAAAGGCGGGCGGCTGTCCCATGCCGGTAGGTGATGGGCCGCAGGACAGTAGTTGCTGGTGGAATGGGGGGGGTGCATAGCTGATCATTAAAGGACATGGGTTGCAACCACCAAGCACCAGAGGGAACACGTGTTAAGCCTAACTAGGCGCTCTGTTACTAAGTATGCAGCATACAGCTGCATGACGAGAAGAAAGCCAAGTGTATTAAGATCACTGTTTTCTAGGCTTGCTATCCCTGTAACCCTACATCCATCAAATTCCTCAATACCTACAATCTCTTTTCCTGACAGGTGGACGGGTCCCCCTACGAGGCGGCCGCCAGCCACGACGACCATGCCACCCTGACCTGGCTGCTGGAGGCGGGGCTGCCCGCGGACTGGGAGCAGGTGGTCAACAGAGTGAGCAGAAGGTTTGCGGACCTACACAAGCTCTGGAAGATACGCCAGGCCTCACAGACATTGTCCTGGCTGCTGGACAAGCACGTCGAACAGCTGCGGGAGGAGTGCATCCGTGGGAAGGGCAAGCAGTGATAGGCAGAGCGGCAAAGGTGAGTCCTGGGTTTATAACACCGGTGTGTAGAGCGGACGGAAACGGCACATGCGCATGGTGCCGCCATTGCGCAGTTTAGATGGCCGTAGCAGTAGGCATACAGAGTGCAGCATACCCGTGGGGTTGTGTGTGCTTAACCTACAGCATCAGCGCATGCTTGACCATTGGCTGTGAGATGGTCGTAGTTGTCGGCTGCCACCTTTTCATCTTCACATTCCTTGTAGGAACGGACGCCTCACCAATCGCACCCCTGTAAACCCCTGCAGGGCTCTAGAAGGGGTACTTCAAGACGTTGCCCTCCAGGGAACAGCGTACCAGCAGCGGGACCTGCTGCTGCATTTGCCGTGACAAGACTATTGCAGGATGGACGAAATCGGGATGGACGAAAGCTCTTGGATTAGCCTATGGCCTTCCGGCTGACTTCCCTGTCATAGCCACTTACAAGGAGTGATGTCGAGGTGGGGAAGCAAGGGACAAGGAGAGTGGGGAAGGTCCAGACGAGGGAGGAAGGGAGGGAGGCCGAAGCAGGTGGTTTGGGCAAATGTTTGCATGGACTGATGTCAACAAGTTGCATGGTCCTGTCTGTCGGCTTGGCAACACTGTGGTTGCAAGGTGTATCCTGTTGTGGAGAATGCTGCGATAGCAAAGAGCAGCGTCCTGCTAAGTTTTTTGTTTGCTTTGGTCTCTTTGTGTCGTGCACTGACCTACCGCAAACCAGCTGACCCGTGGGTCACTTGTTGGAAATATGGGAGATAAGGCACGCGTTGCCGTCAACCCCTCGTCGGTACGCGTTGTGTATGGGCTGCGAGGCGCCAGCTCACAGGAGTCGTGTCCCTTGGGACTCGTTTTAAAGGCCCCATGATTTTAGTGGCACCAGGTTTGTCGTCCTGAACCAGTAACGAAGCCCATATCCACACGCATCAACAAAGTTGGAAAGGAGTCCATCAGCATGCAGCTACAAGCGTCTGACGTAACTTGCTGAGATCGTTTGGCCGGACCGAATCAGGAATAGTACGTGTTGCGAACTCGAAGCGAGAAAAGATCCGCATCACCACTGCTCGGGTTAGAAGCACCAGACGCCTGGCGGGCACCAACACCATCACCGCCGCCAGCTGCAGCCAGCGAGTGCCCCTGCCAACAGCAAATGCATATGCAGCAGACTTTAACCCCTAACCTACGCCCGTTCCTGCATGGGCAAACGTACAACCAGACCAGATCTTGTGCTGCCTCGGGCTGAACAGTTGGTGTGCTTGTAGCTTCCATAGTGTGTTCGCATTTGTCACTTGCACGTCCGTTGGCTCCTGCGACAAACCGCAGTCTGGTTGCCCCCTACACAACCTTCATCACCTCAATTCACCAGTGTGGAAAGAGGCGTGCTTAAGGCGGCGCCTGCATGCTTGGTGTATCTGTACGTGTCATCATCCATGTCCGCACCTGCACAGCACATGCACAACCTATGATGGTGCTCTGCCGCGGGTTTCTCGAATGCTGCCCTCTCTCCGTCGCCTCAACCCAAGATGCTGCCATGGCACCAGGAGCAACAGCCGTGGTTACGGTGGTGGTAGGTGTGTCCATCCTGCAGCGGCAGCAGGTGTCAAAATGTCCACTGCGCTTTACAGCAACTGTGCCTTCCCATTCGCCTGCAGGCTCGTGGAGCTCGTGCCGGCGGCTTTGCTGCTAGTTAGGCGGAGTAGGGGTGTGAGGGGTGGTGAGGGGCCTGTGTGATGAGGCGTGATGGGGTTTCAGCTACATGTGAGGCTTGCAAGGTTGCAAGGGGTATAGGGGATGCCCAACAGGTCCATGTTGGACACCCGCGCGCTGGATCTCTTTGCACTCCTCAAGAAGCTTTGGTGCAAGTTGTACGGCAAGGGAAGGCAAAGAAGGTTGTTGGATATATGAAGGGGGATTGCATGCAAGGGGCTGCTCCAAATGGAAAAGCTGTACCAGCGCTACCCTTAGTTGACAACGCGCCCTCGCATGCAACGCGGCGGTTGTAGGGGCTTGGAATTGTGAAATATTTACCGGCATTTGAGCTTTTCGACTTCAGTTTCGGTGAACAAGGAAAGCCCATGAGCCGAGCCAATCAGCCTCCTCGCGCTGGACGTAAAGCAAAGATCGGGTATGTAGCTACTTCATAAAGATCCTCTCTGGTTGCAAGCGGCGAAGAAGTGCTAGGAGGCTGAAGCTGGTCAGTAGGCTCCAGGGTTTGCGCAAACGGATCCAATGCCGGACCAGCCCGTAGTAGCGGTCGTTGTCAGCCAAATCGGTTGAAGTACCTTTTCGTCTCCTATACCGCTCTTACACAAGTATTAAACAACTTTGAAGACACGGCTTCACCCGTTTTGGTTATCTCCAAGAGATCAGAGTGGACAAAATGCAGGCGATCATACAGACGGGAAGACAATGTGTTCCTGCAGCTGAGAAACAAAGTAAGCAGCTTCTACCCGATATTTGCGTCCCGGGCGTTCTGGACTGTATCGCCGGTTTCCTGAGCCCGAATGACATTGCGCTCGGGCTTCGTCTCATCAACAAAGCCGCTGCAGCCCAGTTTAGCCACTACACAGTCGTTAAGCTCTCGCTGCCCTCACCACATGCGGTGTTCGTCGCGCGCTGGTGCTCGCCCGGAGCCATGCGCTCGCTGACCCTTGAGAGGCGCCGCAAGTTCCTGTGCCTTACCGCTGTGAGCGGCAGCCTGGACAACCTGCGTGCAGCCATTTCCGCAGCTGGGATCATGCCCTACGATGAGATATCAGAGGCCGCCGCGGCAGCAGGCCAGCTGCACATATGCCTCTGGCTGCAGGAGCAGGGCTGGCTCGTGGGTGACCCAATGGCCGCAGCAGCCGGCCGAGGCCACAGGGAAGTGTGTGAGGGGCTCCTGGCGGCAGGGTACAAAGCTACCTATTCTGCCGCCGGTGCTGCGGCCAGGGGCGGTCATGCGGAGCTCATGGCGTGGCTGCTAGGGCTGGTGCAACCGCTGCCGGACCCGGAGGACGACCGTTATGCACGATGGGAGGTAGACTGCGAGGCGGTGTGGGGCTGCGACCTGGAGACACTGAAGCGGCTGTTCCCCAACGGCATGCCGGCGATTCCGCAAATGCCTGAGGATGAAGATTTTGAGGATGAAGATGAGTTCATTAATGAGGAAGCGTGGGAAGTGCTCGTGGTCAGACGCCTGGTAAACGCCGCAGCCAGTCCTACACCCGACTGGCAGGCCAAGGTGAAATGGGTGGAGTCGCAGGGCGTATGGAAGGAGGACGTCTCGGCAAGTAACGAAGTTGTGCGTCACCCGTATGCGTTGGAGCGCCTGACCTGGCTGTGGCAGTACGGCTACCACACCAACGAACGGACGTTGCTAGCTGCCATGGAGGCAGGGAACACAGCTACCGTGGAGTACCTGCTGGGGGAGGTCGGCGTAACGCTGGATTTGAGTTGGCATGTATCTGTAGTTACCATCTGCGCTGCTGCTAACAGGGGCCACCTGGCCACGCTGCAACTGCTGTGCGATCGTGCGGAGGTGACCCCTGCTGAGGCTGGTGAAGTGGTGGACGCACTGGGCGCAGTCAGGGGCGGGCACCTGGCGGTGGTGGCCTGGCTTGTAGAGCGGTTCGGCCCCCGGGCCGTGCCCCTCAGCGCCAAGCTGTTCCGAGAGGCGGCCTATTCGGGCAACATTGAGCTGCTGGTGTGGCTCCGGGAGCGGGGCTGTGAATGGGACGGCACGGCTTATGTGGGTGCGGCGGAGGGCGGCTGCGGGCAGGTTCTGGAGTGGCTGAAGGCGGGCGGCTGTCCCATGCCGGTAGGTGCTGGGCCGCAGGACAGTAGTTGCTGGTGGAGTGGGGGGGGTGCATAGCTGATCACCAAAGGATAAGGGTTAAGTTTGGGGTCGCAACCTCCAAGCGCCAGGTTAAGCCCAATTAGGCGCCCTGTTGCTAAGCATGCAGCATACAGCTGCATAACGGGAAGAAAGCCAAGCATATTACGATCAATGTTTTCTAGGCTTGCTATCCCTGTAACCCTACATCCATCGAACTCTTCAATACCTACAATCTCTTTCCCTGACAGGCGGACGGGTCCCCCTACGAGGCGGCCGCCAGCAACGACGACCATGCCACCCTGACCTGGCTGCTGGAGGCGGGTGTGCCCGTGGACTTGGAGCAGCTGGTCAAGAGGGTGTCGAACCCAGGAAAGCCCTGGAAGCAGCGCCGCCATGAGCAGATGCTGTCCTGGCTGCGGGAGGAGTGTGTCCGTCGGCAGGGCGAGCAGTGAGCAATGATAGTTGTATGCAGAGGAAGCTTCTGGGTTCATAGGACTGGTGTGTTGAGCCGAAACCATGTGACTTAGCTGGAAAAATACCGGCGCGACCCGTGGGTCGGCTTTCTGTGCAATGGAGCAGTGAGGGTACCTTACTCCGTAAAGGGTGCTAAACAGACCAATATGTGATTGATGCTAGATATGGAGTTGAGGATTTCGTGTGACCGTGAGTCCATTGAATGAGCTCTGCGGGCGTGGACCGGGCGTGGTACATAAATCTTGGCACAATAATCGTACGGGCGGCAGGCGTGCCTTCATCACTCCTGTCGTACGAAAGGAGCTACTGGTCGAACTGTAGCAGGACTGGGCCATGCCGGCATTGCTGTCTGTGACACATGTAGACATCTTAATGGGTTGTGTGAGCTGAGTGGGCGGCTGCCATGGCGGCTGCAAGCCGTGTTGTGAGGGCTCTTTGCATTTCGACCATGCAATACGTGGCGCCACCCTGACTCAATGTGGTGTATACAGCAGTCGGGAATTCTGTAAATTTACTTATCGTTTACACCTTTAGGAGGCAAGTCGACAAAACTCCCAGAGAATTATTAGGGCAAAACAAAAGCAAGAATTTTTGAGACCTTTGCTGATGCATGGTTCAGCGGTAACTGTTGACTACTGCGCAAATTTGGTAGCAAAGTCCAAACTAACGAAAGGAAATCAAAGACGAAGTATAACTTTCAACACACCCCAAGAAATGTCTTACCATCATCAAACGCCATTCCAAAGTCCCCAGAACAAAGCCCTTCCAACGCCCCTTCACAATGTCGAAACAACGTCCCACCCAACCGTAGCAATACCGTACACTTGTTTACAATAACCAGCAACCGACATTTCACATGCCCCTGCTTGCTGTGCATGCGTGTGCACAGGAGGGGCCTGAAACCGTGTCACTGTGCAAGGCGGATGGCCTGTGGCACATGTCCGCCAACCATCCAATCCCATGTTGACACTGCACGCACGAGATACCAGCACCTGTTCCAGCGGCGCCACACCCGCCCTGACCCGTGGGTCCATCCCGCCCTCCAGCAACACACCCAGCAGCTCAGGCTTCTCCAGGAAGCGCTGCATGGGGAGGAGACCGTCCGCGCACATGGGCTCATTGGGGTTGGGGCCAAAGTCAAGGAAGGCGCGGAGGGCTAGTGCTTCGTCGCCGTGACCGCCGCCGGTGGCGGCCTCCACCTCGGCTTCCTCAGCAGCAGCGGCGGCGGCGGCGCGAGCCCTGGCGGCGCCGCGACTAGTAGTTTAATCAGCGTTTTGGGGTGGTTACACTTTCCTGTGCCGCAGCACCCTGTGCCGCCAGTGCGAGGCGGGGCGTGCGCCCGGCCCTGACCGGATTGGGCCTTGGTATGACTGGTTGAGTATGCTGCGATGCGTACGCGCAATCCCTAACTTACAAAGCGCGTCGCTCTTAATGCTCCTAGTGTACGCTGCTGCAAGCGGTACCAGTATTCGTATGAGCCGCTAGCTTGGCTGCTTTGTTGTTTTATCTTCCGCTCAACTCTTTTGCAGCGCCCCGGCTCACAAGAACTACATCACAACACAATTGGTGTCGGCTACAGCCACGGCAATGCTTCAGATATTCTATACACATGAGCGCTATCTTTAGGCGGTCGCATGCAGCGCGATGGTTACAAGGGTATGGCGGCATCCGTGGCATATAGGCGATAAACGTTGTAAGTTAAAGTCTTGCATGCTGTTTACACGTACACAAGGAAAGCGAGGGTCTTCGGGTCATGTGACGGCTAGCTATCGGCCTGCTCGTGCTAGACGTAGCTAGTGGGACCAGGTACCTAGGCTACTACACACAGAAGATAATAATTGGCGCAATAAGGGGCAAGGAAGCCTGAAGCAGCTAAATTGGCTCCAGGGTAGACGCCTATTCTGAATCCGTGTCCGTAGTGAGGTTGTTTTGAACCGCACCACCGGAAATATTTTGTCTGAACCGAAACACGTATATGGAAAAAAACATTGATTCCTGGCACAGCTTTACTTGTTTGGACACCTCTTGCGGTTTAAATAGGGACAAAATGCAAGAACTCACAGAGGCGTGGCGGCCATATGCATCTGTAGCTGAGCAACAAGCCAAGCGGACTCTACCCGACATTTGCATCCCGGGCGTCCTGGACTGTATCGCCGGCTTCCTGAGCCCGAATGACATCGCGCTCGGGTTTCGTCTCATCAACAAAGCCGCTGCAGCCCAGTTTAGCCACTACACAGTTCTTAAGCTCTCGCTGCCCTCACCACATGCGGTGTTCATCGCGCGCTGGTGCTCGCCCGGCGCCATGCGCTCGCTGACCCTTGAGCGGCGCCGCAAGTTCCTGTGCCTTACCGCTGCCAGCGGCAGCCTGGACAACTTGCGTGCCGCTATCACCGCAGCTGGGATCATGACCTACAATGAGGTATCAGAGGCCGCCGCGGCAGCAGGCCAGCTGCACATATGCCTCTGGCTGCAGCAGGAGGGCTGGCTCGTGGGTGACCCAATGGCCGCAGCAGCCGGTCGAGGCCACAGGGAAGTGTGTGAGGGGCTCCTGGCGGCAGGGTACGAGGCTACCTATTCTGCCGCCGGTGCTGCGGCCAGGGGCGGTCATGCGGAGCTCATGGTGTGGCTGCTAGGGCTGGTGCGACCGCTGCCGGACCCGGAGGACGACCGTTATGAACGATGGGAGGTAGACTGCGAGGCGGTGTGGGGCTGCGACCTGGAGACACTGAAGCGGCTGTTCCCCAACGGCATGCCGGCAATTCCGCAAATGCCCGAGGCTGACGATTCTGAGGATGAAGATCAGTTCATTGTTGAGGAGGAATGGGAAGTGCTCGTGGCAAGTCGCCTGGTAAACGCAGCAGCCAGTCCTACACCCGACTGGCAGGCCAAGGTGAAATGGGTGGAGTCACAGGGCGTCCCGAGGGAGTGCAACTGGGCGAATAGTGAAGTCGTATGCCACCCGTATGCGTTGGAGCGTCTGACCTGGCTGTGGCAGAACGGCTATGACATCGGGGACATCCTTCTGTTGGCTGAAACCATTAGGGCGGGAAACACAGCTGCGTTGGAGTACCTGCTGGGGGAGGTCGGGGTACCGCTGGACTGGCATCAGTATGGCGTGGATGCTGCTGCTAACAGGGGCCACCTGGCCATGCTGGAGCTGTTAAGCGACCGCACGGGGATACCCCTGGTGAATGCTCCAGGAATCGAAGTTGCTAATGTCGCACTCAGCGCAGTCAGGGGCGGGCACCTGGCGGTGGTGGCCTGGCTTGTAGAGCGGTTCGGCCCCCAGGCGGTGCCCCTCAGCGGCAAGCTGTTCCGGGGGGCGGCCTATTCGGGCAACATGGAGCTGCTGGTGTGGCTCCGGGAACGGGGCTGTGAATGGGACGGCACGGCTTATGTGGGTGCGGCGGAGGGCGGCTGCGGGCAGGTTCTGGAGTGGCTGAAGGCGGGCGGCTGTCCCATGCCGGTAGGTGCTGGGCCGCAGGACAAGGGTTAAGTTTGGGGTCGCAACCTCCAAGCACCAGAGGGAACACGCGTTAATTAGGCGCTCTGTTGCTAAGCATGCAGCATACAGCTGCATAACGAGAAGGTAGCCAAGTCTATTAAGATCAATGTTTTCTAGGCTTGCTATCCCTGTAACCCTACATCCAACGAATTCCTGAATACCTACAACCTCTTTACCTGACAGGTGGACGGGTCCCCCTACGAGGCGGCCGCCAGCCACGACGACCATGCCACCCTGACCTGGCTGCTGGAGGCGGGTGTACCCGTGGACTTGGAGCAGCTGGTCAAGAGGGTGTCGAACCCAGGAAAGCCCTGGAAGCAACGCCGCCAAGAGGAGATGTTGTCCTGGCTGCGGGAGGAGTGTGTCCGTCGGCAGGGCGAGCAGTGAGCAATGATAGTTGTATGCAGAGGAAGCTTCTGGGTTCATAGGACTGGTGTGTTGAGCCGAAACCATGTGACTTAGCTGGAAAAATACCGGCGCGACCCGTGGGTCGGCTTTCTGTGCAATGGAGCAGTGAGGGTACCTTACTCCGTAAAGGGTGCTAAACAGACCAATATGTGATTGATGCTAGATATGGAGTTGAGGATTTCGTGTGACCGTGAGTCCATTGAATGAGCTCTGCGGGCGTGGACCGGGCGTGGTACATAAATCTTGGCACAATAATCGTACGGGCGGCAGGCGTGCCTTCATCACTCTTGTCGTACGAAAGGAGCTACTGGTCGAACTGTAGCAGGACTGGGCCATGCCGGCATTGCTGTCTGTGACACATGTAGACATCTTAATGGGTTGTGTGAGCTGAGTGGGCGGCTGCCATGGCGGCTGCAAGCCGTGTTGTGAGGGCTCTTTGCATTTCGACCATGCAATACGTGGCGCCACCCTGACTCAATGTGGTGTATACAGCAGTCGGGACTATCGTTTACACCTTTAGGAGGCAAGTCGACAAAACTCCCAGAGAATTATTAGGGCAAAACAAAAGCAAGAATTTTTGAGACCTTTGCTGATGCATGGTTCAGCGGTAACTGTTGACTACTGCGCAAATTTGGTAGCAAAGTCCAAACAAACGAAAGGAAATCAAAGACGAAGTATAACTTTCAACACACCCCAAGAAATGTCTTACCATCATTATCAAACGCCATTCCAAAGTCCCCAGAACAAAGCCCTTCCCACGCCCCTTTACAATGTCGAAACAACGTCCCACCCAACTGTAGCAATACCGTACACTTGTTTACAATAACCAGCAACCGACATTTCACATGCCCCTGCTTGCTGTGCATGCGTGTGCACAGGAGGGGCCTGAAACCGTGTCACTGTGCAAGGCGGATGTCCTGTGGCACATATCCGCTAACCATCCAATCCCATGTTAACACTGCACGCACGGACACCAACACCTGTTCCTAAACACACACACGCGATACGCCTTACGCGCGCCGGGATACGGATACACACACAACTCCATACCACATCACAGTACGTTTCGCCTTGCGGCCAGTTATCTTAACACACAACTCCATACCTCCATCAATAGGGGATGAAACGAAAATGCAGACATCCAGCCAAACCGCTATGGGCAGCGGTTAAGGGATACGACTTGGAAAGGCAACTGCCCTGTGCCCTGTCCACTGTCTATGGGGAAGCGATGGAGCAAGCACAACTAACCCACACACCACACAGACACCCATACACATTCAAGACACAAAACGCTGGTGCACAGGACCCCTCGCACCTTGGGATATCCACAGCTTCCGTTCTCTTTTTAGTCCTCCCACACGCGCATCACAAGCACACAAACACATACGAATCCGCCCAAAACGCCCGACCGCTATAGCTTACTTCGTGTACCAAAGCTGCAATATAGCGGCCACCTTACTTCCCACGCCTGCTGTCGGCACTGCCAAAGTGCTCCCAAGCAAAAGCGACATCCTAGCTATGCAAAACGCCGTTCGAGCTCACCGATATTGTCGAAATGTCGCCATCAGATGGGTCTGCATGCCCCTACCCCGTTCAGGTGAAAATCAGGTTGTGAAGGGTAAATGTATGGCGATCCGCAACCGCGGATTCGATCCATCCCAGCAATCGTAGTTCGCTCGAGTCAGGACCCTTGAACCAAAATGGGGGGCCAGGCCAAAACACAGCATCTAATGCGTTGATCCTGACCGACCCCGCTCCTCCCCTAAAGGCGGGCCGCACCCCTACACGCACGCACACACCTACTGCTACCACGCGTCTGTCCTCGTCACGTCAGCCCCTGCCCTACCTGCTAGGTTAACACAACCAACACACCCGATCCTCCTGTGTCAGATCGAGCGGCATTACCGGTGTTTCGTTTCTTCCCGACCCTGATTGATAGTCAATAGTCAAGTTGTTTGTCACGCACCCACGCACGCATACACATCCGCACCTATGCGTGTGTTCGATTCTGCTGTAGGAGCTACAACAATATACACACGCCCCGCCGGGCGGGCGATACTGTGAGCACGCAGCAGCAGAGTCACTCTGTAGGAAAACCGCTAAACGGACACTAAACGGGAAACTGACGTCTTGGCCGCATTCTAGCCGCCAACAAAAACGTTTCCCATGTATGTTACCTGCGGGGCCACGCTCGCTCGCCTGTATGTGGGGGTAGCCCACCTAGCACCAAAGACTGAAGCAAGCCTCCTTCGCCACACAACAAAACTGGGGGCGGCAACAGCCAACAGCCAACAAGCAAAGCAACCAGCACCTAGGGAAAAGGTGTTTTTCCTTTTCGGCTTATGCTTGCACGCTGTGTCGTGCAGGGCGATCAATGAAGAGTACATTAGGTCCGTCACGAAACCAGGATCGTGCGCATAACCACCCACCCGCAAACAACAACCCACAGGCATAATCCACAGGCGCACCCACGCCCACCCAGCTGCTCACAGCAACGCAACTCGCTACACCCTTTCCGGAACCCAAACCATGTTTAGCGCAGCGCATGCGACGAGGGTTGTTGTCGTCGGCGCCTGCTGCTGTGTATGTTGCTGCTGCTGTTGCTATTGGGGAGTCCTCCATGAAAGGAGTCCTCCGCTGCTGTTGGGCACATGCGGTTGCTGCGGCTCCTGCTGCTCCTGCCGCTCCTGCTGCTGCTGCGGTTGCTACACAGCTGTAACACTACAGCTGCTGCTGCGGGGGCAGGGCTGCGGCGGTCTCCACGGCTCTGCGGGCAGCCAGCGACATGAGCACCTGGGGGGGGGAGGGGGAGGGAGGGGAAGGAGGTATGAGAATGAGCCAACATACACCTGGCAAGAGAGGCGCGCCCTGGGGGAATACCACCGACATACACGTGAAGGGAGGCAGCAGGTACGGAGAACATTCGCGTCTACGGTACGGTACGGTACGGTACGGCATGACTCACATAGATGGGTGTGTTGTCGTCGTCCCACAGCACCCGCACCCCGGGTCGCGGTCCCGGAGCCGCCGGCAGCGCCGCCACCGCCTGCACGGCTGGCCAGATGACCGGGTGGTTCAGCACCGCCCGCCGGGCTGCAGCGACCAGCTCGGGGTCGCGCAGGGGGCGGCGGAGGGGAGCGGGAGGAGGGGCGGAGGAGGCGGTGGGGGAGCTGTTGACTTCCTGCTGATGCTGTTGAGGAGGAGGAGAAGAAGGCTGCTCGGCTTCGGTTGTGGGGGTTGCTGCTGCTGCGGACGATTCGGAGGCGGAGGATTCGGAGGCGGAGGAGGCGGAGAGGGCTCGCCATGTGGCATCCATTGCCAGCACCTGCTTCAGGAACTCCCGCCGGCTCTCCACCAGCTCCTTCTGCTCCCCTCCCAGCGTCATGTTACCCAGCAGCTGAGCATACAGCTGGTCCAGTGACAATCCGCCGCTGCGGGGGTAGGCTGCAAGGATGGCGGCGGCGGTAGCCGCGGCAGCGGAGGAAGACGGCGAAGCCGTCGCCGCCGCCGCGCCAGCGGCGGCGGCGGCGGCGCCTCCGGCGGCGCCAGCCTGCGGCCCATGCTTCGCCGCCAGCTCATCCACTGCAGAGTCGGGTATGCCGGTCATGCGGGACCTGAACTCCCGGGAGCACATGGCCAGGCCAAAGTCGGGTGCGAGGAGGTGGGAGGTGAGGGAGCAGAGGGCCATGAGGGCGTAGAGGGACTGCAGCAGGTCGGTCTGCTCCACCACCACGTCCTCCAGGTAGGTCAGCTCGGGAGGGTAGGGGGAGCTGCTGGAGGTGCTGGGGCTAGGGGTGCTGCTGCAAGGGTTGCATGGGGTGCTAGCAGAGGCAGGAGCGGCGGGTGCGGATGATGACGTATCAGTGGAGGTGGTGTCAGCAGCGGCGGCGGCGGTGGTTGTGAGGTCACCGCAGCTGCCGCGGCGGCTGCTAGCGCCGCTGCTAGCCGGGCTGCTGCTGCTGCCGCCGTCCTCAGCCTCCGTACCGCTGCTGCTGCTGCTGCCGGCGCCGGTGCTGCTGCCGCTGCGGCTGGAGGGCTGTACGGCACAGTCGCAGGAGTCGGCGGCGGTTAGGGCGGTTAGCGCGGCGGAGGAGGAGGTAGAGGAGGGAGCGGGCGGCAGGACGGGGTCAGCGGCTGCTGGCTGCTGCTGCTGGTGCTCCTGTTGCTGTTGCTGCTGCTGTGGAGGAGGAGGTGGAGGCGGTCCCGCCGCCGCCATTCCTCCTAGATGCGCTGCCAGGTGCGCCACCACCGCCGTTACTGCGTCACTGTACGAAGCTGCGCCCTCCTGCTTCTGCTCCTCCTCCTCCTCCTTCTTGCTTCCCTCTTGCCCGTCCACGGCAGCGTCCGCACCTCCCGCCTCCGCCTCCGCCGCCGGCCTGCCCGCCATGCACGCCCTCACCACCGCCAGCGCCTCCGCCAGCAGCTGCGTAAGGCGGGGCTGGGTGCACAGCTGCAGCGCCACCTCGGCGCACACCTCGGGAAGGTAGGCCATCACGTGCAGGTCGTGCCACACCTTTTGGGGGGGGTGGAGGGGTGGAGGGGGGAGGAGGAGGGTAGGAGGGGTGCAGGGGAATAGGGGTTGAGATTTGGGTTTGGAGGTGTGAAGTCCCTTCTGGGACAATTTCTCTATGGTAGCGTAGGACCTGGAAGACGGCAATTGGGCAGCATCACTGCATCCTCCTGCAGATCACCTTAACTAGACTCGACCCATGGCTGCTACACCGCTTCCTTCCCTGCTGCCTTGCCCCTCTCAAAAGCAGTCCCCCTCCCCGCCTCCTTCCTCCCTCCCTTCTCCCTCCCCCTCCACCCCCCCACCTGCTTGCTCGCCGCGGGCAGCGCCAGCAGCAGCTTCAGCAGCAGCCGGTGGTAGCCAGCGGAGGCGTACTGCCTGCGGGGGGGGGGAAAGAGGAGGGGAGCGGAGGAGAGGGGGGGGCAGGAGTGGAGTTCATAATTGACGTGAGACGTAGGCGGTGTGAGTGCGAGCTCCTTCTCCCACTGCTGACACAGTAGGTCCTCACCCACCTACACATCCTAGCTCATCTCATATCCCCCCCCAAGCCCTCCCCCAACCCCTCCCCTCCACCCGATCCTTTGTACCCCCCGTCCCTCCTCCCCCCCCACCTGAGGGGCCCCTCCAGGTCGTCCAGCTGCGGGCGGGGCGAGTGGAAGCCGTTCTCCAGCAGCATGGCGGCGCGGGCGCTCTCGCAGGCCGCCTGCACCAAGTCGGGGGGCAGGCGGGACACCTCGGGGGCCTGGGGGGGGGGGAGGAGGGCGGGGGGGGGAGGGCAGGGAAGGGGGGTTGTAACGTTCAGTGCGCTGTAATCTGCAGCAGCTCCCTGGCAGGCGGCAAAACACAGGGGATTAAGAGGAGGCAGGGGTACTCAATCAGGTCGATACGGTGCGGAGACCATCATTGGAGGTGGCAATCCATGCATGGGGCCACGATCCCTCCCAATTCCAGCCACCACGCCCTCCCCCCCCACCCCTCCCACCCTACCATTGCCAGCAGCTGCTGCGGCGCCACCCGCATCAGCTCCCGCGTGTCCTCCGCCGCCACCATTGCATCAACCAGCGGCGGGAAGTACTTGGCAACCGACTGTGCACGAGGGGGGAGAGGGGGAGAGGGGGAGAGGGAGAGGGAGAGGGGGGATGGCGGCACGAACCCTCAGTGTGTGCAGCGTAAAGGGCCATGCACCTTGCTCTTACAACAGCTCTTACCGAGTCAGCGTGAACCCACACACACACAACGACACACCCTCCCCGCCAAGACGATGAGGTCCTTCCTCTTTATCCCCTCCCACCTCCCCACCGCGATGGCTTCATTCCTCCCCCTTCATCCCCCTTTTCTCCCCTCCCCGCCCCCCCCCCCACCTGCAGCCACAGGTTGTCCGGGTGCGCGCGCAGGAAGGTGAGGGCGGCCGCCACCGCGGGGGGCGGCACCACTGCGGCCATCAGGTCGTGACCCTCCGACCCCAGCTGCAGCACTTGGAGGATGACTGAGGAGGGGAAAGGAGGAGGGGAGGGGGGGGAGAGGGTAAGGGAGAGCTGGAGAGGGAAGAGGCGGTGGAGGAGAACGGGTGCGTGTGACGCTCGTACAGGAGTATGCTGGTGTGGGGGCCGCGGCAGCGAGCCACTGGGGTGTAGCTAGGTGCAGCAGCAGCGGGGCACGGGTCACTGCCCCGATCCCGCCCCGACCTTCACATCCCGCGCCCCTGCTTACGTGCACTCGACCCCACTTCCCAAACCCCACCCAGCCCCTCCCCCGCTCCTCACCCCTCTGTGCAAATGTCCTGCAGTGCTCCAGGAAGGTGACCACGTTGAACAGGTTGCGCGAGTTGAGCACGTCCAGCAGCGTCAGGATCTGCCGGATGTCCATCAGCGGCACCTGCCGCATCAGCCCGCTCATATCGTTGTCCCACAGCTCCGGTCGCTGCAGAGCCAAACACAACAGCCGGTACGATGCAGCCACCTCCGCGTCCTGACCCGGGATCGTAACCGACCCGCAAGCAGCAGCAGCAGCCACCGCAGCCGCAGCAGCAGCGGGGGAGCTGGGGTCCCACACGCGTCGTACCCCCGCAGCAGCAGCAACAGCAGCCCCGGTCACCGCATCCCCCTCCTCCTCCACGCCTAGACCCCCGCCCTCGCAAGAGCTCTTGCACCCGCCCTTGCAGAACGCCGAGACGTCAAAGCCCAAGTCGTCATCATCCTCCTCATCGGCTGCTGCAGCTGCCTCCTGCTCCTCCACCTTAATAACGCAGCTCTTCTGCTGCTTCTTCCCCTCCTCCAACTCCACCTCCTCTGCTACAGCAGCCCCCGCCTCTCCGCAAGGGAAGCTCATCATGCGCCTCCTCAGCTGCGCCGCCGCCTGCTGCTGCTCGCGACCCATCAGCGGTGCCAGGTACTCCGCCAGTGCCAGGTTGCAGTGCGCCAAGGCCAGGTCACACGCCGTCAGACCCGCACACCTCAGCCACAGCAACCCAGGGTCGCGACCCAGCAGCAGCGAGCAGGCCTGCACGGACGCCTCGCTGGCAGATTGGAAGCGCCCAATGAGCGCGTAGGAGTGCAGGAAGGTGAGGTCCAGCGGCGCCACACCCGCCCTGACCCGTGGGTCCATCCCGCCCTCCAGCAGCACACCCAGCAGCTCAGGCTTCTCTAGGAAGCGTTGCATGGGGAGGAGACCGTCCGCGCACATGGGCTCATTGGGGTTGAGGCCAAAGTCCAGGAAGGCGCGGAGGGCTAGTGCTTCGTCGCCGCGACCGCCGCCGGCGGCAGCCTCCGCCTCGGCTTCCTCCGCGGCGGCGGCGGCAGCGGCGGCGGCGGCACGAGCCCTGACGGCGCCGCGACTGCGCTCCGCCGCGCGTTCTCGCTCCCGCTCGCGCTCGCGCGCGGCTAGGAGGGCCTCCCGCGCCGCGACGGTAGCGGTGGCGGTTCGTACGGCTCCTCCTCCTCCGCTGCCAGATGACGCAGCAGCGGTCGTGACGCTTCCTCCGTTGCTGCTGCTGCCGTTGCTGCGCTGCGCCGGCCGTGCGCTGCTGGCATTGCCGTTGCTGCTGCTACTGCCGCTTCCATTCGTCAGGTACTGAGACACGTCATAAGGTCCAGATGCCGCCGCTGCTGCCGCCCCCGACATGTAGCTAGCCTCCGAACCGCCGTTGCTGCTACTGCCGAGACCATTCCCCATACCTGCACCCCCACCGATAATGCTGCTGCTGCTACCGTGCTTCAACGGGTGGAACTTCGGCTGCTGCTGCGTCTCCAGACCGCTAACCCCCTGCCTCCCCACCCCACCGCCCCCTGGCGCTGTAACCCCGTCCAACGGAGCCAAACCCGGCCGCGCCGCTGCTGCTGCAGCAGCCGCCGCCCCCGACGCCGCTAGCGCCTGCGCCTGCGCCGTCGCCCGGGCATCCCTCAGCTGGTGCGCCGCCGCCACCACCCCCACCACCAGCTCCGCAAAGGAGGGGGAGCCCAGCACGTAGGCAGTGCGGCGTGACAGGATGGGCAGCCACAGCGGCAGCGCAGCGGGGTCGAGCGCGAGGGAGAAGCAGAGGTGCTGGAAGAGGGGCGGGTCGGAGGGGGCGGGCAGACCCTCGTGCTGCAGCAGCCAGTCCAGGAGGGGGGCTGGCGGTGGGGGGGAGGCGGGAAGAGGAGGGGGAGGGGAAGAGGCGTGAGTGAGGAGAAAGGAAGGATGGAAAGAAGGGGGCAGTCCTATGGTTCTATGAATACGGTAATGGCGAGCCGGAGCGCATCTTAGAGGTCCATCAGTTGTGTTCCAATCTGCCCTCACCGCTCCCTCTCCCGCACCTTCCCTCTTCCTCCCTTCACCTCCCGCACCCTCCTCCCCCCCCCCCCCTCACCCGCCGCCGCCCTGTCCTCCGGGTCCGCCAGCGCCAGCTGGTGCAGCAGCGCGGTGCCGGCGGTGGCCCGCTCGCCGTGCGCCTCGCAGGAGCAGCCGAACAGGGTGAAGCCGTGGCGGTGAAGCAGCTGGGGGGGGGAGGGGTAGAAGAGGGGGTGAGAAGGGATGGGGTGAGGGAGGCAGGAAGGGTGTTTGGGCAGGGAGGGGGCCGATGGGTGATACTGGCCCTTCATCCTGTGCTACTACCCTTTCCCGCCCTCTCTATTCCCAACCACATCCTCCACATCTCCCACCCTCCCACCTTGGCCAGCGCCAACTTCTCCGTGCCCGCCAGCCCGTCATTGTGTACGGCAGCCACCAGCGCCGTGAGGCCGTACAGGTTCCGTACATTGGGGTCCGCGCCCGCCTTGAGCAGCGCCTCCACCACCCCCGCGCTGCTGACGGCGCAGGCGAGCAGGATGAGGGGCCAGTGGCCCGGAGGCGGGGCGGGAGGGGGCGCGGAGGAGGAGGAGGCGGCTGCAGCGGCGGCTGCGGCGGCTGCTGGGGAGGCGTAGCCCCAGGGCTTGTCCAGTTGAGGCACATGGGCGATCTGAGGGGTGGTGGGGAAGGTGGAGGAGGTGGGAGGGGAGGGTAAGGAACGGAGGAGTGGTTGGGTTGCAGCTCTTGACCCCAGGTGTGCGGCTGAGGTGTGCGTGTGACAGGCTGATAGCAAGACCTGGATGAGCGAGCAGTCGCATACGTGCGCGCGAGCGGGCGCACCACCCCACCCTGCCTCCCCACCTGGTGCACGTCGCCTCCCGATTTGAGCCATCGCTTTATGGCTGAGGCGTTGCCGCGTCTGGGGTGGGAGGCATGGGGGGCAGGAGAGATTAGTGGGGGGGCTTGCTTTTGGACTTGGTTCCGGTAGGAGGGATAGGCCGAACAGGGGGATGGTGTAATCTGGTGAGGCTGGAAAGCATTCGTGTGGCAAGGACGGGGGAGATATTGCGGTAGGTCAAAAGCGTGGAAGCACGAGGTACGGATCTGGGGGAAATCGGGGTTGGAGTTAGTTGGGGCAGACTGGGCTTGGGAGGCGCGCATTCGTAAGCTGGACCGGGGTATCAACATCGCAAAGCCATTTATTTGTCAGGAGGGGAAAAGTGGACAGTCAGGGAACACGGCGTAGCCTGAATGCTGGGTATGCGATGCGAACTGCATGAGGATGGGTCCTAAAAGGCGACGTGGCTTTTGGGCAGGCTTAGCATGCGGACTAGCCGCCATTATACATGTGGTACGAGCGCTGTTTACACGTGAAGGAACAAAGTGTGGCACAGTGGTTGTTGGCGGCGGATTGGAGCGAGCACCTACCGAAGCAACGCCATTAGCTCCTCCGCCACGACCCGAGGACTGCTCGAGGGCGACGTTGCGCCATCTGCTGCCGTATGCTTACTTGGCGCCTTCACGCCGGCCTTGGCGGCCTTCGTGCCGGCCATCCTATTGCGTAATGGGCTACGTTCGCTGCGGATGACCAGTTAATTGCACCTAACAAAGTTGAACGAAGATTGAGTTGTTTTCCTAGATACACTTGTTGTGTAGGTAGAGGCTTTGGACGATCTAACCGTTGCGCTAAGCTTGCCACTTGATTGTCGGCGGCCTCCGACACGCAGTCGGTCTTACACGGCACAGCGAAATCGCACCGCCAGCGGTAAGTAACCTATTCTGCACCAAAGCTTCTCTGAGTCTACGCAGCGCTCGAAAGCAAGCTATGCAAGAACGACTGAACACAGTTGGCCTGATTCAGACGCCTAAGAGTTCGCCGGCATAACCTATGGTAGCAGCCTTAGATTGTATAATGATAACTATACCGTCTGTAATGAGCGCGTCACAGTAGTTGGTCTCGTAATAGAAATGATGCACGGCTTATAGACAACCGACGAACCTGTACATGCTTTTTGGGCAAGACTTTTTTCATGCAAAGTTACCTTTAACTTCACTCCGTGTGTTATTTCCTTCAATGTTTACGTCGCTTCTTGGGCGCTGCAAGCTACCAAGTCTGACAAACGCCAGACACGCAGAGATTCGCTCATGCTCGGTGCAAATGAGAGACGTAGAGTGTCATTTTACAGCTCTTAATCCTTTCGGGTATGCTGAGTCGGCCTCGCCAACCGAGCCAACGACCTCTTCCCGCCAACCTCTACAGACGAAAACGCACGATAGGGCTGGTAGGGGCCACCCATTACCTTAGTTAACATGTATTGCTGTTAAATGCGCCAGCTTACTTTGACTGCAAAGCTTAGACAGCAAAGCACATCATCTCGTAAGCATACCTGTCAGAGACGAAAGAGGATGCAGGATTGTAGGTGGTAATCATCTTGTGATGGGTCCTGTAATGTGCAAGTGATTGAGTGCGCCGGCTCGGTGCTTTATCCATCTTCGCCCTAACTGATTCGTCCGTCGCACCGCATGCAAGCGTCGGGATAGGCAGGTCCGGGGCCGTGCCCCTCCTTGAAGCTACTAGTTTCTTTTTTCGCATGCAGTAGGTAGGGTACCTGCTTTGCGCCGGCATCGTTGGATAACGCCCGCTAGCCGCGGGTAAACGGCACATTACGACACAGATATTGAGCACTCCGGTCGATTGCGATATACCATCTGTGGAAACCAGGTTGCACACGAGACGATGGAAAAGCGCGCCACCTATCTTGCAAGCCAGTATCAATTGATCGCAGCACTCCGGCTGTAGGCCGTGACTAGACTATATATAGCTGCTCCATGCAAGGTCCGCCTGCGTGCGAAAATACCCGCACCAGACTCGCCCACGCAACATGCAGCTGCTGCTGTGATGTGGTTGGGTTACAACCTAGGAGTTAAGAAGGAACCCCCTTGCTTAATCGACATCGCAGGGACCGCTTGAAACCTTTGTTACAAGTGCAAACCTCAACAATTGGACCTCCCATGAACGCATGACCCGTGGGACACCGTTACGGCGGTTGTACGGGTCAACAGGCACGCACATCATGCCATGCCGTACACTCGCACACCAACCCCTCAGCTCGGCTAGTTGCGTTAACACACGTACACATCTCACCAACCCTTGCATCCCACGAGTCAATGCTTGCCACGTGGACGTCAGCAAAAACACAAGGCGCATTTACGGACATTTCAATCACCCTTGTTCCCTTCAGGGAACCATTGTAACAACCCATCATTCATTTCAACGAATCAAGGCACCAACGAACACCATCATGCCCACCGGGTAGCTCCTCAATGCAAGCATCGGTGACTGGATGCAGCCGAGCGAGCAGGCAAAAATTGCGTATCGATTACAGTACCAACCTACTGCTAGCCACTGCTGTGCAGCAGATCTGAAAGACCGAGAGTGCTGCGAATGTAAGGTCAACAAACAGATCAGCTCATTCATTCGTAAGTGCAACACAGCATGTATGATAGGCGACGGGACGTACCAATTAGAAAGTAGAAACAGGCAACTTCACGGGGCTGCTGTCGTACAGCATTCCTCACTCCAACACTACATTCCGACACCCTACTACGTGGGGGTTCCACCACAAACATGGCGCCAATCTGCACAAGCCGGTTAAATCAAGCTGCTTTGAGACCACTTCTGTAGACGCCCGCTGCTACAGCTGCTACAGCTACGGCTGCTGCTTGTAACACTGCCACCTATCGATGGGAACACTCCCACACTAATACCCTGGCCAATGGACGTTCCTTGCTTTGCCAGAGTCACTCCACTGCAATTTGCACCGGGCGCAGGAAGCCATGGCTACACATCTGCCGAACCCCTACCTGCTAATTCGCCCACACCGACGTTACCGGCCACAAGGGCAACTTGAGCAATCCCTGCAGCTGCAAAACTCCCCTTAAAACCTCACTCCGTAAGTTCGTAATCCCCTCCACAGCCATTCATCATGCCTGCCTGGGATCCATCCCTACCGCCATACACACACTCGCAGAAGTGTAATTAATAACGTTCGATAAATGCTCATCAGGACGTTTCAGACAACTTCGCTGGAAAGCCTGTAGCTGCTGTGGTATATGTCGGACAGCGACAAGGTTATACCAGTACACTTGCCGTATGGCCTGCCGTACAAACCGTACGTACTCATGCGCAGCGGCTTCCCTAGCCATCCAATACTTACCACTGAATTTCTGTTTTCGCATACTTACTTTGCACCATTCAGTGGACAAACACCGTTTAAGCCACGCCGGCGGCAATAATGAAGGTACTCATAATCAGTAACTGAAAGCCAACTGCTGATTGAGATTGCCAACAGAAACGTACGCCTATACCACGTTGTCACCCTACTAAGTCCTTCTCAAAGCTATTCATACAGAGGACGCAAACAGCAAACTGAAGAAGCAAGGCCCATTCAGCGGGCGATCGGTGATGCACCGGCAGCAGCTGCTGCAACTAGGTGTGGAATGGCGGCAGCCGCCGCTAGCGCTGCTGCGGTGGTGGCTGCTGCTGCTCTCGCATGCCCATCTAGCCGCACGGGCACACGACACGTGCGCGTGCCTAGACAGGAAAGCTAGATCACGTTAACAGCCCCACCACAGCCAGTTATAGATCCAGAAACAAGCATCGCAAATACCACAACAGCCTTGCACACAAGGCTCAAAACGCGTAACGCGCTTCATCCCAATCCACTAGGAAGGTCACGAACGCTTTTCACGGCAAGAAAGATCGATCACACAGCTGTTGATCCGTACAGCTGACAGAGCACGTAAAACGACAACAACGATTAAGACCTATGGCTGGAATTCAAGAATTGGATCTGGATCTAAAGATTTTTGATCTTGGATTGACACGCTACCTAGAAGCTGGATCAGCAATCACACCATCACATCAACGTCAGTACATCCTTCACAGAGACGAACGCAAGCAACGGCACATACTCGCCGCCGGGCCCGGAGTGCTAATACAGCAATACGGGCGGGTTCACGGCAATCCTTGCCATTTGCAATAACCAAAAACTCGCGACATCAGGGCGGGGCGGCAATCGTACGTAGGCTCCCTTAACCACCAGCAGTGTGTGGCAGCGTTAGTACTCTGCACGTGTATAGCTCCTTCCACTTATTGTCAGTTACGGCTGCATGAATGCAAGCCTGCAAGCAAGCATGCATGCAGAGCATGCACCCAAGACCGTCACGTGTCTTATTGCCCCCCCCAAGGAGGCATGGTAGCCAGTATTCCTTCATCATGTATAAGTTAAGAAGCTCAGCTGGGACTGTGGCGCCCACCAGATAACGCCAACCAACAAAAGAGTAATCCCTTAAAACAAGTGCTACCATGCAGTGAAGAAGTGCTGCAATTGATGACCATGCCATGCCAACTTGCTAAATACACATTCCTGCTCAAGACAGCCCGTTGCGGCTTGCCCTCTGTACACTTATCTCATGACACGAAACTTACGGTATATCCTTCATCTTCTTCTCATTTTTTTGGGGCGGAGCCCCCGCCGTGAAGCGGTGTTGAAGGGGCGAGGCCCCCTAGGACTGCCCACGCCCGTGTGTCTGTAACGGCAAAGTACCGTATACAAACCAGACAAATCTCCGCTGTCAAACGCCTTCGTAGGAACAGCTGTGCACAGAATGAAGTAAGCACAGACACCTTAAGATATATTCCCATACCCTCCTCCCGCCGGGGCGTCAGCCCAGCCCGCCTAGCAACTCCATCCCACACCCATGCAGTCCCGCATGCTTGCAGCCACGCACACCCCTTGATCGCATTGACCCTGCATGCATAAAATGCATCCCCTCACACCATCATTCTTCAAATGGCAGCAACTTTGGACGCAGCGCCAGTAATCGCCCGGACCATCCTCGCAAACACATTCTTCGAGCGTCTCTTCCCGCTCTTGCGGTCGCCCTTATTATCGGCCCCGGCATCCGGGCCGCCCGCACCGACACCGCCGACACCTCCGCCGCCACCAGTGCCGTACAAATCATCCTCCTCCTGCTTTCTGGCAGCAGCTCCGCCCGTCGTTTGGCGCTGCAACGCCCACTCCGCATCAACTCGCGATTGCACCTGCAGTGACGATGATCCTGCAGACCGTCCCAAGCCACCTGAGGTGCTGCTGCCAGTGGCGGCGGCTTCTGCCGGGACAGGACCATCGGCTGACCCCAGCATGCTACAGCAGTTGCCGCTGCGGCCGTGGTGCAGACCAAGGCTTCCGCTGTTGCTGTGGACACAGATGTTACCTGGAGACACAATTGCGGCGGCGGGGCTCATAACAGTGACGGCAGTAGCAGTAGCAGCACCAACGAGCGCGGCGGCAGTCGCCTCGTCGCACAGCTGACGTGATTGCGTCGTTGCGCTGTCCGACGGCAGGTCAGGCCACGCCATGGAGGGTGTCAGGGTGCGTCGGACAGAGTTGACAGAAGCGGCGGAAACTCCGCCAGCACTTCGTCCACCGGCGCTACCCCCGCCACTTTGGCGGGATGCGCGCACGGATGCATCATAGATGGTTGCACAGACGGGCGGAAGGCGCGTCGTGGTGGCAGCGCCGCCGTCAGCACCGGCCGCCGCCGCTGCCGCCGCCCGTGTTGCCGAGCGCAACGGCAGGAACACATGTCCCGCCAGCGTCAAGCCGCCGCTTACTATACCCGCCTCACTGAGATGTCGGCCGCCGCCGTTGCTGCCGCCACCGCCGCCGCCGCCACCGCTGCTGATACCCCGCTCGCTAGCCCTGCGGCTTTCCTTGCCACTTCTGAAGAGGTTGATGACCGGCAGGCGCAGGCTGAAAGTCCCGCCGCCACTCCTCCTTTTGTCACCGCTGACATTGTCAGTCCTGCCTGCTGCGTCACCGCGGCTGGAGCTGCCTGCCTGAAGAGTGTCGC